TATATATATATATATATATATATATATATATATATCATGTGTTTGTGTATATAGTTGCTTAACTATATGAACAATGCATTTGAGAGACCAAATCAGTCTTTATCTCTGTGTAATTTAGTTCCATTCTGAATTGAAATCTAAATTTATTGAATGGGAGTCGCATTTTATTCAATTAAAACTATAACCAATCTGAATAAAACTACAATCCTAAACCAAACTAAATATAATTAATTCAAATATTGAATTAACCAAAACATACTTTTTTTTCCAATGGTGACTATATGACCACTGTAACCAAAATTATGGTTTGGTCTGATCAGATTAATCATAACGTTAAATTTATGGTGATCACACTAATTCATTATATTCATCCATTGCATATCTCACTAATCATTTGATAACAACATGAGACTAGATTGTAATTCTGATCACAATTAGAGAATGGTACGTCTTGAAGTCAAAATAACAAAGGAAATATATTTTTGATACAATACCCTTTTAAACTCACCCTAATAAATATAACGAATAATATGTTGTCAATTATCAAATTTTACCTCCTCTAAGTTATATATGTGCGGTTTTTATAACAACTAGAGAGATTGTAGATGTGAATGCAATCATCAAACATTTTTTTTTTGTAACATTGTGTTTTTGTTCATGTAAAGAAGTGAAGGGAAGAATGCAATCTTGACAGAGATGAGATCATCTAAGATATTGTGTTGGGCAACTTGGCCACATTATTTTATATAAACTATTCGTAACAAAACCCTTTCTTATTTTCCAACTATTTTTTATGATTTAAATGATTTCTCTAAGAAATTATTAGCATTTCTTAAAAATTAAACCATAATCTCATCATTAAAAAGATTTCCATATTTCTTAAAATTTCCATATCACATGATCAATCTTTCTTGTGTGGTTGCTTAGTATTATATTTTATAACCTAAAACCTAATTTTCATAGAAATCATTTTGGTTTCAAAAGCGACCTAAATTTTATTTCACAACAAAAAAATTATATACCAGCTCTAGTAATTTTATGTATTACTATTGTACAATTTCATTTATTTATTTATTTATAAAATTCTTTAAGATAAAGTATAGCAGAACATCACACTTTTATATAGAATTTGATGTTAGTTTTTAGATGAAATGCATGTAAAACTATGTAATCTGCGTAAAGACAGATTCTCCAAACAGTAGTGGACACGACAGCGAGTAAAAGATTTCGAAGCTCAGTGGTGATGTCCTGTCGGACATCCGAATCTTGAACTCACTATACGAACATCTTCAAACAGTAGCAGGAGCATACAATAGGGCTCGGCTCGGGTACCCAAAATTCAAGTAATCGGCTGAAGCGAGTATGAGGTCAAGTGCATGACATCGGAAAACCCGTGCCACGGTTTCGAGTTTCAGGTTTCGCCGACCGATTACCCCAACCTTTGATGAAGACGATGTCCGAATTTTGAAGACATTCGCTTAGTTGCAGGTCGAACAAAAGAGACAGAGAAAGTTCAACTACATATTCATGTACTGTCAGGCAACATGAATATATCGATTCCACGATACAATAGCAAATGTTTCAAATACCGACGTACTTTTTTTTTTCCACATATGCCGGAAATGGATGGTTACGAAGCAACAAGACGGATAAGAGAGGCGGATTCATATGCCGATTTTTAGCACTATCTGTTCATGATCATGACTCACAGGAGGCAAAGAGAAGCAACAAAAGCCAGAATGTACATCATTTTGGGGGAAAACCCAAGTATAGAACATCTTGTCAATGCCATTAGAGAAACTGAACACACTATGTCTACTTAACCAAAGGGTAAGTCTATATCCGTGACTTATGCACTGATTCATTATCTATATCCGGAGAAACAGGTTAAAGATATGTTTATGTTTTTGTAAATACTGAAGTTAAGGTACTTTAACAATCCATTAAGGTTTCTTATATATTGCATCAGGTACACTTACTGTTGAGAAAAGTAAATTCTTGAACCGGGAACGCGATTTCTGCTCTAGATTAGAGGCTCTAATGATCACTTCAGGGTACTGTTATATGGATTCAGAGTTCCATTCCATTGACTACATTATCCCTTGTGTATATACACATGTTTATAAAGCATAGATACATGCAATCGCATACTTGTGAATGACATTAGAGAAACCGAAAGTAAGACGACTCTACGTAAAGCAGTTAGCATACCCTAAAAGATATACGTTAGAATCCTAATGTTGGAGAAAGAAAGCAGATTTTCTAAACATGGATATGGAACAAGTAAAAGCAACCCGAGTGACAAAATCAATGAAAATAATTCACTATTATTTCAATGAAGATGAGAACAGGTGCATTACAATTTGAAAGCCGGGCATTATGCAACGACATCTGAAAGCCGGCAGCCTAGTGAATGCCACTAATGAAACCGAACAATAAGATGGCTCTGCAATACAACTATCGATATCTGAAGCAGATTTTCTCGAACATGGTTATGAAAATAAGAATATGCAGCTCCATAGACAAAACACAGATGAAGATAATACCTATTGATATCCGTTTATGCAAAACAACATCTCAAGCCGCGAAAGAGGCTTAAATTTTGTAATCTATGAACTTTTTCCCGTACCTGTTTCCTTGTTTCTCCATGGATTAAGAGCTTCTCTAATTGCCTGAGCTTCAGGAGAATCCTCATATGCACGTCTCTCTGCTTCCAAAACAGTGACTTTATCATCTGCAAATTGGGAAAATTTGACACTTCGATCAGTGATTCTTACCCAACATAGTTCAACACTCGTCACGGAGATTAAAGCTAGACGAAAAGTACAACTGATTGAAAATGTAGGAAACCCTAAACCCAAAAATAATTCTTCCGCAGAAAGTGAGAAAATCAACCACAGCCCAAGAGTGAACCTTAAACCCCCTAAACCCTAATCTTTCCAAAACCCATTTGACATAATTAAAACCAGTGATCGACTAACAGTGTATGCAGATTAGAGAGCATTGAAATCTATTAAATTCCAGCTACGAAATAGCGAAAAGAGATGAAACGTACAGAATCCAGTCTTGATCATGAAGAATTCCATGCCTCCGCCAACGAGAGCTGATCCGATTGCGATCTTCAAATACCAATCGAGAAATCTCGTTTTCATGACCTTCGCTAGGAAGTCGCTGCAAAGATTTACGAAGACGAATCAGTTTCTATGGCGACAGTGTGTTCCCGGTGAAAGGCTCAGAAGACGATGACCTATTTTTATTTTAATTTATTCATCAATAGCCCCGTAACTTTTATTATGTTTTATTTTCCACCCTAATTTCGCATTGAGTCAAGTTAACCCACCCATGTTTTCTAACGTTGTCGGTTTGTCTGAATCGCAAATAACTCCCCTTCATTAGTGGAGCCTAAATTCAAGGATCATGGAGACAGAAAAAAAAAAAAAAAAAAAAAACCTGAAACAGTTCCGCAGTCACAGGAGGTAAACAGTTCCAAAGATACAGGAGTTGGCGGTTTTAATCCCTATATTATGGGATCAAGAAAGTCTTCTTCTTGATTGATTAGTTCTTGGTTAATACGTTAACTTGTCCACAGAAGGAAACCATAAAAATTTAAAAAAAAAAAAGAAGAAAAATGGGAGATGCCACTTTCATTGACATCCTACTGGCGATCTTCTTGCCTCCTGTTGGCGTCTTCCTCGGATTTGGCTGCAAGGTATGTCTATATATGTATATATATATATATATGTGTGTGTGTATGTATGTATATATATGTTTTGTATGAGCATAGAACTGAGTTTCTTCTTGTTTTGGGGGATAACGGGTGTTACTGAAAAAAACATGAGTTGCAGGTGGAGTTTTGGATCTGTCTGGTCCTAACGTTATTCGGATATCTCCCAGGAATTGTCTATGCTGTTTATGTTCTCACCCATTAGCAACTCAAAAGATCCACCTTCCATCTTGCATTCTCAGATTCAAAGTATGTTTCAGATGTACCTTTCAATTTCTCTGTCTAATGAAAAGTTTGGTTTCAACCCGAATTTCATAATCTCCTCCAACCTGCAAATCATGCTCAATCACAATGCCAGCTTTCATGCTTTGCCCATCTCGCAGATCATTCATTACTCAAACCTCGAGGAGAAACCGATCAAGATTCAGATTTCTTATGAACACAAAAGATCAGTCCGAACACCCCCCAAGCCTTGGCTATTAAAACTATATATAAAGAGTACATAGGAAACAGAAGGGCCGGACCTCGAGCATATATGAGTTCTACAGCCATAGACAAGCGTTTCTACATGCGCAAACGCGATATAAGATCATAGTGTTATCTACAATACCCGATTATTCATTGGCTGCATTACAGAGTAAACCGATAAGCAGCCATTTATGCAGCTTCTGCAAGACCGATCTGCAGATTCTTGGAGTCGAATACCGTGTGATAGACCCCCATAAATACGTCACCGAGGATCCTGCAGTCACGGAGCGAGTTAAAAAAAAAAACCCGGACTAAACTGGAAAGAAACTTGCCAAAATCTGTAAGATAAGGGTTGTATTGTAATATACCAAATAGGACCCCTCGGTGGAGGCAAATCGAACGCTGAGAACCCGCTTATGCACATCTCGGCATAGCCTACTCCGGTTTTGAGAATGTACTGAAAACATCATTACAATCAGATGATGAGCTTATTATGAACAAGGCATTGTGTATATACATGTATGTGTGTGTGTGTGTGTGCAAGTGTATATATGTATTAACTCTTACCTGCTCTGGGGTGAGAGTGAAGGGCTTGCCTCCAATAGTGAATGTAACATCTGGCATGTTGTGGATGTTATTGCAGTCGATGATTGATTCGCCCGCAGGGCTTGGCAGGCTCTCGCAGAGCTGTTCAATTCAAACCACGAAACCCGGAATTTGAAGAACGGTTCTATCGAAGATAACGATGAGAATGGAATGGATGGAAGGAGAAAGAGATTGGGCAGATTTACCTGGTTGATGTATTCAAACACTCTCTCTTTAGTTTTGTTTTGCTTCAACTGTGTCTGAGCCCAGACAACAGCCATCTCACAGGCCGTGCATAATGGCGTATCTCCAACCGTATTATCTTTCTCAACCACTGTTTTGATGAGCGTTCTGCCCGCATCAAGATTGACACCGTGTTTTATCAATGTTAGTTGAAGAAACAGGGAAAAAAAGAAGAAAACTTGTTGTAAAGAATTCAGACACACTTGGGTTTGCTGAAAATGCAGAGGTCAAGCTGTTTACACACTTCACCGGGCTGTACCTGCAAGAAACATCAGAACTATATCGGTATAAAAATGCCGAAACACGAGGTTAGGACAGTAGAAAACGTACAAAACAGACGAGAAAACATACCCCTGAAACCAAGAGATTCCAAATCAGTTCTCCGTATTCAGAAACAACGTCCTTACACTCAGCGCTAATTACTCCCTCAGCCCCGATGGCGTGGTTGATTTGTGTGATCACAGTCTGATAAAGAAGAACATTTGGAGAGGGTTGGGTTTGCCAATAGAGAAAAAAAGACACTAGACTAGATGATTTGCCAATAGAGCAACAGCTTGGAGATCGAAAGATGTCAATTTCGTAGTGTAACTTATGGAGAGGGTCGGGTTTTTTCTTACAGTTGGACCAGCCAGAAGTGAAGTTCCTGAATCCATGATTGCAGCACAACCTTGTTCACAGAAACCTACAGAACAGCTTTCACCAGTTTCATGAGATCCTATTCGGCTTTCAAGTCAGAAATCTATATATCAACATAACAAAGATTAAACTTTACCGGTTGAGCTGTTTCCGACGAGAATGTCACCCAACTCAAACTAACATAATTGTAATAAAATGAATAGATGTTAACCAGTCAAGCTAAATCTTACAACCCAAGAAGACGTAAAGAGACATTTACAGGCAAAAAGTGTGTTTGCTCACTCACCTGCCAATAACCCTTTGTAGTAACAGGAACATAAGTGTGGTTTCCTTTGAAGTGTTTGGAATCAACACCACCAAACACAATCTCACCTCCTGTTTCAGCATCCGGATCACGGTTCAGCCAAAAGGAGAAAACCTGTTCCTTCACGAGCTCTTGATTCACCATGTTATACCTGCAGTAGAGCCACTGAATCACATCACATGATGTTTATGCAGAAACACGTCGTTAGACACAACGAGTGTGAAGACAATGTAATGATAGTTTGTGATGGAGGCGATGTAAGAATGTCAAAGATTTAGCCTCAAATGGATCCAGTAGAAAACCGCATCGATATGAGAATTGCATACCACAGCGGTACTGCGTTCCCGACTGAAATCTCCTGAAAACCTAACCCGACAATCCCATCGAACTTCGCAATCAAGAAAGTGAGACTTCCTTCCCGTGTAGCTTCGATGAATTCCTGATGGTAAGAAGATTCATGTAAAGCAGAAGCAAATTTAATAGGAAATAAAGTTGGAGATTGATGGTACACAAGCTAGACCTGATCCTTGACCACAAGATCACCAACTTTTACGTTGTCTTGACTGAAAAAACCAGAGATCGAGCCCGAGCCATAGCGTATTTGACACGACTTTCCTGAATTATGCATCAACCGAAGAACAAGACAATGTTAGAGATGATAATGACGAATTGTAAATCAATTAGATGAACAAAAAGTATCGGTAATAATCACCGTTCTCAGTGTATGTGCTCGATTTCCCTGACTTGTACTTGGAATGGAAATAACAGGCCAGCTGAAGAACAAACCAAACCAAACACATAAGCGAAAACCGTGTTCCAAGAAACGTGAACAAGTCCAAGGCAAGAACTTTCGAGTTCAGAGCTCACGGAGAAGTAGCATTTTGAAGACGGAACCCAGAGATTAGAACTGCCAGTGTCGAATATAACGTCAAACTCTTGAGGAGGTGTTCCGACACTGATGACTCCATAGTATTGTGCGTCCAAGTAGTTCTTAAGAATCACAATATCTTCTTTAGAATCACTTAAAGTAGCAGAAGATGGGTTCTTTGCATGCTTCAGCTTTCTGATCACTCTGTTTGCTCGGACATCGTCAAGCTCTAGTTGACGTTTCTTCAGACCAATGCGAAACAGATCACTGGAGGTTGTGGGGTGAAGCAAGGTAGCTAAGAGACATAGACAAATGACTTGTCGAAAGAGCTTTTGTCGCGTTTCAGAGGAAACCATCCTGTCAATTGCTTGAAAGTAAGAAACTTTGTTCAGTAAACACTCTATTTAAAGATCCATAGATCAGTATCTGATGCTCAAGGTACAGTTTAAGAGGAAATCAAGCTGTTCATCATTTTCCCAGTAAAAACCAAAGGAAACCCATTAACAGACACGATTCAGATGACTCAAAAACATAAAGATTGTATTCTCAAATAAAGAAAAATTCAAACTTTTTTTTTGTTGAAAAAACACTAGAATCTACCCGTCAATCAGTATCTGATGTTCAAGGTACAGTTTTAGAGGAAATCGATCAGTTATTCATCATTTTCCCAGAGAAAATCAAAGGAGACCCATTAATAGAAACGATTCAGATGACCCAAAAAACAGAAAGATTGTATTCTCAGATAAAGAAAAATCCAAACTTTCTTTGAAAAATCAATAGCATCTAGCGTTTGTCTATCCCTTCTCCAAAAAGTTTGCGTCTTTCTTCTTCTTCCCAACATAAAATCAAGTGAAAAAGGTCGCTCCTGGGTACTTTTCTTTCACAAGCTTTCCACTTTGCGCCTTTTCGAATTCATGAAAAGCATTATAACACAACCCAAGATTGTTCAATCAACAAAGACTAGTGCTGCTAATTGTTAATAAACCCACCCACTTAATCAGAGAGTGATTAGTTATCACATCAAGTAAACTGAAAGACGCAAGACAACACAGAGCTTCACACAGCACGAGTTCATGAGCTGTAACTGTTACCTGAACCCAAAGCAGCTCAAGAACATGAAAGAGATTTTTTTTTTCCAACAAAAAAAAAAAGACAAGAGAGAGATTCATGGGACAAACGCAAACCTAACTCGCGTTGGAGAGAGAAACAAGTGGATGAGATCAGGTAGCCAAAACCCAGAATGCTGGAGCAGACGTTAATGCCCTTCGCTTGCCCCGCTTTTTCTCATCTCTTCTCATCTACTGATATTTTCTCGAGACTTGGAAAACGACAATTTTGTTTATTATATACTTTTTTAAAATCTTTTTCTTGGGATAAATGCAATAAAGTCGCACTCCCTTTCTCTAATTTTCTTTCGCATTAGACCTTTTTTCAAGAATAAATATTAACTTAGCCCATTTCTTTTTTTTTTTTGTCAAATGACTTAGTCCATCTCTTGCAAAAATTACCAAAAATATTTATAAAAAAAATGGCCACTCATTCTATAACGTTGGATTATAAAGATCACAAGATCCATCACTATATTTGTCATGCTATGAGTTTACTATTATTGACAAAGATAAAACGATATTTAATTTTGAAATATTTCTTTAAAATTTCCATGATCTATCCCACTAAATAAAATTAATCTACTTAAAATAAAAATAAAAAAAATTTAAAAAAATATTTAATAAAAGTTTTTAAAAATATCGATTTATTATGATATAATATATTATTTAAACTTAATATTGGAGTGGATAAATGAAAAAGTATTTTTTGAATTTTGGATATTTTGATAAAATTTGAAATTTTAAACTTAAAAGTTTTTTTTGTATATATTATTATTATTGTATAAATTCAAATAAATAAGGTAAAATGGAAATATTTGTTTTCATTATCTCCTCCTGATCCGTCCCTTTTTTTTTCCACTAATAAAAAAAATCTGACAACGATGAATTCGACACCAACCATTGCATTTATTTATGCCATCTTGTGATTGGAGCTTACATTAAATGGTCCCATCCCGGCCACGTGTATCACGTTGATCCATATATTATTAATGGGCCAAGCCCATTCATCTGATATGAGGTTTAAAACGTTAGCCCATATACGGCCCATTTGTATGAGATGAGTCAAGTCCATTCATCTAATATAAGGTTTAAAACGTCGGCCCATATACGGCCCATTTTCTTATGAGATTTTGTTCAACGAATTCTCACACACAGCAACGTAAGCAAGCTTTACCGGAGACGAGAGAGATTCTCCGGCATCCGGTAACCTCAGCTCAATCTCCCTTCTTACCATTTTTCTATGAATTTTATTTTACTTATTTGAATTCTTTCGTTTTTACTTGCTTGGATCCGAAACCGTGGAGCTTCTGTTTCGGGGGTTTGAGATTGCCTCCAAAGTGTTCGATGAAATGACGAAATGAACATCTGTGTATTAGAAAACGTATTTCTTCGTTGTTTTTGTTGTGTTTTTATCTCTCGTCACTGTTTGATTGGTTTCATTTTAGAGAGAAGGATGGTTCAATTCTTGGGTAGAATTGATCGAAATGAGCTTTCTTTTTGTTTTTCCTTCTCATGTACATCTTCTTATACTTGCGCGGGGTTTTTTCGTTCATAAATTGCAAGTACCAAAAAGTTTGGATTTTGGGTGGTGGGTTTTAATTGAAGTGTAATCATTTGTGATAGTAAAGAGAGGAAGAGAATCAAGAGATGGCGTTGAGGCAGCTGTTGGGATGGTCAGAGGGAGACTTGATGAGATCAGATGCAAAACCATGCTCCAAATTGATGAAACAGACCGCTGCCATTTTCACTGTCGGTGGAGCTCTCGGTTTCTGGGTTCTCTGCAGACTTCACTATGGTTAGTTGTTCTCTCCTTCACTTCACTGCTTTCACCGAGCCGCTCCGATCGATATAAGTGTCAGTTCACTTATAGAAAATGTCTTTCTATTATTTTTCGACAATTTACTACATCTTTGTATGCTGGTGAAAAGACTATCCTATCTAAAGAAGCTATTCTACTTGCCTGAGCTTTCGAAGTTGACCATTTGCGTCATTTTGGCCACTTCATCAAATCTCCTTGAACATATACCGATTGCCATTGTGATTCTGTGTACTCCAAGTATGATAAGGAAATTCCATGCTGTCCATGATCGGACAGAATTGTCGTCTTTCGGAGATTAAGGGCTTGTATCCAATAGAAAGTTGCAAGTATGCTTCACAATTGCGATTATATGAATCAGGGAGTTTTCAAGGTGTGACCTAAAATAATCATTAAGAAATATAGATGATCTCGGTCTTCCTCCTTGTTCCGTTGAAGGAAACACAGGATGTGGACGTGGATATTCCTCATGGGAAGAATGGCTTGCCCATTGCCAGTTTGTCTAGTTTGTACAGAGTAGATGAATCTCACATGTCTTTTAGAACGCCAAAGGTTTGGCATACATGACCAAGAGTATTTGCCACATTTGGATTCCTCATTTTCCCGACGCATTTCTATTCCTGCTCTGCAACTGAATCAAGGAGTGACATGATCAGCCAGCTGAATGTTGTTCAGGTTCCATCTCACATTAGGTTTATGAATCCATTTCTTGTGATGGGTTTTGCTGCACGGTGCACATATGGATCGAACATGAGGCAAAAATCTCTTTACACACCATGGGTTGGTTGTAAACAACAACAAAATGTACATTCTCAAGACTCAAGAGACGGTGGCTAATGACGTTGTTGTCTGGTGAATGTGCAGGTCCAAGGATAACTGTGCCGAGAAGCCTGAGGTGGGCGGGCTGTGGAGCCGTGACCGTTAGTACCTCCACGGCTCTGCTGGTTCGTCTCTTCAGTCCGGAGTGCGAGCCACAGAATGTTGCTGCCTTTGACCTTCCCAACCAGCCCAAAGCTTCACTTCCATGAGTGTGTAACCAACCACTTCATATCTTTGCCCTTAAGTTTTTTTTCCCCCATTGAACTTCTATATGTATGTGAATTCATATGTATAAATAAACTTTACTTTTTATACAACCTTTTTTTGGGTACTTTCCAGTTTTATAATTACAAAGTAGTTAAGAATAAGAAATAAATTTGGTTCCATTTTTTTTATTCAATTTAATTGGATAAAATAGTTTTAATAATTCAATTAGATATTTTTTTCATTGAAAATGTTGATTGACGGTTTTTTTTCCCGGATGCTGGAATCGATTATAATATGAAGCACCCAAAAAAATTATTTTTTAATGGAATTTTCTTAATTGAAAAAGTGAAACAATAACTTAAAAATTGAAATATAAATGCTAGGAAAATAATAAAAACAATTTTTTTAACTTATTAAAAAAATTACTTAGATTTTTGTAAATTGTACTATTTTGGTATTTTTTAATAAAAATATAACAAATTAACATAGTAGGCCTAAAATAAAGGCCCAGGAGCATGGGCTTGGCATAGAATCCGAGAGACCTAGAAAACGGCGCCGTTCAATATGTCCGCCTAATCTTTGACGAAAGATGATCGTCTCACTTCTCACCCATCATCAAGTTAGGGTTTCGGAAACCCTAATTTCTGCAAACTCTCGATTGCCATGTCCGTGACGTCGACATCGACTTCGTCAGTTTCTGTAACTTCTCCGCCGGTGAGGTGCGACGAATGCGGTGCTAAAAATCCATGGATTAGACACACCGTACGCCTCCGGAGCGCAATGCGTGTGCTCTGCACGCACTGCGTCCTCCGCAACCACCCAACGTCGTTTTGCCCCTCCTGCTTCGCCTTCTACGACTCGTCTCCGCCGCATCCCTCTCGCAGGGTTTCCTGTTCCAATTGCTTCTCTTTGACCCACTCCCAATGCGCGGCCGACGCGAAACCGCCATCGTATCTGTGTCCGCCGTGTCGGAGTCCCGCCTCGTTCTCGTTCTTTGACCTCTCTGTTCGCAGCGACGGAGTCCCATTCATCGACAAACAGCTCGCCGACATCCTTCTCTGCGCCGCCAAGATCGCCGCCGCGTCCATGACTAAGGCCGTCTACGCCTTGAGATGCGACGCCGACCGGAGGGCTCGTGAGGCGGCGTTGGCGAGGAAGAGAGCGCGTGAGGCTCTCGAACACGTCGTCATGCTTGCCGGAAAAGAGAGAGCCAGGGCCGTTGTTCCACGGCTCAAGGAAGCCTCCGTCGAGCTCTCTGGCTCCGCCGCGAACCGGTCGGTACATGCCGATGTGATACCGAAACCGAGTCCGGTTGCGGCGGCGAAGAACGCGAACGGGACTGTGAGAGAAGGGGAGAGCTCTGCGAATGCTATGAATCCGGGTCAGATCAAGAGCAATGGAGATACAACGAAGGAGAGTCCGCAGAATGGTAATGTCAAACCGGAGGCAGATGCATCAAAGTGAAAAGGGTTTGATCTCAAAACAGGTACAAGGTTCTTGTTCTTGTGGGAATTTGTCTGATGGAAAGGCCGTGGCTTTTTTGTGGAACATGTGTCTGAGGACATAAGGGTTGTCCTTGTCGTCCATGATGATGATGGTACTGAAGAAGATTCATGGACTAGGCAAGATTCTGATTCAAAGTGGTGATCTTTGTCTTGTTCTTGGTCGTTGACTGTGTTTGGAATCGGTGGAGTTGTGTGGCCTGGCGTTTTCTTTATATATATATATATATATATGATTCTGATGATTCCGGAAATCTGAATCCAAAGTGTTGTGATGTGTATACATACGATCATAAATTCACCTGACGTCTTGAAGAGGAAAGTGTTTTTTTCCCGTAAATGCTTCTTTGTCCGAACCGAACCTATAAACAAAAAAAAAAAAAAATTCATCTCGATAAATGACGAGCTCGGACTGTAAAAGTTTGAATCTTGTCAAACCCATTTACACTCTTCCTCCCGTTGGCCCAAAAAGCTCAATTTGGGAACATTTTTTTTTTCTTACAATTGGAAATGGTCGGTCCAATTAATATAATTATAATCATCTTTTTTTAGGCCAAAAAATTAATAAAAAAGCATTTAGATATAAGATGATGAGTTGGGGAGATCTACAAATGACGGCTTTGGATATACGATAAATAAAAGCCCTCGGTTTGTTAGACTTTCTCTTTCAGGGAGATGGCAAACTCGACTCAGCAACCAACCTATATCTCATGCATTGTGGAGCTTCAATGAAAATATGAATAAAAATACATAAATAAGAAACTAACAAAATTTGATATACGATATCAAAGTAGAATATGATATTCCACGGAAATAGAAAACAGTATATTGTAAGATATGGAATTCGATTCATCATTTGGATTCAGATATAATTTTACGACTGTAATTATATTTGAACTAATTCAATCTAAAAATTTATTTGAGTATGATTTTTTTAAATGAATTAATAGAATCTCAATCGTATATAAAAATAATCCTCGAAAATGGGCAGAAAATTTTATATATATATATATATATTGTTCACATTTATTAGTCCTAATTTTTTACTTAATCACAACAACTTTTGCTGTTATGTTTTTTCCATGTAATAAAACAAACATCAATGGCGGCAGTAAAGACGCGGTCATCATCATCATCATCATCATCCTTCACAGAAACACAAGGGATGGGACCTTACGCATTTCCATTGCTTCTCCTCTCCGTGTACCCTCTAAATTCTGAGTATTTATACTATTCTGTTTTTTTTTTTTTTTCATTTTTTGTGTGAAGGTAGTGTAATGTGATGCAATGCAATGCAAGATATCTCACCACACCCAAAAAAAAAAAAAAAAGAAACTGAAACTTCATCACCTACCACTTGATAACTCCATTTCCTCTTCCTTTCCTCAATAACCATGGCACCAGATCTCACTGCCCACTTTCAAATTTTTCTCCTTTTTTTAATGGTTTGCTTTGTTCTTCATCACAATTTAAGCAAAGATTTAAAAAAAGTCCCCATTTGTTTTGGTTTCTCGCTATTGTTACTGTTGTTGCTTTGGTTACATGACAGCTCCTTGCCATCTTAGATCCGACAGTCCTTTCATTCTCCCCCAACATTGACTCTTGCCTTTCCAGAGAGAGAGAGAGAGAAAAAAGGTCCCGTCTTTTTATCTGAGCTGTTGATTTGGTTGAATTCTGGCATCTGGGTTTGGCTTCTTCTGTGTTGTTTTCTGATGGATTTTGGTGTTTTGTGAAATGGGTTTTGGATTTCAGCTTTTGTTTATTTTGGGATCTTGTTTATGTGTAATCTGCATTCAAAGATCTGAACTTTGCAGGTTTTGATCTTCCCTTTGCGTTCTTTGAGGTGAAAATTCGAACTCCCTCTCTCGTAAATAGTTGAATTCTGAATTTAAAAACAACAGGACAGGTAAAATTCAATGTCTTTATGCTAAGTTGCTTGACTTGTCTGATGCATTATTGGATTGCACGATTAATTTGCTGTCATATGCTCTGGGTTTTATGTTCTTGATTTTCTTGGGAACATGTCTTTCTCTGGGTTTATGGTTAACCCCTCCAATTTCTGTGGATAACATGGGGCCACTGAGCCTTGAACTCACATGATTTTCAGACCAGTGGAATCTTTCCGTCTGAAGATTCTAAATTGATGCTACATGTTATTGTCAGGGAATTATTCAGATTGAGGAACAATGGGTGGTCATCTGAAAGACCAGCTCTCAAGAAACAGCCATGTGTTTGGTCTTAAGCTCTGGGAAGTGATGGGATTAGCCGTTGCATTGTTCATCATAGCCATCCTCTCTGTTCTCTCGTTTTGTCTCACCTCGAAAAAGAAATCAAGAAGATCTATAACCAGTCTTCTTCCAGTTAGCCAAACCCCTCCTGTCTCCAAGGAGATCAAAGAAGTCGGAATTGATGAACATGACTCAGCAAGCAACGTTGCTCTTCTAACGATTCGTGACAAAGACAGTAAAGAATCTGATAAAGATTTGCTTCGTTTGGATGTGGGGAGGAGAAAGAACCGAGGTTATAGTCGGTCAGGATCATTTCGTAAACATTCTCAGTTGCAGTCAGGGGAAGAAGGTTTTTCGGGTGGAGCGATCAAACCTTCTTCTTCTTCTTCATATAATATGGCAGGTCCATCCCCTCTGACCGGTCTACCCGAGTTTACTCACCTCGGTTGGGGCCACTGGTTCACTCTGAGAGATCTTGAGTTAGCAACAGGCAAGTTTGCAAAGGAAAACGTTGTCGGGGAAGGTGGATACGGAGTTGTATACAGCGGAAAGTTGATCAATGGAGCTCAAGTCGCAGTGAAAAAGATTCTGAACAACTTGTGAGATTCTGAAAATTCTTTTGCTCTCATTTGGTTTTGTTCCTCTCTGCTGAGTTTTGCTGCTGCAAATGGATTATTTGTAGGGGCCAAGCTGAGAAAGAGTTCAGCGTTGAAGTCGAAGCTATTGGCCATGTTCGCCACAAGAACTTGGTTCGTCTTCTTGGATACTGTATCGAGGGTACACACAGGTAAAAACCCTCGAAAACTCGGGGGTTTTCTCCATAATTTGCTTTTCGTTTCCCAAGTTTTTCGGCTGCAGAAGCTTGCATATCTGACATTGACAACAATGGTGTTTCACAAACTGTAGGATGTTAGTTTATGAGTATGTTAACAACGGAAACCTAGAACAATGGCTTCATGGAGGGATGAGACACCATGGATATCTCACTTGGGAAGCTCGGATGAAAGTTCTCATCGGTACAGCCAAAGGGTAAGCCGACTCTTCTTCTCGTCTTCCATCTTCGTCTTTTTCTGATCTAAACACGGGTCCTTTCTGCAGTCTTGCGTATCTGCACGAGGCTATAGAGCCGAAAGTAGTTCACCGAGACATAAAGGCGAGCAATATACTAATTGATGACGAGTTCAATGCCAAGGTTTCGGATTTCGGCCTTGCCAAGTTGCTCGGTTCCGGGAAAAGCCATGTAACCACTAGAGTAATGGGAACGTTCGGGTAAGCAGGAATTCCTGAAAAAGCCGAGTAAGTACTCATACCTCGATTTCTCAACCCAACTTTACTGATTTCCCTGCAGGTATGTTGCTCCAGAATACGCAAATACCGGACTTTTAAACGAGAAGAGCGATGTCTACAGCTTTGGGGTTTTGATCTTAGAAGCAATCACTGGAAGAGATCCTGTAGATTACGGGCGTCCTGCTCACGAGGTGAGCGTGCTATATCGATGTTATTTTCCGTGATTCAGATCGGTATTTGATGACTTGTTATCTGGATCAAACTCATCTGCAGGTGAATCTAGTGGACTGGTTGAAGATGATGGTGGGGAGTAGAAGATCAGAAGAAGTTGTGGATCCAAACATAGAGGTAAAACCACCGAGGAGAGCGTTGAAACGTGCCCTCTTGACGGCTCTGAGATGCGTCGATCCAGATTCAGACAAGAGACCGAACATGAGCCAAGTTGTCCGTATGCTCGAGTCCGAGGAATATCCCATTCCCAGAGAGGTTAGTTCTGAACATAACCAGAAAACAGAACATGTCTGAAAGTTTATGCCTTGGATCCAACGTTTACGGGAAAAAGTGAACCGAGAGTGGGAAAAAACCGAAACTTTTCAGGACCGGAGGCGATCCAGAACTAACGGGGAGAGTATGGATATTGAATTGCAGAAGGAAAGCTCAGATACAGACAGAAGTAACTCGGCTTCAAGATCACAAAGCAAGAGACGATAAATCATTCATCCAAAAAAACTGATATTCTCTCATGCGGTTCTTTCTTCTGCAATTGTTTCCGGGTTCTCTTTCGGGTTTTCGTATTTGAAGAGTAGATGACAGATAGATATATGCATACATGTATGAACACGTTTTGTATATGGAAACCGGTTTTCTTAAAAAGACTAGTGGATTGGCGTAATAAAATCATTGTATGAACATGCTTTTTTCCAGCTGTAACGTGGATCTCTTCAGAATCATCTTTCGATTCTTGAAACGGAAAAGAACAGTATCGAAGCCAGCTAGTTCACAACCGTACAGTTCATCAGTTTCAGATAGCACTCCTTATCTCCGACATGTTGGATGGAGATTAAAACCCGAGTTTCGACCTGAGAAACTTGGTGAATCCAGGATTCAGAGAAGTGTCTTTGCTTCCTGGGTCGGTTTTTTTTTTTTCGTGAAGTCAGGTTGCTTGGCGTCCAAGGAAGGTGAAGGTATTGGCTGGCAGGTGCAGAAGCAGATAAGGGAACGCGATACTGCGAAACGCCCCTTTTCCAGACGCTATTGTGCGGTCTCAGGAAACACGTTCAATTATTTTATGATTACTAATTTAATCATTGGTCCCGTAGCTCAGTTGGTTAGAGCGTTGGTCTTATGAGCCGAAGGTCGCGGGTTCGAGCCCCGCCGGGACCAATCACTTGAGTTTTAACTTAATTATTTAATGGAAAACAAAATATTAATACGTTGACATATTTTTTTATTTAAAATTTCAAATAAAATTACGTTTCTTGGAAATAAATGTAAGGTACAATTTTTCTCCTATTAGATTGAGTTTTAGGAATTTCGGATCTGTTCTACTCTTAAGGCCCAAAATACTAATTTTTTTTTTTTGGAATTCACGTGACGAACCGGAGTTAAGTTACCACTCAATCCATGAAAGTCCAACTAAAACTTCCTTTTGTATATATCCGTGATATGAATATCCAAACACAGTGATAAACTATTTCAATTTATGAAAAACCCAAGCAAAACACTTTTTTTTTATCAATAAGGACAGAAAATTTAATGCAACAAAAATCTTTTCTTTTTTTTGTAAAGTTTTAGCCCATGGGTTACAACAATCGTTACATAACGTTTTGTATTATAATATCTCATTTGCAGAATATATATCAGATCAAAGTCTCAAACAATTTGTATTATATAGTATTTCTGTAGCCCCATTCACTCACAAATATACCACAAGCAAGTTTGGACATCATATGTACGTACTCCCCAAAACCCGGGACATGTACAACTCCCACACTAAGTAATAATATCACACGTGTAACGTATAGAGTTACGTAAAATATACTAACATGTCAACTCTCCGTAGTTAATTTCGAAAAGCGTCTGATTCAAGCAGAAGGTTTTGATTTCATGCAGCGGATGGAGCTTTGACGTGGTGAAGAACGCCGGCGTCCGAGAGAGCTGCAAGAAGAGGCTGATCGATCGCTCTTTGCCGCTTGTGGTCGTTGTTGTTGTAATCGAGGGATTCGTCTTTGTAAATGTCCCACCATTTCTTGACCAGCATCTTGATGTCTTCTCTGTCCATGTTCTCCTCTTTTCCTGTGTACCTGCAACCAAAATCCAAGAATTTTAAAGGTTAGATTCTTGATACATTGAAAAATAAGAGAGATTTGTAATATGCTAGTGAAAGAACTCATGAATATAGTCTATCTTATAGTGCTTGGATCACCCGTGTATAGCAATGGGGTGAGAGACATCTCTCTCTCTCTCTCTCTCTCTCTATCTATCTATATATATATGTATGTATATTACCTCCAAGGCTTAGAACCCGCAGCACAATAGTGAACAACCTTAACTTTGTCAAGCTCAACGTTCTCGGGATGCCTCCAAAGCATGGCCAAGACAAGGTTGTAAACCGGTGGAATCGGCTTGTATATGTCCTCAAAATACATGTTCAAGAAATCCTAAAAATCCACAAGAAACGAAAAGGAATGATCTTTCAGTATCATCTATAACTTCCATATGATCGCTCCAGATAGATTCGAAGAATATACTTTACTTTTTACGTTACCTGTTCGGCAAAAGAAGTGGGAGTGACAGCTTTGAGAGTCTCTAGGAGGTTGTGGTAAGTGGACAAGCACGGTTCGAACACGAACATGCCGGCGTTGAAGTACAACGGCGGTTTCGGTCCCATCTCCGACGGCCACGTCACCTTTTCAGGCGACTGCTGACAGTATCCGATCTTGTACTGTGGAGTGTGGCTCCAAGTCTTCTCGCAGAAACAGTCCATCACAGCGTGGAAGTGACCGTTGGGGAGATTGAACAAGTGGTCTATGTTGTCGAACACTTGAATGTCCCCATCTAAGTATATCATCTTGTTGTACTCCACGAACTGCATGTCCAAATATTTTTCATGCATAACACCATCATAAGAAAAACTTTGGGAAAATGGCAAAAACCCACACAGATTATACTAAATGTGTAAAATTAGTACATCAATTTTTAATTTGACAAAATCCTCCATCCGATTTCAAATTTTCTCAATTTCCAGCATCGATTGTTTTGGAAATTTCCAATTAGCACCGTAAAGGGAATTGACCCTGCCACATCAGCACTGCATGTTGATGTGTCACCACTCATCGAAAAATATGCCACGTAGGATGACACGTTACCTGCCACGTCACCAGTTCGGTTATTGTAATCGGTTCATTTAATTTAACCGGTTAAGTGGAAACCGATTTTTTTTTAAAAAAAAGAGGAAACCCTAAATCAGAAAAGAGGAAACCCTCTCTCCTCTCCTCTCTGCTTCTCTCTCCTCCTCTGGTGCTGGAAAACTTCTCCTGTGAGACGAGCTCCGGCGTAGCTCTGACGCTTCTCTCTCCGCCGCAGGTGATGGTGGGAATGGCGGAGTATATTGCGGCCGTAGCCGTGAGGGAAGAGGATTCATCTCAGTCGTTGGATCCCGGAGGCTCGCAAGATTGCTGGAAGAATCAGGACCCTGAGTCTGTGGCTAAGTTCTTGGCTTACTGCGACGGCCTGAGCGAAGGGTTCATCGGACGGCTGAACCAGAGGACGAGACATCATCGGTGGGATGATCGGACGGTGGATATGGCGTTTGGGAATAGAACAGCTGAGAGCGCGTGCGACAAGATGGTGTGTCGGATAAATACATGATGATTGATCCTAAGCTGGCGTGGAACATCGTCACATGCTTTGACGACAATGTTTTTTATTCTTTTATTTGATGTTGTGATTTGTTTTTTCGAATTATTGGATGACAAATTGGTCAGAACCACGTATTTTTCGGGTCGAAACAAAAATATATTAACCTAACAATAGTTTTTCGGAGCTGTTCTCACCGGAGGAGTTTTCCAGCAATGGAGGAGGAGAGAGAGCGGAGAGGAGAGGAGAGAGGATGTGATGTCGATTTCTGATTTAGAGTTTCGATAAATCCTTTTTTTTAAAAAAAAAATCAGTTTCCACTTAACCGGTTAAATTAAATGAACCGATTTCAATAACCGAATTGGTGACGTGCAACATATTTTTCGAAGAGTGATGACACATCAGCATGCAACGCTGACGTGGCAGGGTCAATTCCCTTTTCGATGGTAATTGGAAATTTTCAAAACAATCGATGCTGGAAATTGGGAAAATTTGAAATTGGGTGGGAGATTTTGTCAAATTAAAAATTGATGTACTAATTTTACACATTTGGTATAATCTGTGTGGGTTTTTGCCATTTTCCCAAAAACTTTTAACAAAAAAAAAACAAACAAGGTGTACGCTAGGGTTTGACGATACCTTCCAAATACGGAGCTTGGAGTAGTTGATGACGTAATAAGCCATAGCGAACCGAGTCTGGTTCTCCGGCGGATAAACCGGTTGAATCTCCTTCACGACGCAGCCTTGCTCCGTGAGCTGTTTCCGGTGATCTTCGGGGACGTCGGGCAAGACAGCGACGACCAAAGGGTACTTGCTCTTCACCTTCCTCAGCCCCTTCGCCAATCCCACCACTCCCTTCACGTAGTCACCGTTCCCCGCCAAAAACGTCACGTACGCTCTCTTCGAGGAGGGCTTGATGATGGTGTTGAGCTCCAAATCCATGGTTTCCGATTCTGAAAACGGAAGATCTCAACTGGGCTTTGTTAAAGATGGGATCTTTGAAGATGGGTCTTGCTAGGGTTTGGGAGAAAGAGTTTGACGCGGCCGACAGTCAAATCTCAAATGGGTTTTGGTTTGGTTATGAGAAAATAGTGTTGGAAAGTTTTGGATGCGTGATCGTTGGGAGGCACCAAATGGTGGGGTTATATAGAAACTATGCGATGATTATGGTTTAATTAAATTAATTAATCTAAGATTAGGTTTGGATGATAAAGTGGGACCCGGTGAGAGAATAAAGATTTTGATCGGACGGCTAGTACTCCATATCTTTATATACAACGAATTAGATTGCATCAACGCATAACATGAAGCTTCGTGTTACTTGGGTAAACCAGTGGGGCCCAGATAAAGTCTGAGCCAAGTGGATGTTTGACACGTGTACTGGCTCGATCGTCGGGTCAGATCTTATGCAGTGGGTCATCGTTGATTGGTCTAGTCAATGGGGTCCACTTTATATGATGAAAGAGTGGGGTCCAAAATATAGTATAGAGCTGTGATCTTCTGATTGGATGATCGATGACACGTGTTTACGTAACGCTTATTTGGCGGTGATCACACCACGTGTCGTGATGGGTTTCCACTTGGAAGCAGCAGGCTCCTCACTAACTGTCTCAACTAACTTTCCCATAATTTTCGTTATGTTAGTTTGTCCGACGCATGACGGACCGACCATATTTTTTACGTTTAAATTCAAATATTTAATTTTGGTGAAAGTGAAATAAATATTAATTTTTGTAATCCAAATGGTTATTTTACGTTACTTTTATTTTACTTTTAGGATATATAAACCTAAAAGTTGGTATTACTTTTTAATTTACTATATATTATCCGAGTGTTGGTATTTGGTATTACTTTTTTAAATAAAAAAAATATTTGTGGTCCACTAAATATTAACTGTTGTAACTTTTAGAATCTGTACCTTTAGAATTCTAGAATTTATGTTATCCCCGCATTCAAAGATTTTGATAATAAAGTTTAGAGATTTGAACCAAAAAAGTTTTAGAACAATATTGGATGATCTTATATGATTGTAAATAATATTTATGTTAAGAAAAAACTGAAACGAGGTAAATACAAAATGACCTATATATATATTTCATAAAATATGAAATTCATTTTATTAAGTGATAAAATTGTCTTTCCCTAATATTACATAAAATTTCAAATAATTTCAAAATTCATTTATGTTATCTGCATATAATTATTTATCTGAATATCTATATGTAAACATTTTATTAATATATCATATTAGTGTCGTTTAAATTTTAAAATGTACCTCAATTATGTGACATCAAATTAGAAAATCTAAAACATAAAAATATCAATAATGCAAAATATTATATAAACTTCAGAAGACGACAAAATCCTAATCTTTTGTCTCTTGGCCAAGTTTGTGCGATCACAAATTTATTTGAAATTTCACAAATTGTAATTATATAGTAGACAAAGTCTAACAATTGGTTAGGAAAAGATTATAGCATGAAAAAATATGTTTAATTTGTATTATTATTATTATTATTATTATTATTATGGAACACAAAACAAAATATTGCAAGAACTAGAAGAAAAATACCAAAAACATTTTAAAAAAAAAGAATCCATAGAGAGACAAAAAGTTAACATTGATAAAAAGTACTATAACAAAAAAAATCATATATATATATACACACACACATCAACATTCTAATCCACAAAAAATACAATTCTTCATGGTCAAATATATATGTATGTGTATATAATATATATATATATATATATATATATTGTTAATTTATGGATTTTAGATAACTACAGGTGGCTTACTTGTCATATGACTAGTCTTAGGTATGACTTTGACTAATCCTTCCATAGAGTATAGTCCAAATACATATCGTCCCCATTTTCGTCGGCAAACGTTTTCATAATTTCTTTTGGAAATTAATAAAATAATATCGGTTTCAAACCAAAAAAAAATTGATAAAGTAACCATTTTAGTCATTTTCACATGAATTTAGATTTTACAGACACTTTTATTATATTCACATATTTAAGAACAACTTCTTTACTCTCAAAATATATTATTCCAAACAAAATAATTTTTTTTTGGGTTATTTTACTAAATCTCTCTAATAAAAAAAAAAAAAGTTTAACTCTCCGTTTTCAGTTTTCAGAGATTCAAAAGCATTATCAAAGCTTTAGGCAACGTCATCAGATACAAAAGCAGTCATGACAAAGAAAGAAAATAACAATAACATGAAAGCTCGCTTGAAAATCTCTAGTGATGAAAAGACAGATACATACAATACAAACATAATGAGCTGCTGAGAATGTTGTATGGACATTTTCAGGATTGAAGAACAAGTTTCTTGCCGAGAATCATGTCGTCGGTGGTGAAATCGGGGTCTTTCCGGTAAGTTCCGCGGCCAAAATCGAGGTTGTATGAATCGGTGAGGCCCTCCACCAGATCGAACTCGGGTTTCCATCCCAACACATGCTTTGCTTTCTCCACCGATGCAAAGAAATGCTGCATAAACATACACATACACAGAGACATTTATGCCACACCGAGTTCATGCAAGATTCTTTAGCGTTGTCTGAATTCAGTCTGGCAGTGAGGAGACGTGATTTTGTGAAAAGGGTTGTACCGAAATCGAAAAAAGTTTGTATCTTTTACCTGATCGCGGAATGGGAAAGACTTCTTCTTTCCAAAGTCGAACTCTTTCGGGTTGTAGTGAACGATCTCTGGTTCTGGGAATCCACCGGCCTGAATAATTGAACAAAGGAAAAGGTTATCTCTGCGATAACCAGCGTAATGTTCTTCATCTTTCCAAAGTGGCTATCATTCGGGTGAATATTGTGTAGTGTATCATCCAGCAATGATCCAAAAACAAATGTAAATCTTGTAATTTTGCTGTTAAAAGTTGCATTTGGGCGTATAGTTTAGTGAGGTTTGATCTCGGGGTGACTAAAAGCTGGATTTCTACCATTCTTGAACAAACAAAACAACGGACTAACACCAACAATAAAAAGATTCGGATCGATTTGAAGAGGAAATGGAAAAATAGTGAATGAGAATGTACCTTAGCACACGCTCTTGCCAGCCCATCAAAGGTAACGTACTTCTCTCCGGCGATGTTGAATACTTCTCTGCTGGCTTTCTCGTTGCCAAGAACGATCTGAAAGGCCGTTGCCAAGTCCTGTAAATTGCAGAATCACCGAGGGTTATAGATGAAATCCCCAAACGTTAGTTCTTTTAGATCTTTCTACTCTTGATGATAGAAAACAGGGTTATCTGCTTTCTAGCACAACTACAAGTACCGAAAAGGGATTTAATTGTTCTCATAAACGAATCCATCATAGAGACAATTTATGGAAATGAGAATGTGCTAAACAAGTTACCGACCTTAACATGACCGAGTTGGGTGATCTGAATTCCCGAGTTTGGAACTGGAATTGGGCGACCGGCTTTAAGGCGGTGGAAGAACCATTCTTCCACCGGGTTATAGTTCAATGGACCGTAAATATAGACAGGACGTATTGAAGTCCAATTGACATTTCTTGATTCCAACAAGCTCTCGGTCTCTAGCTTCCCCTTGTGCCTGCTCTTCGGGTCAACTGCATCGGTCTGCCATTGGTTCAGATCACATATAAAAGTGATCAGATGTATGGCGAATAGTGCCGATAGAAACTATTCATTGTGTTTTAGTTCTACTTTATACAAAGGCATGATATTTCACATACCTCACAGTGTGGCAAGAGATCGGATTTCAAGTAAACACCGGCTGAAGAACAGTAGATATACCTATCATTGACAAATATTTCCAGTTTTGCAAGATCAATCATGAAAAAAACAAGCTGTAAACACATGAGAATCTGTAAATAAAAAATGTGAAAAACATATCCATTGTGCCAAGATTCAAGATCACGTAGAACATGAACTTCGGTAATTCACATCTACAGTAACCATATGGAAAAACCGGCAACAGTCTCAAGAAAATTAAAGAAAGTTTTCGAAACCAAGCAAGCAGAAGGAAACAAAGTATAGAACTGACAGTTCTTCTGTATAGCTATGGATGGAGGAGGGCTTACTGTTCTAGTTTAGGCAGAGCATCCAGTAAGGGGGCAACTTCTTCAGCTTCTCTTCCTACGAAAGTGGAACAGAAAAACGTATAATACCGTATACACTATGTACAGCATGTGCTTTGCAGAGAAAAAGAGTCTTTTCATTACCGTTAATATCGTAGACAACATCAAAGCCTTCTGCTGCGAGGCTGGATTTCACAAAATCATAGTCCTTTCTGTCTCCTTTCAAATGAAGAATCTAAGAAACAGTGGAAAAATCAATCTTTGTGATCCGCAGTTACTGACCAAATCACCCTATTGCTTTAACTTTTAAATCCTGAACTGTTCATTATGCCTCAAATCCCATTCATTCCCTCAAATGGATATGTTTCTTCCGTAGATTCATTTGCTTCTTATATTCCTTACATCATCGAATTCTTTTCCTTACAGTGTTAGAATCCGAATCCGTTCTGGAATTGTGTTAGCATTTTAATATCGGATTTGAATCCTTCTTCTTCCATGTTCCTGAGAATGTATGGGACTAATATGGGCAGTCAAGCACCATGTTTAGGAACTAGTCTCAATGAGGGCTTTTCCACGATAAAAGCTCGTGCCATCTTGACCATGTATTAAGCTTTTCTTGGGTTATCTCGGCCATCATATCACATCGCAAGAAATCGTGTAATACCTTGGACGAAAAATCAGCAAAGTCTTCATCAGATTCACCCGGCAATTGCTTGGCAATAGGAACTTTACCTCTTGTAAACAGAGTAACCTGCAGAAGCCACAATTCACAAACAAGATAATAGGAAGTGAGTATTCGAAAAGAGAAACTAAACCGAGATGAATCACTGGTGAGGAAGCAAGAACCTGGTGACCGTCTTTCATGAGGAGCCTGGACAAGAACACGCCAATGAATCGGGTACCGCCCATTATCAGAATCTTCTTGGCACTCGATGCTGAAACATGAAGTGCTCCTTTTGGCTTGTAGGCCTTCCTCTTATACTGCGATTTCAATACAAAATCCAACAGTAAGCATGACTTATTTCCCAAAGAAAGAACTCAAGTCTTCAATCTCAATTATACTTTGACATTAATCATCCTAAAGTGACAAGAATTGCCAAAGCTAGGACTTTACAAAAGCCTCAAGCTTTAAGATACAGATTAAGTTGAGGTTCATAAAACGGAGATTGTCTCGAAGTATCAAAATTGTAAACAGTTGAGTTTGAAAAACGCATTACATACAGAAATCTGGGAATTGTTACCTTAAAAAACCAACAATCTCGAACCTTTATCAAAGAACAAAAAACCAAGGTCACAACAGAACCAGACAGTACTTATGTAAATACCCATTCACTAATCTACACAGAGACGAGCAAAAAGAAGAAATTGAACAGAACCCACAGGCTTAAAACCCTGAAAAGGGCACAAATTTTGAAAATTGATCATGAATGACGTATGAACAAATAAAAAAAGGACCTGGGCTTGACAATGGAACTCAATTAATCACACCAACAAAGATTGATTGACTAAAACCCAGAAACACCCAATTCTAAGAATTGATCGCGAATGATGTATGGAACAAAAGGGTAAATAACAGGGGACCTGGACTCGGAGATTGAGCTTGGCTCCATTGAAGTCAGAGAGAGAAGCCGAAAGGGGAGAGAAAGAAGGCTGGTGCTGCTGCAACACGACCATCTTCGCCATGGCTGCTTCTCTCTCTGAGCTCGTGAATGGTGTTAATGAACTTGAAAGTGTGTATGGTTGTTGAGGTCCCCCATCTTCTTGTTCCTTCTGATCACTAAGTTTTTTTCATGGGGATTTTGAGGATAAGACAATGATCTCAGCCTCTCGCTTTTTCGTGATCACATATTTTTGCGGCCATTGTCGTCCTCTTCTTTGATATATGCTTTTGTCTCTTGGTGTGTCAGGGACCAAATTGATCGAAATAAAAGTTCCGTGGTCTAAATTGGAATTTTTTATTCTCGTGGTTGGTTTTGATTTCGGCCTGTCAAACAATTTAGTTTGGGCCTTACTTGGGCCTCCAGGACTATTTAAAAATAAAAAATGAAAATGAAAATTAAATGAAATAACGTAGCACACAACCTGCGAGAAATCGGAGATCGTGCGAGAAAATTTTCTCGGGAAAATTCTCCGAGGGAAAGCTAGGACTTGTACAAGGAAGAGGAGAAGACTGTGTGTTTCTGCTGATCACCAGGTTTCTCCTTCGCCAGATAACTCGTTGTACTCCCGGAGATGGACCCTAATCAGGTGATTCAGCTGATTATTTGCTCCATTTTCCATTCCATTTCCTTTTGATTAGTGATGATTTTCGAGTTTTTTTCTTCTTGTCATCGGAATCGGGTTTTTCTGGGAAGAATTGGTCGATCTGGACGTTATTGTGTCTGATCTGTGTTCTCCGATTGGTCTCTGAGAAAATGCGTAGATATTAGGAGGGAAATTTTCGCATCCGTGAGGTACGCAAGGGTTTGAGCTAATTATCTGTTTGGATAATTGAGGAAAATATCATGGAAATAACAAAAATTAGGCGAAAATGATTGAATGAGAAATATTTGTTCCTTCGAATCTACAACTGGAAAGATATGGAAATTCTTTTTATGTTTTACTATTTTGTTGATTTATCTGGGGATGGAAGGCTGTTTCTACTAATGAGTTCTTCTCTTTTCGCCAGAATGTGTATGGAAATAATCTTAATCTACCCTGTTGATAATGTTAATGGTTGCTGCTCTGTAAATTGCCGGATGAATGTAGCTACTATACCTTAGAATTGCTGCAGCTGCGGTTATTCTCAAATCGTTTGCGGTGGATATTGTGCACCATATGATATCGTTGGGTTTTTTAATTGTTTTACAAAGGTTTTCTCTCCTTAAATCACTGTATGAACACCCGTAGCTGCAGCTATTTTTTTAGAATTGGTATATCTGTGATTATTCTTGAATTTGATGCTTACCAAAAGTTAATTTTGCTTTGTTGCAGCAACCAGTTGAAAATTATGCAAACCCGAAGACATGTTTCTTCCATGTTCTCTTCAAGGTTTGTACAAAGTATAAGTTTATCTCTGCTGAAAACAGCTGTATCTCGCAATGATTTGATAGTAGAGAATGGTCACCAGTTTGTTTTGTATAAAACTTGGACAGGGTGCTGCTCTGGCGTTCTACATACTATCCGCTCTTTTCTTCAATAACTTTGTCATAATCTTCGTGGTGACTGTCCTTCTGGCTGCCCTTGACTTTTGGGTGGTTAAGAATGTGAGTGGGCGCATACTAGTTGGGTTGAGATGGTGGAACGAGATCGATGACTTGGGCGAGAGTGTGTGGAGATTTGAATCCCTTGACCAGGAGGTTATTTTAGTTCTTCGATCTTTCCGTTTACTTAAATCAAAAGTTCATGGGATCATTTGTCTTAAAAACATTAGTTTGTGTTCCCCTTTTCCGTATCAGTCTTTGGCTCGGATGAACAAGAAAGACTCGTGGCTTTTCTGGTGGACCCTTTACCTTTCTGTGAGTATTTCTCTGTATAAGGCTTTAGATTAAGTATATGGTTAATACTGAGAAGTGGGAATTTCTCAGAACGCAGATATGGATATGACCTGCCAAGAATTAATGTTGGATCTATCGATATGGTGACCGTGACTTGATGAAGAATTCATCAAAGGTCATGGCTTGGATCCTTGGTTGATTCTTTTTTTTTTCCGATACTGCAGGCAGCTTTGTGGTTTATCTTCGGGATATTTTCACTCATAAGGTTTCAGGCAGACTATCTGCTTGTCGTCGGAGTTTGCTTGTCTCTCAACGTGGCTAATATCATCGGCTTCACCAAATGCAAAAAAGGTTAGATTCCCTATTCCTGTTTCCATTCTTGTCCTGAATCTGGTTTAGAATCTAACCTACTAGTTTGATAGATATAGGATATGAGTAAACATGAACCAGCCCTGCATGCACATGCAAACCTAGAGACAAAGATTTGGATATATATACATATATATATATATATATATATCTGTGCGTGTGTGTGTACATACATATAGGACATTACACGTGTAGTTCAATTCTTTCCTAATTCATCTATGAATATCCCTCGTTTCTTCCATATTTCATTAATCACATCCATGTAGAATCACGTCCCTGCGTTCTGCGTTTACGTTGTAAGTACTGACGAGTAAGAAACACGTTTCAGACGCGAAGAAACAGTTTCAGCAGTTTGCGACTCAGACGATCGCGTCTCAGTTCACCTCTACCATGCAATCTGCGTTCACCCTTGTCTGAAAAGCTTGGAATGGAAACTCAAAAAGGAAGAATGTCTGTCGCCTACAGTGAAATCAGAATATCAGTGTACAAAGAAAAGATGGCCCAAAACTACACCGTTTTTTTCTCCGAATTCTTACCACTTTTTGTTGCGTGTTACAAATTTGGTACTTAATTCGTTTTTTATTTTATTTTGTATTTTTCACATAATCGAACTTGTCACAGTTTGTTGTCTTGATCACTCTAGTGAATTTTGTGTTTGATCTGGAATTTTTTTTAGGAGTACAAAAAAATCTAAAATATTGGAATTTCTTACTAGTAAATAGTAAAATGATTAATTCTGTAATTTTTTGTCAATACACACACATATATATATATGTGTGTGTGTGTTCATGAGGCGAAACTTTTAATCGAATTTATTAAAATAGTATTTATATTAAAACTTTGTTGGAATAAATTATTTGTAATGTTAAGAGCTTAGTTTATTACTTAAAACAATTCAAAAAATATTGTTTTTTAATCAAATTTTTTTAATCTACGATACAGTTCTCATACATTTCGGTATAAAGTCATCAAATATCAAGTAGACCGGAGTAAACCGGTTGGTACAAGTTCTATAGCTTCTGAATTCGATTGTTTCTGAGCTGCAAAACAGAAAATTCTGGGGAGAGCGAGGGAGAGAGAAGAAGAAGGAGGAGTAGAGAAGCTTTCTTCGCACATCGGTGTGTAAGGATGCTGCAGTGTATATTTCTTCTCTCCGATTCTGGGTGAGAGATCTTACCTTTTTTTTTTCTTTCTGGATTCTATACGATTATTTCAAGAAAAAAATTGATTCTCCGCCGATGTTACTCGGTTCGGATTGCGCGGATTATGTGCTGTGGAATTCCATAGAATTGATTGGAGATCCTTCGGGTTGCGATTACAGGGAGGTAATGTTGGAGAAACAGCTTACAGGACACCGAGTCGATCGATCCATTTGTGCTTGGTTTTGGGATCAGACTCTCTCTCAGGGAGATTCCTTTAAGGTATCTGCCGCATCTTTTCTGGATTTCGATTCCTGGGTTCTTCCCAAAAATCTTAATTTCGCGCGATTTCAACTGTTCTCTCGTTAGTGGGTTTTGTTTGATTCTTCAATGAGATTCTGGGGTTTTCAGCTGCAGTTTTGCTCTTGATTCAACTCTATTTAACCCTGTTTTGTCTTGACGTTTATGTCCTACTGTTTTGGATAGTCACTACCAGTGATTGCTTCACCAACACATTACCTTTTCCAAATCGTTCGTGAAGGCATCACGTTCTTGGCTTGCAGTCAGGTCGAAATGCCGCCATTGATGGCAATCGAGGTGAATTTATGTCCCCTTTGTCTCCCTAGTTTTTTGCGTGAAGGGTAGTGTTCCGATCGAATGAGACAAAATCCCCTGCATTTTAACTCGTGGGAATTTTAGTTCCTTTGCAGAGTAGCCGATGTTCTGTCTGATTACCTTGGAGGGCTGAATGAAGATCTCGTGAAAGATAATTTCGTCATCGTTTATGAGGTATTTTGCATTTGAAACGCTAAGTATTCCCAGCTTATTTTTCATTGTGCTTTGTTTTTTTAATCTTAATTTAACTTCGATTATTCTTTGTTTTGAACTGAAAGTATACATCTTTTGGCAAAGGGAGAATGCTGTGACAATCTCCAGTGTACAAGTGTTTGATAAATTCAGAAGTCTTGTAATTACTCTTGTTTGAAAAGGAGCTTATACATCATCCTTTTTTCATTCAAGCAGCGAATCGTCCATAATTTTTTCCGACTTCTGGCTTCTGGATGAGTTTATATGCTTTGGATTGTGTCATTTTCCTCTGTGCTTGCTTGCCTGTCTCTAAAGTCTAAAGTATACATTCTGTGACTTGGATCTTCTTTGTTTATCTCAAAAGTTTCTTTATTTCTTTGATTTCACCATTTCTGTATTGTTTCAAACTGACAAAATCACGCATTTGTTACTTGTAGCTTCTGGATGAAATGATCGATAATGGATTCCCTCTCACAACAGAACCTAACATTCTGAGGGAGATGATAGCTCCGCCCAATATCGTTAGCAAGATGTTGAGTGTTGTAACAGGTAATACTTCCAACGTTAATGACACGCTCCCAAGTGGAACATCTTCTTGTGTTCCTTGGCGACCTACGGATCCAAAGTACTCTAGCAATGAAGTCTATGTCGATCTTGTTGAAGAAATGGATGCAACCGTTAACAGGTTTGTCGTAGAAAGTCCATATGTTTTCACTTCTGTTCTTATGGAAAAGATAAACCCATGATTTCTGCCAATGGTAAACCCATGATTTTGCGTGAAGTGAAGTTTTGGATCATATTTTTCTGAAACACTGGTCAGGGACGGAGAGCTGGTAAAATGTGAAATATATGGCGAAGTCCAAGCGAACTGTCAGCTCTCGGGTTTTCCAGACTTGACATTGTCATTTGCAAACCCATCAATCATAGAGGATGTGAGGTTTCATCCATGCGTCCGTTTCAGACCATGGGAATCTCATCAAGTTCTCTCCTTTGTTCCCCCTGACGGACAGTTCAAGCTCTTGAGTTACAGGTGCGTTTTTCCGTGGAGAATGTCTATATTTCATATGTCAAAATTCTAGCTCAAACACAGTACCCTTTTCGTTACTTTTACACAAAATAACCTGATTAACAAAAACGAAGCAAAAAAACCGATTTAACCCTCCAAAGCCTGTAAGCTGCAGCTGAAACTGAAAATGTTGGAGTTCGTAGTGCAAACAGATTAAAAAAAGAATTGCATCCTTTACTCAGTTTGTATCTGAATGTGTTTTGGGATTCAGGGTGAAGAATCTGAAGAGCACTCCTCTATATGTAAAGCCTCAGATAACATCTGATGCCGGGACATGTCGTGTTAGCATATTGGTCGGGATAAGAAGTGATCCGGGAAAGTCAATTGAGTCGATAACTTTAAGTTTCCAGCTCCCGAACTGTGTCTCATCAGCGGATCTCTCATCAAATCATGGAACCATAACCATCCTTTCTAACAAGGTAATATATAACCATCTACAATCACATCACTTCATGAGTGTCTTATATTACTGAATCCGGGTTTGAACTCTGCAGACATGTTCTTGGACAATCGGGAGGATCCCAAAGGACAAGACTCCATGTTTGTCGGGGACATTGGTGCTGGAGAGTGGATTAGATCGGCTTCATGTTTTCCCGACGACGAAACTCGGGTTTAAGATAATGGGCATTGCTCTTTCTGGGCTACGGATCGAGAAACTTGATCTGAAAACCATCCCTCCTCGTCTGTACAAAGGGTTCCGAGCTCAGACACGAGCTGGAGAGTTCGAGGTCAGACTATAGTCTTTTTGTCTACTGTGAAGTTTATTTTTTTTAAAGTTCGGTTGTTTTTGGGATGGAATTACTTGCAAAGTTTGGCAGGAACCCTGATTAGAAACGCCGTTGAGGATTCTGCGATTCTTGTGAAGTGTATGTCTCTGTGTTTTTTTCTTGATGAATGATTTTCTTTGGTCAAAGACATGACATTGGTTTTGTTCTTACCAAATATCATAAGCTATGAAGTGTATGTCTCTATGTTATATATATATGTTATATATATGTGTGTGTGTGTGTGTGTGTATGCTCTCAACAATATTATAACATAGTAACTAGTCTAGTTCTTATATCATTTGATGATGCAATCAAGTTTCGTTTTTTTATATACGATTCTTTCACGTATACATATATATATATATATATATAAACAAAAATCGTAAATTGGTTTTGTATCATATTCTAAAAAAATATTGGTTTTGCATTTTGATCTCAAAATATAAACTTGGAAATTTTAAATAATTAAGTTTGTTTGCGAGTTTCAGTTGCACTGAATTTGATTTCATTGTCTAGTCATTCAAGTCGATGTGAAGTGTCAATGCTAGAAATAAATTTAATGTTTAATTAGAATTAGAAAATAAAATTAGCCGTTCGTTTGGTCATTTCCACAAGTATTTAACGGAAACAAAAAAAATTTGAAAACATCGGATGGGGACCGGCTATCAAACTGATCCAATTGAAACCTGCCACGTGTAACAAAACTCATTTAGCCAATGATTGTACGCCACATGTATATCGCAAAAGTAATCCTATCTAGTCCGCCAGAATTCACCGTCGATCGCTACCCTTACCAAAAATGGCGGCGATTCTGGATTCGCTTTGTCCTCCGGCGACTTCGACGGCGACGTATCATCGCGCCGTCGCCGGGGCTACGCATCGCTGTGGGTTGAGTAGGAACTGCTCGATTCCCAACTCGTCGTGTCCCTTTCCTTCGTCCTCTGTTTCTGAGACTCGCCAAGAGGTGATTCCTCTTTCAGCTCTTTTGATTTCTGTTTTCCTGCATTTGTTTTTTTCTTTCTTCGGGGGTTTTCTGGTTTTTTCTCCAAGTTCTCATTTTCTCTTGTGTCGATTGAAGGCATGAAGCTTTTGGTTGGATTAGAGGATGTTGATTTCTACGGTTCATGATGCTAACAATCGTTGTTCATGCTTAATATATGCGAGACTCAGAACTCAGAACCGTAAAATATGTGTTAGAGATGCTGAATTGACAAGACTTGTTCACCTATGTGTTTTGGTCGTTAATGATTTTGCAGTACAGCTAAGATTGCTTAGATCGTTTCTTCATTTGAATCTGTTGTCTGAAATGCTGAATTCGATTGCCAGATTTTCAGTTTGTGTATTCAAAATTGTAATGAAACAGTCGGATTGCTTGGGAGCTAAAGAGCTCCCTTTTTACTGTTTAACCAGACTAAGGCTTTTGCAGTTCCAAGGAGGAGAATGATGGGCTTGCTTCTCTCGGGTTTTATCTTCACAGAATTCAATCTTCCTAATGCATTTGCTCAAACAAGTTCTGTGTTCCGGGAATACATAGACACTTTTGATGGATACTCGTTCAAGTACCCGCAGAACTGGATTCAAGTACGTGGAGCAGGAGCTGATATATTCTTCAGAGATCCATTTGTTCTCGATGAGAATCTCTCGGTTGAGTTTTCTTCACCTTCTTCATCAAGGTACAAGACCGTGGAGGATTTGGGTCCACCAGAAGAAGCTGGAAAGAAAGTGCTTAAGCAGTACTTGACTGAATTCATGTCAACCAGACTCGGGGTTAGACGTGAATCCAACATTCTTTCCACGTCTTCAAGAGTTGCGGATGATGGGAAACTCTATTACCAAGTTGAGGTAAGGTATCTTTCAGTGTCGAAACCAGTCTGGTTTTATCCGTGCAGCTTACGTTTTAGGAATTCCTGGATTTGGAGCTGAATAAGGATGGATTGTTACATTGAATTCAGTTCCTAGAATCATCTCAAAAAAGTTTTAGGGAAGGCTGATAATAGCTCTTTGGCTAATCTGGATTTTACTATGGAAAGTCTTGTGTTATTCCTGAAACAAAGTCCAATTTTTAGGTGAACTTGAGCTGGAAAAACTGGTAATTGCATTGGGTTAGGTTTCTAGAATTGTTTGAAACAAGTTACAAGTATAGATATTGCATATAGTTCATCACATTACTGTAGTACTATTGGGGAAATTAAAAAAAAAATGTCTCAGGCTTTAGGTAAACTCAGCTTGGTATATACTGACCACACCTCCAGATTCAATTATTAGAATCATATACACAAAGTTTTCTAAGATGTTGATCATAGGGCATAAGAGCTGTAGCTGGTATCGAGTTAGCGAGTTGATAGTGAGTTGATCAGAAAGAGAGTTATGGGATGGCTCTCGAACGAGGAGTACGATTGGTAATAAATATACAGATTGCCTCTTCATAGCCTTGTTTGATTTTTGAGATGAAGTCACACTTGTATAGTTGTGCTATTTCTAGAAATATGAAGTCTCAAGCTTTAGGTGAACTTGAAAGGAATCTGATTCAATATGATCACCCGAAACAAGGGTTTTTGTGGGAACGATTATAGCTCATCAGCTATATTTAATATACTCGTCGATTTAACAGGTGAACATAAAGTCATACGCTAACAACAACGAGCTGGCTGTGATGCCACAAGATAGAGTGGTTCGATTGGAATGGGACAGACGTTACCTCTCAGTTCTCGGAGTTGAGAATAACAGACTCTATGAACTGAGACTCCAAACACCGGAGAAAGTTTTCCAGGAAGAGGAAAAAGATCTCAGAGAAGTCATGGATTCCTTTCGGGTTAATAAGGTTTAGGGTTGATCTTGTTGCAAGAGTTTGTATTCCCCCACATTGCTCTTTCTTCTCTATGAACCCAAATTCAATTCCTTTTTTTTGCCCCCTCTTTCTCTGTATGCTCATCTCAATTTACTATTTTGATGTCTAAATCATTTTATGATTTTTTTTTAAATTTGTTTCGGCATCTTTTCTTCACAAGCAATGAACTAGATGCATATATTTCAGTTACATACCCTCTTAAGAATGCTTATAAAGGAGAGTTTTCTCTCTTTGTTTTGTCAGCTACTCCTCTAGGGAGCTCTGCTTATTGCATCACAATCACAACTAGCAGATACGTTTGTGGAGATATTTAGGCTCAGCCCATTACATGTGACATGATGCCTCATGTTGTTGGCCCTTACCCCATGTGAACAAAGTGACTGCCTTCTTTTGGCATGGTTTTTGGCCTTTTTTTTATGCATTGATATGGGTTCTACAGTGTGGAAGCACCTACTGAAGAACAAACAATCGGTTTTACCTCTTTCCATGGAAATTGTTAACTGGGTTCTTGGTTTAATTGATCTTGTTAGGTTGCAGGTAACTCAGAAGCAACAGTGAGCAAAGAGGCATAACTCAGATGTTCCTTCTAAGTACCCATTTGCCCAGAATGATTCGTCTAGCTCTTGGATTAGATTCTGCCGAAATTCTTAGTTGAATCATTCACAAAGATGAGAGCTTTAAAGTCAGATCATGCCATCTTGGTTCTAAAAATCTAGATAGGAGTGGTGGGCTGTCTTCAAAGAAGCAGCTTTATGTAGATATTGATGGATAATCTTTGGAAACAGGATCAAGGCCTGACATCATTGTTACAAGTAAATGAAACAGCAGAGGCAAGACACAGATGAGGGAGGATAACAAAAGACACAAACTCATCATCAAGGTTTGGTCTCAAACACTCTTTATTACACCTCCTTCACTTCAACAGCCTTATTGCCCTCACTCTCACTGCTCTTCTCCTTTGCAGTGGCCACTTCCTTCTCCTCGGGGACTTCGAAAGCAGAATAAGGGAACGACCTCGAAAGCCCAGCAGGAGTCTTGAACGTGATCTTCTTGGTCTCCTCAGCGACAATCTCGTTGAGTGTTACCCAGACAAGAAGCTCCTTGGCCTTCACACCAGTGAGCTTCCTGATCTTGCCTGTCTCTGCCACGGCCGTGACCTCTGTTGCGTAAGACACAAGCTTTCCGATCTTCTCGAACTTGTGGTTTATGCTCTTCTTTTGCTTGAGCCACACGGTACCTGACTCTCGGTCGTACCCAACCTCTTCTATGTCCTTCAACGGCAGCAACCCGTTAGGCATGGCAACTTCCTTCAGGAACTCCTTCGTCTTCTCCTGGCATATGGCGTCTCCATGGTAAATCTCGGCTTTAGCTCTCACTTCTTCTGAAATCGACGCCATTTCCTATGCTTGCTTTCTTCCTCTGTTTTCTCTTTTGAGCTCTTTTGCTCTGTTTTCTGGGGTTTTTTTTTTTTGCTTTCTGCGATGATGATTGAAAAGATAGCGTTTCTAGGGGAAAAGAGACCGACTTTCGGATATATAGGTGGAACTGTATGAGTTTGCCCCTGGATTCTCGAATTTATTACGGAAATGCCACACGTCAAAATACGGGTTGGTTAATTAATGTCCTCTGTTTCAAGCCACAGTTGGGTGACTTGTTCTTTTTAATAATGTCTTTAATTAATGTCGAAATCCATCATTTGGATATCAAACATATGCTTAATCGAGATTATTAATCCATCGTGAATGTCGTTTTAGTAATGCAGTCCAAATGAGAAATGGTTCCCGCTTTGACACATTTATTTATATAATATGTATATCAAATTCAATGTAATTAAAAAAAATATATCTGAAAATTTTTGAAATTATAATTTGGTACAATATCAATTCATTAACTCGTAGGTGCACCTATTTATTTTCGAATTTACATTTTTAACACAATAATTCCTAAATTTATTTACCAGTTTCATAATTGTCTATATCATTTATTGATCGAAGTAAAGTTTAGAAATTATTGTGTTCAAAAATTCAAATTTAAAAATTATTGTATTAAAAAATATAAGTTCAGAAAATTAGTGTGTTCAAAAATACAAATTCAGGAATAAATAGGACACCTACAAGTTCAAAAATTAATATTACATCAAATTACTAGTTTAGTAATTTTCAAATATTTTTTTTATAATTAAATAATTAGAATCTAGAAAAATTTAAATTAAAACGCTACAATAAAACAAAAGCATTAGAGGGATTTAGGAACATCTAAAAAAGTATCATAATATTAAATTTGATTTTTTTTCTTTATATTTTAGTTATTTATAATTAAATAAGATATTATACGATTATATTTATAAAATATTGTAATTAAATAAGATTTATTTTTCTTTCGCTCAATAATTATAATTCATACATACTTAAATATTTTTCTATATAGTTTATATTTTTATCAACATTAATTTTTGGATTATAAAGATTAATGAAGAGACAGTAGAATAAACTATATTTTTTCTATATAGTTTATATACAACACTAATTATAAAGATTAATGAAGAGACAGTAGAATAAGAGATTATATATCAGTAACATACAATTAAGTAGTAAAATAAAAAGAAACAATTCAGCTTACACCTAATATATAACAATTTATCATATTTATAAATTATTTCAAAATTTATCAGACTTGATTTTAATACAAAAATATTTAAAAAAATATATTGGTGAATTTATGGCTGAATTAAAGGGACTAGGTGGGGAGACAAACGGTGCAGTTTGACAAATGCCCCCAAATAAATTTTGACACGTGTCATATTTAGTTGGAAAAAATACACCCATTAAATGATATATGGTGAATTTACGTTGAAGAACCAACTTAATACAATATCATACATGATCATTATGATGAGGCATGATAATATTATGATGAACGGTAACCCATCGTAGACTTATCATAGACAATGAACAGATCATGATGATCATGGTAACTATAATTATGATAAATGGTATATAAATCAAACACAATTTGATGAGTGGCCTATGATGTATCATCCGTACGTATACTTATAATGGACAATGATCATGGTCATTTATGATGATCATGATAACAATTATGATGAATGGTAGGTTCATCCGTCAGACTTATCATAATAGACAATGAACACATGATCATGATCATAATTACGACAAATGAAATAAAAAAACATAATCTGATGAATGATATGATCATGATCATTTATGATGATCACGAGATAACAATTATGATGAATGGTCTCTGATGTGTTATCACCCGAAGCTTATCATAGACGTGTCATACCAGATGTCATATATATATATACATACATACATACATACTCAATAATGACGAATGGTCTATCGTTTGTCTGTCTGACATTTTTATTAAATATAAATGTTAGGGAATTTATGTAGCTCACCGTCCAAATTCATCTGTTAACCATTAACAAAAAAAAATAATATTTTATATTTTGTATCCATACATAGACGATGTTAGATAGTATCAGCAGAAGCTTCCAATTTCATATCATAACTATATTAATAACAAATAATATAATTAGTTGCATATTTTGATTTGAATATACATATATATAATATAGTTTGGTAAATATTTTGATATGGATATACAAATTCTAACAAACCCAATTTGAATAATATGTTATCACTCATATACGTTACCATATATAAATGAATCATATATAATACTAAAAAAATGTCCTTCGGGACCAGCTCAGTTGGTTGGGAGCATGGGGGCAACTCCATGAGGTCGGGTCTTCGATTCCTTCCGCCTTCCTTCCTCTGAGCTGCTCGCCTGCCAGCCTGTCCTAACGGGCTGATTTACATCTCATGCGTGTGTCGCAGGCTCGTGCGCGTGGGCTTGGGATTTGATCTGCAGACGCCTAAACCCAACTACGACCCGAGCGTCTGGACTACCCCTCGAGCGTCTGTACTGCCCCTCGCCAGGTCTAGGGGTGGACTGTGGGCAAGGGTGTGTGGTTAGGTTCGAGGGCGTGTGGTTAGGTTCGTCGTCGTTTGTAAGGGTATGTAGTTACAGGGTTCCCAATGTCATCAAAAAAAAATACTAAAAAAATCACTAAATCTGAATAAAATAACAAAAAAAATTGAATAGATTTTAGAAAACAGTTTTTTGTTAATAAAACCAAATTCAAATAGAATTAAAACAAAGCACGGATCAAACCAAAATACCATAATATAATTTCTACAAAAGAAAAAATCAAAAACAAAAAATAAATATATCAAAATATAATCAAAATTTGAAATATGCACCGTTTATAATAATAAAAATAATAATAGAAAGTCTTTGTATTATCATCATTATTAGTAAAATATTAATGATTTAATTCTCGTAAGAATACCTTATACCAAAAAAATATGATTTAAGACATATGTCGGCAATGCATGTGGGAAATCTCTATATTTCGAGAAGGTTTGTTGTTTTGACTTCTTTTTGTTCGACGTACACTATCAACCGGTTTAGAGAACAAATTAAAAAAAAAAAACATGAAGCATGGGTTATAATGGAAATAATATGGATCGTTCTTCGGTTACAAAAAAATATATATATTTAAATTAAATTCATCAGTTTTGCTCCCAACGACTCCAACAATGACTCATGTTTCTAAATTAATATAATATTGTGAACCGACATTTACCCCAACCACTAACCAAATCACATTTTATTTATTTTCTCTTTCAAAAGAGATAAGTCTCACCCATCTCTAAACTATAGACATTCCATTAGGCATTAGGTTAAACTCTTGATTTTTTTTAGTTTTATATTTGAATGAATTTTTAGTTTATATTGTTTTTATAGTTGATTTATAACTTATATTTGGAAAAAAAAATTACATATAAAATTCGGATTCAAATAACAATCGAAAAAAGAATAACCCGCTCATTAGTGGTCAAATTTTTAAAAAATTACTTATTAAATTCGAATTTTGAATATCAATGAAAAAAAGAATCACCTAGTGTAAATAATATATATATATATATATCATTTACCATTCACAATAGTCTATACATAATATCTAACGGTCTTTTAAAAAAATAATTTAAGACGCAATAAATATGAAAACAAAAATTAAGAGATAGAAATATGTGTGTGTATAAAAGAGGGAATCATGTCTCAATAAATATAAACCAAATAAAATAATGCAATTAAAAGATATAACATAATATAAAAGAATATTTAGTTTAGGGACTTCATCATGTAAGAACCGAAAACTGTTTCGGACAAACAGAAGCTGAGAAGAATCATCAGTTTCGAATGGGAACTGAATCAGATGGGTCCGTATCCGTACGGATAAATCAGTCACCCACGAAACTCCGCGGCTGCGTTTTCACGGCAGTGATGATTCAGCAAGACCTCTATGTGTTTGATCTCTTTAGGCATCGAACCCGTAAGCACCTGCGCATCATCACCACACACACATCATCATCACCATCATCCATCATCCATCATCATCCATCATAGATAGGGGGATGTAATAAGAACCTCGAAGCCTGTCTCTGTGATGAGAACCTCATCCTCGATCCTTATCCCCATCCCTTTGTACCTACCAATTTTTTCAGATGAAAAAACATCTTCATAATATATACAACTCGTTTCCCCAACATCGATAACGTCTTATCGTATGCAAACGATTCTTTCCGATCGAGACATTCATGTCGAGGAAACCTTTTCGTTTTTGCGGACAAATCATATATATGATCAGTTGAACATTGGAAATCCTTTACCTCTCCGGGCAGTTGAATGAAGATGGGATGTAGACTCCTGGCTCAATCGTTATCACCTGTCGAAAAACAACAACAATGTTCGTACTGTTCTTGCGATGAGAGCAACTCGTTACGAAAAAAATCGCCATTTTCACCTCTTACTTCATTGGATCAATGGTAAAATTATCTAATTTCTCGTTTAGATCTAGTAAACCCCGCACTTCATCACACTCCCGACTTCTCTACTATCGACGAACAGACTAAGATCGAGAAGCTGAGTTGTTTGAAGGGTAAACATGTTAAATTTGTACGAAACCGAGACTTAGAACGGATTGGAAAAGCTTACGAAACCGGGTTGCAAAGGACGGTCATATCCCACGGAGGAGCAATCGTGCACATCCATACCCAGGTAGTGACCTTAATTCATCACAAGAAAACATTGATAGGTCTACCGTTACTAGGTGTAAAATCAGAATGCAAATAAATACGGATTCACGACATTCAACAGAAAACTGACAGATCCAATTCTGAGCAACATTATGTACCAAAATAATATAATTGAATTTTTTCATGGAAATATACAGAGAAGAAGATATGGAAATGTGATCATGTGAAAGCTCAAGACATACCTATGGAGGTTGGATTCAGTTGGTGATACAGACTTTGATTTTTCAAAATGCCCATCTTCATCAATCCTTTGCACAGCATATCGGTCTGCAGAAGCATGTAACTTCACATGAGGTTATGATACCGTTTACAAGACAATGCTTGTACTTTACTAACAATGGCATCTAAAAATCTTATTTTTCTTTTGCCCCATTGAATCTGTGTAAGCGTAACCTATACAAACCATCTAACATGCTGCATTTGTTGGGATCCATGCATAAATAATATGATGCAGAACAACAATTCGAGGCAGCCGGCCCACAAGCATTCTATAAAATCAAGTACAAAAAAAGTAGAAATATTTCAAAAGATTTGTGGGCAGAGCTTTGAAGATCGATTGTCGAGTTCACTAAATTGAATTCCATGTCAAAGGGTACCCTGATATCTTTCTTCTCTTTTTCCGACAAAAACCAAAGCTTTACTCTATTCGATATTTTGTGAGGCACACCAATTGAGAAGTACCTAAGGCTTGGAGTGTATGGTTAATGTGAAAATGGTACAGCTTTATAGCTGAAAAGCAGTATGAGGTTCGACTAAACTAGCTGGAAATGAAACTTCTTTACTTTGAGGTCTTAGAAGTTACCGAGACCGCATTTAGTTGGCGGATGGTTGTACCGGGCTTGCATAGCTTTATGCACTCTTTGTTTGTCTCAAGTATAAGATCGTATAGCTCCTCCTGGGAAAACCCACCAAATCTCGAGTTGTCTGACTACGAAAATTTTGATACAAACAGGAAAAGGAAGGACATTGAGAAAGCAGAAGCACCGACCTGGAGAGGACTGAATTTACCGCAAGGTGGCCATGTACGAGTAAGATCACTAACATAACCATGTAACTCACAACCCATGTCCAGCAAAACAAGATCACCATCTTTTATCTGTAAATGATTATGGAAAGAAGATATTAGGTTCAACAGCATTTATATGTTAACATTCAATCAGCAATGTTTTGTCTAGGACTTACTCTCTGATCATTTCGAGCGTAATGAATAACACTGGCATTAGGTCCACCACCGACCACAGGGTTAAAACTGAAGAATCAAACCGTATTCTTTGTCAACTAAACGAAAAAAAGAACAAGAAAAGGAAGTTTCTGGAGAACATAGAAGAACCGAAATTACAAATCTATCACCAAATCAAACTTTGAGACTTACGCCATTCGCTGAGCACCTCTTACCCGGCACTCATACTCAACCTTGGCTGACAAGACGCCTTCATCAGGATGCCCTTTTGAATGTAGCATTGTTTGCAGAAGAGCCTAACGATGAACAGATTAAAACCAATATATACACTCATTCTCATCAGAAGCTATAACCTTTAACCAATATTCTTAATTTACTTTCATTAACTTCTACATTTTTTATCACTCGAACTTGCAAGATAAATGAAAGGAGTTAGAAAAATAGTCATAATCGATTTAGTTTCCAATGAAACATTCATTGCTTTCAGAAGCCCATGTCCATCAGCAAGATAAAATTCATTTTATCCCCAAAGTTGTCACCTTTAACGTGTATTTGTTCATTTACATTATGTTCTGGGAATTCTCTAGTCTCTATGTTTTGTCGTTTTGTCACTCAGAGTGCCAAGAAAAATGCGTGAGTTTAGGGATGCAATGATCTCAGTATAGTGCATTAATACCTGACAAGCAGTAGCTGCAGACTCTCTCATCAATATGAGTTCAGCTGGAGATTTAATTAATCTCAGTTCATGAGTCAAACTAGAAAAGTTTTTCACTTTTCCTGTATATGCTGCCTTTTGAAACTCATCCAAGCCTGTGTACTTCTGCGAGGCTGTTTGAACGTTATGGTACAATTTAGAAGAGCTTCTTATCATGTCTGAAAGAATCTGCATATAAAGAAGGCAAATTTTAAATCAGGTCACACTGCAGAAGCAGCCAAGTCAATGAACTGCACAAGAAAATTATGTGAATGGCTACTGAGCCAACCATCGAAGTTACCTCGGGTAATTTGCTAATTGGAAATGCTTGCTCTGCCTTGAACACATCGGATGCAGCTTCAACCCCGGCTATCTGTCCTTGCCAAGCAACGTCCTGCACAACATACCGATTATTATAACACTGCCAAATCGAAACCGAGCCACTTTTGCATATGTCAAATTCCGAATATGAACAATCATATAACCATCGGTGATCATACATCAGGAGTTGATTCCGGCATGAACATGCATAAACCATGCTCATTACTTAAAACTGCCACACCACCTGGTTGCTGGCAGCCAGTTATGTACAAGTAATCTGCATCTTGTCTGAACGTATATGGAACCACGTCTGTCATCATCTTCACGGGGGCTGAAGCAACTATGGCCAAGCTGTTCTTAGGAAGAAGTTCCAGCAGCCTTTTTCTTCTACCGATGTATTCCTCCACGCCTATACCGGGTGTCAGCTCTCGTTCTGCCATTAGCTGTAGAGAAGAATCAACTATCAGTATATATAGCATTACAACTAACAAGAAAATAGCCGAAGGAACATGCGGGATTACATGAGGATGAGATGCCGGAGTTGGCTGTCCGATGTCAAGGACCTTCATAGTGGAATAACCATAGCGACCCGTGACCTGAAATCCGTTCCAAGGACAGAAAAAAGTTTCGGTCTCAGCAAAAGCAAAGGATATGAATACAAACTCGATCTAGGGATGAAAGTTCTAGAGATTTGGCATACAATGTGTAGATGAATACTGAAATGGCAAAAGAGAGTACAAGCCATTGGCAAAGCTAAACGTCAAAAAAACCAGGAAAAGAAAGCGAGCAAATGGATAAGAACTAGACAAGGAAGTCAACTTCACATTCAAAAGGTGATATTGTCAGCAATTTCGACAAGATTTCTACAAATTTTATAATTTTAGGCAATGAAAAATCAGGTAAATTCAGTTTACGAAAATCGAGCTCCAATCCTTTGAACTAACACTCTTCCATGAACAGATTATGTGGATGAACAATTTGAGACAAACCCGTCATAGAGATCAAACTCCAAACGGAATCAAAACTCATAACACAAGCAGAAAGACAAATCATCTCATCTTGCTTTATCGTAAGAGAGAGAGAGAGAGATTCCGAGAAATCGAGAGCGTATACATGTTTACTTGATAGTCTCCGTACTAGATTCCGTGCAAGAATCTGCATCTCTGCTCACTCTCGCTCTGACCCTTCTTCTCCCAGCACAAACTGAATCGATACGGTGATTGTGACCCAAATCGGGATTCAGGGTTTAATGGAGTATCGTTTGAGCGTCGCGTTTCAGGGTTTTACCTGGTTTGATTGATGGCTTAAAACTTATTTATCTTTATCAAACGCGCTTTTAAAAACGCCGGTCAGCGTTTGGAGACGTGGGCAGCGTTCTGTCCATTGTTCAAGTTCCTTCTTCCGTTGCCAAAAAATTAAACCCTAACGAATCCAAGGGTAACTCGCTGAGTCTGCTCGGCCGAGTCGGGTTCCCCTTCGAGTCATGTTTCGAAAAATCTTAATTCTTTGTTGAGTGTTGCAAAGACAAAAAATTATAAGATTATAATCACAACAAAGAGAAATGGCAAAATACATGCTTTTGATCGTTTCCTAGTGACACAAGACAGAGAAAAATGGTTTCAGAGATTGAGAGAATATTCAGACAGGCGAGAAAAAGAGAAAAGGGGAGAAGCCTTTGCGCCAGAATTTCATTCAAAAACACTGACTCTAACCTGGCAATGCTAATACAAGATGGGATGGATGTAAAATAAACAGTTGCAAGAGTCGTAACTCGAGATTTTTCGGGTCAAACGGCTTCGTCTTTCGTATATTCGCGTACCCTTTAGCTGAAGTTGAATCCGCCCGAGGGCACGGAGGGCTGACTGTTCCCGAAGTTGAAACCCTGCTGGGCATTTTCGTTCATAGCGTCCTGATGATTCTGATCTTCTTCCTCTTCGGCCCAATATCTCTCGAGGATCTTAACAGCCTTCTCGTAAATCTCGTTGTTGTCGTGGGTTTGAAGGTTCTCGATCTTGTCCAACCCATCGGATTCTTCGACCATTTGGGCGTAGAGATTCACCCCTCCGTTCAATCCCATCTCCTTGTCAGCCTCGCTGACCTTGAGGATGTTCTCGAGGCCCTCGAGGCACACCGTCACGATTCTCGGGTCCGGACAGATTAGAAGATCACAGAGTGGTTTGATGCAGCCTTGTGTCACCAGAAATCTGCAGAACACACATGTTGTTTTGTAATAACTTGTGATTCCGAGAATCTTACACGAATCAAGAAACAGAAGATGAGAAGGCATGATATATATGTCTACTTAATCTGGTCGTGAGTTCCTCCCGAGGTGGCATTGGAGATAGCCCAGGCAGCTTCCTTCTTGATGTCGAATTCCGCATGTTGGAGCAAATGCACGAGAGGAAGGACGATTCCAGCATCAACCACAGCCTGTTCGTTTCAGTTGTGCGAAATGGTTAAACTCCTATCCCCTCTAACTTCAGAAACTCTATATCTATCGAATTCAAGAATGACACCGAATGGAAGAAAACAATATGAAATCGTGATAGATGCTTTTATAGCCAAATCTTTCGGGGAAGAGAAACAATAGCAAAAAGTGAAAGCACCTCATACCTGTATCTGAACTCTATTCCCAGCAGTAATATTGGAGATAGTCCAACAAGCTTCTTTCTTGATGCTTTTCTTGTGATTTTGGGTGAGCAAGTTGTAGAGGTGTGGAAGGACTCCATTGTCAATTACAAACTGGAAAAACCAAAGGAGTCTGGATGTTATCAGGATGTCGAAAGAAACAACTGAAACGGTATCTAGAATCATTCTTGATACCTGTGTCTGAGTATCATCACCGGTTACAATGTTTCCAACAGTTCGAAGGGCCGGAATAAGAACTGTCGGTGATGGATGACTAGCAAAAAATAAAATGTGTTTTTGTCAGTACATAAACACAAAATTGGAAAAAAAATAGAAGAACAAAAACATGGAAAAGTGAATAGAATACAATCTGACATCCTAGTTTCAAAAACCAAAGAACAATATAGAGCATTGATTCAAGAGGAATAAGACTTTTTAGTGGTTTCGATTTTCCATTAGGGAAACTAAAATGAATATAAATCATAAACAATGGTCAGCCAAGAGAGAGGAAACTAACCCCAGGAGCTCCACAAGTCGTGGACAAACACCGGACTCAATCACAGCCTGAATCTTTTCATTGGGCCCATCGGAAAGGTAGGAGAGAGCCCAGCATGCATCTGTGATAACTTCTTCATCATTTAGATAAATAAGTTGCCGAAGAATCGGTAATGCTGGCTTCACCTGAAACGATGCAATAATACACCACTAAGCTACAAGAATTTGAGGGGATCCAATGCATGAGGATTCATAAACGTTAACCCAAAGCTAAAGCTGCTACTAGGTGGCTAACTGATCTGAAACAAAACATAATAAACGTATAATTTTCCTTCCGGTCCTACCTGATCGAATGGTGTAGGGGGTTTCCCACGGCAAAAATTGGACAAGGTCCATGTCGCATTCCTCAGCATGCTTAACTTAGAATTTTCATTTAATTGAGCCAACAATGGCATGAGAGCACCATAACTGAGGACAAGATTCCTGCAGGTTGGAGAATCTCCGGCAACATTACCCAAAGCCCACACCGCCTGAAACAGAAACCATAACACGGTTTTTTCTCGGATTAAAGTAATGTTCAACACCTGAAAAAAGTACTTGTCTCACACAAAAACTTCAGATCAAGAACAATTTCTGAAGGTTCACAAGAAACACAGCCAAATCCAAATCCAATATCAATTATAAATTCTGTGGGGACATTTTAAACTAACAGGAGAGGAAGTGTGGTGAGCGAGATAATTAGCAACGAACCTGTTCCCGAACATCATCACTAGCAGAGCTAAGAAGCTGGACAAAAATAGGAACAGCCCCATGATCGATCACAACACGTGTATGATCTGAGGTCCCTGATGCAACGTTGGTCAAAGCCCATGCAGCCTCGAACTGCATACAACATTCACTTTTAGTCCTCCCACCAGAACATGTCTGATACTTAACTTTTCAATAATAAGGACATAACCGAAAGATTACCAAAGATAAACCACACCTGCAGTTGTGGATGATCATGTCTTCCGAGAAACTCCACAAAACGAGGAACAACACCAGCTTTGATCACTTCATCAATCGGAGGACTACGTTCTACACATGTAAGTAACATCATATCACAAGACAACATTCAACCATCTATAACAGACATATAACCCATAGCTTCCTACCGATGGACAACAGCTTCCTAAACTGAGTAGTGGCCTCTAACTGCGCTTGAGGATCATCGGACCAAACACCTTGAACCATCATTGGGACACCTTCTAACTGTGAAAACGACATAAACAACATCAACCAGCTGTTTCAACGGAAGCAAAATGCTCTGTTCTTCAGTAGCATGCAACATTGTCCTATTAATGCATTAGCAAACTCACTCACTGGACAGTATCCATAGAAACCAACTTTGTTATCATCTTAAATATTCCGATCAACGGATCCACAGCCAAGAACTGAAATCCACAAAATTTGCCAAAAACCGAAACAAAAACACGGACTCGAATACAAGATCTAAAACTCAAAATCTGGAAACGAAATCAAAATCTAACTTCCTCAGCCACCAGACACAGATCCATCACTAACCAATCCAAAACATCGCCGAAATCGAAGCAGAATCATACCCGTTTCTCGACGGCGGCAGCATTTTGGGAAGCATCGAGGCCCGGAGCAAGAGATGGCAGCTGCGTCATGCCTTCGCGACGCTTCTTGAGGAGACTATCTTCGCGCTTGTTTTTCCTGATCTCGACGAGGTTGTCCTCCCTCCGCCGCCGCGCATCGTCCGCATCGACTCCAGTCTTGTAGATCTTCTTCCTCAGCTCCGCGCGTGTACTCGGCCTCAGCGACATCTTCCCTCTTTCTCTCTCTCTCGCTCTCTCGCAGAAGCTACTGAAAATGGCGAGAATGTGATCGTGGCGAGTCGTCTGGAGTGATCGAGTCGGGTCGGATCGGGTCGGGTTGGTGGTTGGAAGCCGGTGGATCCTTTCCTATTGACAAAGAGGTTTCATCACAGGCTGTCAGGGTCAGCTCTAACGACGTCGTCTTGGTATGCTTTGGTTACATTATTCTTTGATGCTGTTTATTTTTAAATTTTATTTAAATCGAGATGTTTGAGGTTCCGTATAATAAGATTTTGAGAATATCTTGTTTTGGGTTAAAATTCATTTAATATTTATGTGTTTCGAGTATTAAAAACAATATTTATGTATCTCAATCAGAAATTCAAATAAAATAATAAGGATAATTTATAGCTTTTAATAAATATTATATTTATTTGTATTTAAAATTTGAAAACAATTTTATAATGTAAGAAATATTACAAATAACTTTTTATTTTTAATTAAATATAAAAAATATTTCTTTATTTTATCTATTAAAATGCAAACAATTTCGTCATAATATAAAAAATATTTCGTATATAGAAAATGAAATTATTGTTAGGATGAAAATGGAAATCGGTAATACAAAAATATATCTATTAAAATAATTAGACAACCAAAATTAAAACAAAACATGAAAAAAAAATTGTGATTATTTTTTAATAAGAGCTTAAAAGGGAATAAAAAGTCGACAACTAAAATAGAATTGGCATGAAATTGTTTGCATTTATCTTTTTTTTTTAATAAAATAATTATGGTTGGATAACAAGATGTGGTTGTGATTGAATCAATGATTATCTTAATCTCATTGATTGATCACGAGAACTTCAACTGACACAGAAATGAGTTTATATATATGTAATAGTGATTATGTGTATGACTCAGAAATATTTTAATATAACATAATTAAAAGAAACAAAATGAAGAAAATAAGTTTAGGAATGTGACGAAACTATAGAATTTGGTGAATGAATAATTGAATTTGTTAAAATAATTAAACAAAAGTCGGATGAAAAAAATAATAATATTGTGCATTTTTCTTATTGGGAATAAGGATATACCAAGCTAACCTTGGTGTTCTATAAAATATGGTAAATAAGGGAAGAGAAATTCAGACCAATAGATAACTTTAACTCGTTTTAAAAAAAAAAATTGATTATAGATATGAATAGTTATTTTGTTTGGATATATCAAATCAAAATTAATCAAACAATCCATGTATTATAAAAAAAATCTAAAAATTTACCAGTTATATTTTTTAAAATAAAATTAATTAAATTCCACTTAATAAAAAATGACATATTAAATTAATTATTTTAAAAATATATATATTTTTGGTGGTAAAGAGTAAATAATGATAATGAAAAACTAATATTGATAAGATATCATTTAAAAAACAAAAATAATTAATAAAAAATAATCGAAACGAACCTCAAATATCCGTAATTATGGGTTTTTATACATTTGCTTGTTTATGAAAGAAATGGCCGAAAAGGTAAATGGGCCCACGACACCAGAGAAGGTTCATAGGCCCATTAACATAATTGGGCTTTGGTCAACGCTTTTCTTATGGTCAATGACCCATTAACGTTGGGAATATATATTTTGGTATTTGATATAAAGATATGTTCGCAGTAAATTGAAAGACTTCCTATAATGATTTAAAAGAAAATTAATTAAAAATAATATTAAAAAAACTGAACCATAATTATTAACAGAAAACAATATATTTTTCATGAAAAAATAAAACTTTTAATTATCCAAAAAATATAATATTTTCTTTTAAGGATGAAAGGCTGAGACACCACGTGCGGTAATGTTCAAAACACGGGCATATTACAAGACAACGAATCTGACGAAAGACATCTTCGAGTGCACGCTGTATGGCCACGTGTACACAAAGTAACAATCCATACCTCTCAATACACGTGCTGTACATATATACATGGACGTAGACGTATGTATATATGTATATAAATATATGCATATACTCCATATGTTTCCGAACGTCCTCTCTCACACGCGTATGTATGTATATATATACATGTACGTATGTATCTGTGCATAAAAGTAATCTATGTTTTGTGTGCGCTCTCACACATCTGTATATATACATGTATTTATGTATCCATATATGCATATACACAGCATATATATGTTCTGTATGTGCTCTCTTGTATGTGTGTATATACATAATACATGCACGTATCTACATGTATGCATATGCACAACATATGGTTTTATATGTGCTCTTATACATTCGGATACATACAGGTACGTATATGTATATACGCATACACAGCATATGTTTTGGATGTATATAGATACAGATGAGCACGTGTTAATGTTTTGTCCAAACGGATATGGTTGGTTCTCTCCATTTGGCAGCTGGCAAAGTATCCAAATAAACCGGTCTGAATTCTAAACCGGTTCGCCGACCGGTTAGACAATCAAAACCATGGATTGTATAAGAAACATTTTTATGCATTTTTTTTAACTGTGTTTTGTAACCATGGTGTCAATAAACACCTATTATTAACTCACTCATTAATCATAAATTTAACTAAAATTTCCAAATATATACCATAATACCAGTTTTGAAACAAATTCGACAAAACAAAAGATAATAATTTTTTAAGAATTTATATAAAAATTTTAAAAAAAAATATTTTTTTTTAAAAATAAATAATTGAGTTAAAAATACCGGAATTAGAATTGACTCGAATGGCAACATTTTCACTGAAATTAATGGAAAAAAAAAACAAATAGGAAGTGTCACAAAAATAATAACAGTAATTTGAATCTGATATAAATTTTAAAAATGTATAATAATATAATAAATTAATTTTGAAAATAATAAAATTAAAACTGAATAGACGACAGAAAATTTTCAATCGCACGTGAAATCAATGTGGAGCAAAGGAAATTGTCAAGGGAGAATAGTAACTAACGAAATATAATAATAAATTTTTTTTTCTAAGTTTTTTAAAAAAATAATAATTTGGAGAAGACAAAGGGACAAAGTGGGCAATGTCCTTATCCACATTTGGGGTTTCATAATTGGGGTCACATGGATGCATGTGATGGCATATAAAGCCAACACCACCATGTTGTTTTCTCCTTTCTCATATGCTTTTGTCTATCTCATTTTGCTTTGTTTGGTTCCTCTACTATGTCTTTGTTATTATTTCTTAGCCTAATTCCTTCTATATATACATACATATTTCATTGTATTTTCCATTTTCTTAAGATTTATTATACCCCCTTATAATATATATATATATATATATAACATTTCATGATTCCTAACTTTGTTTGGGATGATGGATGATAGTGCAATGATTCATATAATTTATGAAAAATTTTAAATGATAATGGAAATTGACCGTACAATGGCCAATGAGAAGCGTACACGTGGAGATTTGTGTTGCAAGCACACGTGCTTGGTCTTAAATTAGGGAGGGAAGATGTTTTCCTAAGAGTCGCTCTTCCTGTTTCCTCCTCTTCTTGTGGGAATCTGTGGTCCATTTTTTTTTTGTCTTTTTTTTATTTATTTTCCCATGTTTATTATTTTTAAATTGATATCCACTTCAATTTTGTATATATCAAAACATAAATATCCATTACTTACCTTAATTGTGGTCATATCATATACGAACACATAACACAGTATTAAATATGACTGCAGACTGTTAAATAAATGCATTTAATAAAGTGTTTATATATATATATATATATTAGATATATTAATAATCTGTTTCAAAATTAGTTTTGGGAGCATGTGAAATTACGACAACAATCTTTTTGACATACACACACAGTATGAACTTCACACTGATTCACATGGACTCCATTTGATGGGTGGGTCCGCCCCCACATGTGCTCTCTCCAAAACTCCATAGCCAAACGGCCCAAACCCTATTTCTATTTTTCATTTTCTATTTAATTCAATTCCGGGTAAATAAATAAATAAAAACATCAATATTTGTAATCAGTTTCCGATGAACAATTTTTTCAATCTATTTTTCTGACCGATTAATTACCTGTGGATTTATAAATCATTTCATTATTTATGATGTCATTTCTTTATTACAACCATTTGAAATAATTTTCTAAGGTTATAACAATGATTTGCAATTCCTTTTAATAATATATTTAGTCATTATTGTTAGGGGAAAAAAGAACTGGGTCTGCACCACTCATTTACAACTAATTACTGAATTTATTAAAATTATAATGATCAAATTATATATATATGAGGAGTTTGATAGATACATATTAAAGTAGGGATTTTTAATATTAGATATTATTCCTTTCTAATACTGTATTTTCTTGTCTGTTAAACAATCTTGGAATCGTGATTAGTTAGTTGGTCTCTTTACATTTTTTTATTATTTAAATTAATTTAATTCCCTATAGAAAATGACTGATTAAGGAGAAAAACAAATAGAAAGAACAAAAGAGGGAAAAAAAAGGAAGCAACGTATAAAAAAAAGTACATGAATTAAATTAATAAAAATCTGGTCGACAAAAACTTGAAAGAAACAGAAAGGCAAAAAAAAAACTAATTAACACGTGGCATATCTAACCGCCGTCAGGCTCCGGTGGCCTGCGGCGGCGGAGATGCGGTAGCTAGGAGTTCGGCGAGAGCTGTCATGGAACGGATTTGCATCTCCAGAGCCGCGATGTAATCGGATGTTTCTTCTAGAAGGTTCGGCACGGAAACTTTCCGGCAACCGGGAACCAACCGCCCGAGGATCTTCAGTTTCCTCTCCACCGTCGATGACCTCGTCCTTGTTGGCCTCTGCGTCACCGTCGCCGGGAACCGTTTGGACCGGTTGTTTCCGGTCGTCTTGGCTTTTTTGTGCTTCCTCAGCCTCGCTCGGGCTCGACTCGCCAGGATCGCTCTGCTCCACCGAGTCGTACCCCGAGCCGACGCCGCGAGTGTTCGGTCCGCCGCATCTCGGATCTCTCTAACCCTGCCGGAGCTTTTACCAGCTTCGTCGGATCTCCGACGAGCTCGGCGGAGGGCTTCGAAGAGCTTTGACGAGTAGATCTGTTGTTCCCGTTCTGTTCTCCATCTCTTCGCGCCACGCCTCGTCTGTTCTTGGCCGGTCGATCGCTGCGTCTCCCCCTCCGACTTCCTCCTCCTCTTCCGGCGAGATTCCGGAGACGTATCTGTGGCCGGTTCGACGGTCGGAACCACAGAATCCAACATCAATCCGACGAGAAAACCAAGTAAAAACACGAATGCTTTTCGAAATCAAGAGAGAGAGAGAGAGAGAGAGAGAGAGAGAGAGAGAGAGAGTTTATGTGTTGGGCTTAGGATGTGGCGATATAGAACCAGAAACAAGAGGTGAAATGAAAAACGCAGCTTTATTTATATTATTATATGTATACACACAGAGGCAGAACCTCCCGGGGTAGAGAGAGATATGTCACAATTAATTACATCTTTGCCCCCCTATTTACCGGTTTTTTTGGATTATTCATTAAAAAATATTTATTTTTAAATTAGTTTGTCCAACTTATTTTTTTGCTATTAAGCTCCCAAAAATTTATGCCTTGATTTGTCCTCTTCTATTATTACAATTTTATCACAAATACTTGAATTCCACCGTTTTAAAAATATTAAAATATGATAATTGAGCCATATATTTTTAAAAATTAATTCCCTTATAAAAATAAACTTTTGGTGTTAAAATCATATGTATTGTTACTGATTACATTTTTTGTGTGCGTAGGATCGAAGGGATTAAACAGGTTTCAACATTAATTAATATTTTATACTATAATGATGGTTGATATGTTACAAAAGTCTAATTCTTAGGTTGAAAGTTTAGACTTTGGACACATTAATTATCATTACTACAAATTAAGCACCTTTTTTTTAGCCAACAATGTTCGAGAACCTAGACAATGCACTAACATGTGGATTTAAAAATTCATTTAAAATAAAATATTTTAATCGTTTTTATGCGAATTTCAGTTAGATATATCATTCTATTAGACAAGAGAAATTTATATTTTCTATTTTATTTCGGTTTCTTTACTATTATTCAGTTTGCATTCAATTAATTTGGTTTTAACCAAGTTGTATTTAATTGGTTTTTAAATTGGGATAGATTCTTACGTATTGTTAGGTTGGATTCAATTTAATTTTGTACATTCGAAAACAATGATAGTGATTAAATAAGAAAAAAAAAATTGAAACCAAATACTAAATAAAAAAGATTTGTTTACAATAAAGTCTTTAGGAGAATCATTGTGTATTTAGATGAAAAGTGTGGTAAGGATTTCATCATGTGGCACATGTTAACTTGTTCATTAAGTCTAATCCAAAGCAGACACACTTTAAAAAAAAATAATATTAAGTCTAATCCAACCAAGAAAAACTTTTTAAACTTGCTCATTAGTTGGTATAAACAAATTAAGTATATATAGATATACTTAATTTAATAGATAAAACCCATAAAAACTTCGAAACTTATAAAATGGTGAAAAATATATTTTTAAATTTTTTGCCTATCAGAATTATATCTCAAACTTATAAAATATGTCATTATAATTCTCAAACTTGTAAGATATATTATGATAATTTTTAAACTGATGTATAAATCAACATCGATACGGTTTGTTCTTACACCAAATAATAAATTTATGAATTATAATAACATATTTTATAAATTTAAAAATTATAATGATATATCTTGCAAGTTTGAGAATAATTTATCTAATAAAAAGTTTAGGATTTTATTTTCCACCATTTTATAAGTTTAGGAATTTTTATGGGTTTTATTCTAATTTAATTATCAGAATATGGTAAAAAATTTTATTGATACTAATCTTTTTTAGATTAAAATATTGATTATTAAATTACAGTTTCAATGTTTTAGTCTTTTTCCTCTAGTGGCTTGCAATTTTCGCAAGGCGGCCTCCAATCGTCATATGAAACATACATATATAGCTTTTGACTTTCGAAACAAAATTAAGGATTTTTTTTTTATAATTAAGTGATGATGATGACATAATTATGGAATTAATTTTGGGTACATATTCTTCTTGAATCGATTTCGCCATTAAATCGTGATTGCTCCTTAATTATAAACGATGCAGCTATTAACGCAGTCGCTGCCTGAAATTTCTATATATAAACATTTTAGGTACCAAATTTTTTTTTGTTCGTAATGTTTTTTTAAAAGAGGAAAATACAAAAAAAAAAAAAAACCAATAATGTAAAATGATATATATATGTATTGGGCATTAATCAAACAAGACACAGTATCTGATACAAAATCAAACTAAAAATGTAATATTATTCTATAATATGGAGAAAACTAGATTTTGGTGCCATATATATATATATATATACACTATTTTATTTTTCGAAAATGGAAACGATGTGTTAGGCAACTAGAGAAAATGGGTTAATAACATATAAAATTCATTATGTAGTTGATGTGTGTGTGTGTATATATATATTTATGTATATATGTGTATATGCATGATAGAAAATAGAAATGGTGGAAATCTTAGGAGAATCAAAGAGGCCCCATGAAGTAGTGAAAGCCAGAGAGGCTTGCCTCCTTCCATCAGACACTGCTTCCATGTCTTTCAGTTTAATTCTATTTGTAATTTGTTTGTGTGTATATGTATATAATATTACATGTATGTATGTATGTATGTATGTATGTATGTATGTATGTATGTATGTATGTATGTATGTATGTATGTATGTATGTATGTATGTATGTATGTATGTATGTATGTATGTATGTATGTATGTATGTATGTATGTATGTATGTATGTATGTATGTATGTATGTATGTATGTATGTATGTATGTATGTATGTATGTGTTACCATGATGCACAAGTGGGATGAGTAGATGTTGCCCACATTGTCAAACCTAGTTAAAGGAAGTCTAATATAATTTAAGTTTGATTTGTAATATTTAAATAAAAAAAGATACTAATAACCAACCAATCTTTAATTAATCTGTTGAACATCGCATTTTAATGGGTCGAATGATGTTCAAATGCTGACCTTATCCTTTTCCGACAACCAATCTTTAATTCCTACAATTGTTGATAAGTACAAATCACTGTAATGTTTGACCACTTTTATTTATTTTATTTCATGGAAATGCTATTAACGTGTGAATATGTCAATTTTAATATAAAAATATTTGATATTCACGCATAGAACCATATATCGTTCAAATTTTATATATATATATCGCAATTCATAAATGTTTTCAAATATCTGATATGATATTTTTGAACATATGTTTTCCAATGCCTTCTAAAAGAGGTTATATTCACGAGAAATTTGTAATATTATGATTGCAGTTTGATTTATATATTAGAATAGAAATGGATATGGGAAATCAAATTAAAACGAAATGAATAACATCATTCGAATCTAACTCTAAATATATTTTGGAAACTATATTTACCGATAAAATTAAATTTTCTTTATAAACATATTTCTTTTCCTAAAATTAAACGGTGTTGGTATAAAATCTGAAAGAATGTAGTTTTTTCAAGAAAAAAAAAATTCCGAACATGAAAAAAACAGAAACCCAAATCATCCACGTCAATTATATAATCTATAATTGAATTCAATCATTCAATATTTACCTACATTTTCAAGAATTATTTGGCATATATAAAACAAAAATGAAATTACTGTATAATTCAATAATCGAGTTATTAGGGTTTTCATTGAATAGAACTTTGAGACCAAATTAATGCATTGTGACAAACAATGTTTTTTGAACTTTTGAGATTTGTCTCATCCTAACTGGCCCACGAATAATTAAAACATAAATAAATTTTCTGGCGATTAGATTAAATTAACTAATTAATTAATTAACGATTTTGGAATCCCTTATCGGATTACAGCTCTAACTTGACAAGCAAGTTATCTAAATTCTAATCTTATCCAACTCTAAGAACCCAAAAAATATCACTAAAAAACAATAAATTAGTACCAATGCAAAAGTCAGATATAATAATATCGTTTTAACTATATCATTAAAAGGGATCAACATTAGAAACCTCGTTTTTTAAAATATTTATAAAACAACAAAAATATATTTTTAGCAAAATTAATTCATTTATAAATCAAAATATATTATTTATAATTTTTTTTTGCTCGATTCATATTTTTTCTTTTTATAGAATCTAAACTGTTTCATGTATAATATTGGGTATATAGACTACTTAGCCTGCCAATACATAAATAATTTTAAAATAATCCTATGTGAATTAAATCTTCCAATTATACTCGAAACATTTCATAGGAAACATTATTTAAATGTTGAAATCTGGATAAATAAAGTAAAACCAATTGCTCACTTTTAAAATAATTTGTATTAAAATTATAAGAACGCGTTTTTTTAGCTGTGATTGGACCGCCTCAAACGGCGGGGTTACGTGGAACCCTAAGATTAATTAGCAATTAAAAAAATGCCAATTAGAATTCCTAATCACATGATAAGGCTTAAGTCTCATCATCAAGAACATGCTTAAAGGTGTTAATAATGATGTTTAGCTGCAAAAATTATTATTTAATAATACATGCATGCTTGTGTTGGGCATAAGTAATGTTTTTTTTTTTTGGTGGGTTGAATTAAGAATTAAAGAAAAAGGATGTTTCGTTCATTGAACCAAAGACATTTGAACACTTCCTTATTTTAATTACGGATTAATCTGTTTAATTAGTCGATGATTAAGATCATAATGACGAAAAGTTGAATATGAGTGGATGCTTTTCGATTACGTCCCATAAAATTGGAACGACTACAAGTAACCAAAATACAATGGAGGGAAGAGGACTTACCATTATCACATAGAAACACATTTCAACAAATGCTTTTGATACAGAAATTGAAAATTTTCAACGATCGAATACTTGGCCGAAGACTAAGCATCGATTGATCCAAAGTATGACGGATCACAAACATGCGGTCTTTTAAGGCTATTGTTCTCTCTAACCATCATATGATGATACGATTGCATCATCGTGATCATATGGTTCAGCGGGCGGCGGGAAGCTGTAGACCGACGGAGGGGGAAGCTCGGGGTTTGATGGTGTAGGCGAACGTTATGTTCTCCGGCGGCGGCTGCGGAGATGAATCCGCCGTAGTATCCTCTTGGAATGGTACCTCGAACTGTAGGGACTGGTACAAGCAAACCTCGTCTTCTTTGCAATAGTATACCTTCCCAAAAAAAAAAACACCACCACCCAATTGGCCTTTTTCTGACGCGAATTCTGGCAGATATTATAGATTCTACGGACAGAACCGGTGAACTAGATTTTGTCTAGATGTGTTTCTCACAAAGAGATCTACTTGTTAAATGCATAGCAAGAGTGAACATTACGATTTTGAAAACATTTTTTCAGTTTCTCCTATTTATGCAATTCTCAAAACCAGAATCAATTGCAGACCCCTTGGTTGGTTGTGTTGAAGGAAACTAAGCGTACCTTGCAATTGATTTTCCCGAGAGAAGCTGAAGCAGAAGATCGTCTGAAATGAAGAACAGCCGAGCCTTCAGGACCGAAATTTCCATCTGTGGGTTCGATCTCGACTGCCTTCTCAGGCTCCACATCAACCACAAATTTGCTTCGTGCTTCCTGTATAACAACAAACAGAGCCTTAATCTTCCATCCATTTCAAAGTTTGTAAATAACTATCATGCAACAGAGGCCATATATCGATTCTAAGTTCAAATTACAATAACCAAAGAGCTTTTGGATAACAGGTTTTCTGAAATTATCTCAAAGTACAGGACGTTAGATGTTTATGATGGGCATGCATGTCAACATTTTCTGATCATACATAAGAAGACTTGTAGAAATTGAAGGAAAGAAAAGAATGAATCAACCTTGGAGAAATGGTAGCCATCGGGTAATGAGATCTTGATATTCAAATCTCCTTCACGGGAAGTAACTGCGTTCACAGTTACAATCTTTGTATCAGCTGAAGCACGTTTCCTCAAACGTCTCAAAGACTTTGGCTTTTGCAGTGGCGGTTGAACGTCCTTCAACTCCAATGTAACAACTTCTGGTTCTTCCTTGTTTATGTCTATGTATCTGATGAGACTATTGTTTGTATCAGCTATGAAGAGCCTTCCTGAAATAATAAGAAACAGTTTCCACCATGAAGATCTATTTTGTGTGTTATGTTGTTAATTGGAATAAGAGATGGGCAAATGCAATTACCGGTTTCAGCTAGAACAAGACCTGCTGGTTCTGAAAGCTGAAGCAGCCAGGAAAAAAAGGTATTTTGTTACAGAATCAAACATGTTCAGTTCTATGGATTGTTCATTATTATGTAAAAGAGTTCAGTCAATAGAGCCCCGACCTGGGATACAATGGCATTTCCATCCTTGAAACCGGCTTTTCCTGTTCCGGCTACTGTAACGACACGTTTACTAACGGGGTCAAGCTTCTTGATCTACACATCAAGTGTACACCAAATATAAAAAACAGTTCCATGATCAGTTGTTTCCAATTATTTACAAATCTATCAAAGTCGAAACCCTAAATCTAATTCTTCCTAAGACACTTAGTTAATGTGAGACCAGACGAAGCCAAGGCTGTGAGATTATTGACTGATCTATGTTAGCCGTACGATATAATTTACCTTGTGGTTATAGCTATCAGCTATATATACTTGGCCGTCCTTTGTGCATAAAACACCTAATGGATGTTGAAGGAGCACTTCTGTTCCCACACCGTCATGATCTCCGAACTGTTCCAAGACACTTCTGTGTTAGATATTTGACTCAACGGAAGATTCGAAAAACGATTGATTTTCATGAGAAGTCTCAATTTTGTTAATGTTTCTCAGAGATGAATTTTGAATAAAATGAGCTATGGAAGAGCCATATAGTTTAAATCATTGAAAATAAAAATATAAGCGTTTGTTTGGAAGCAGAAAATATGGATTTCTTGAAAGAAAAAGAAACGAAAAACTCTGCTTTTGCAGCTGTTAGTATCTTTTTTTGTTTTTCTATTAAGTTATTTACACAAATTTAGCAGAGGCATTCCATCTAAAAACCTTTGAGAAATTGCACAATCTCACTTTTGAATGTTTTCTAGATCAAAGAAAGTTATTGAAAACAATATATAGATCTTTGATCAGTTTAACATCAATTACCTTGAAAAGATTATCAGCGAAAAACGGGTCACCTCCGACGAGCAATCTAGATCCTCCTGTTTTAAGATCAATGGCCCGAATCGAACTGCTTTCGCTATCAGCAATATATGCTTCCTTCAAACCTACAATCACAGAACACAAGAGCTTAGCCTTAGAACTTGTAACAAAACATGAGAAATCTCAGTTTGCCATTACCAGGGCTTATCGAAATTCCTGAAGGCTGAGCGAATGATGTGTTTTGAGAGCTGCATTGGCGGTATATACCATAAGATAAGCAGATGGAATTGAGTGAAAATTTCAGAAATATGTAAACTCAGGCTCTCATGTATGTACATATATATATATATATATATACATATATAAAGTACCTAGACCCGTTCAAGTTTCGTTCATATCCATCTCCACTGAAAGCTCTAGCAACGCCGTCAAGCACATTATATTCCCAAATCTGATGCTGACCCGCCATTGCAATGTAAACCTTCTCATTAAACGGCTCAAAACAGACGTCCCAAGGTGAATTCAGAAGCTGAAAAATTTTAAGACAAGCATCATTCTCTCATTAAAGAAACTACCATCTTAAACCCGTAGAGAAAAGTATATCTTTGTATGTAACACATGCCTTTATGGTTCTAAAATGCAAGGTAGAGTGTCAAAGATGCGAGAATCTTCTTTGTGGTTGGATGAAGCTACTACCGGCTACCGTAGATCAATAACCTAACATTTTTTGTTTTCTATTGCATCTGTTTGTTGATAGACTCAAGTTTCCCACCTGAATGGATCAGAAAGCAAGAACACAATTTTTTTGAATTCTGAATTCCACCGTGCAAAAGTAAAGAGAATTCCCCACAAAGGCATTGGATTAGAAAAACATAAAGGTGTATTCTGTGAGAGTATACTGCATGTTCTAAGTTCTAGACTCTTACAACTATGTGGAACAGAACCAGAACTGACACAAGCTTCGCATCAGGCAAGCCGATACACTCTACCTTCTTAATGTCTCTGTCCTATGAAAAAAAGCTTGAACTAATAATGGATGAAGAAGCTGAAGTTACAAGTTCAAGCTTCTTACCTGTGAGTTTCCTTTTCCGCCACCTTTGTAGTCTGAGCCTTTGGTTCCATTTCCAGCTAGAGTACGCACAGTCTCATTGACAAAATCAATCTCCCTAAGAAAGGACAAATAGCCTAAGTTTTAAGATTCATTTGCAAAATGTTTTGCTAAAACGAAATACCCAAAAAACGTTCCGGACATCAATTATTTGCACTGAGTTCACACATACAGAAACACACAGGCAAGAATCAAATCAGCTTAAGATTCATTTGGAAAATGTTCCGCCTGAAAATTACAAATTTTGTCTAAAACTATCAAATATTTGTACTGATGAGTGCGAGCACGGGTGCGCACCGCACACACACACAAGAAGAGTCAAAATCCAAAAGAAAGCCTGAGAAGTTAGTATTGCTTTTTAAAGAAACAAACTTGCACTCAACCAAGCAATTAGTTAAACAAAAACAATCTGATGTTTTTTCCACAGAAATAAAAGAAAAAAAATGAGATCACTCAAAGTTAAAAGGCCGGGAAAAACAAAGAAGATCTGATGCATATACATACCTCAAAGCATGATTCTCAGTGTCTGCAACATAGAGGAGATTCTTCTTTGCATTATAAGCAAGTCCCTGAACACAAATACAATATTACGCCGCGTTAACAATATAGCTTCAGTTAGCGCCTAATGACTTCATACAAGTGTTAACAATATAGCTTCAGTTAGCGCCTAATGAGGACTTATACAAAGTGAGATCATAGAACCTGAGGACGGTTGAATGTGGCATCTTCAAAGGAACCATCTCGCAGGCCTTCTTCTCCCGTGCTTCCAATTTGGACAATAAAATTTCCCTGTAGATCGGTTACAACCTGAAAAGGACAGAAGATTGATATTAGGTAAAATCCAGATTGTGATAGGGAAGTTATAGGAAAGACTAAAATGATCACCTATGTGATCAAATCTGTTGCTTCAAATATGAATCCCCAAAACCACTCTTAGAACATTGTTATCATTGTTTAAAAATGATTTATACACCTATAAAAACTGAATACAGCGAAGACAAGAAGAACCAGATTAAGTTTCTAAAATGGAAAAAAAATTTAAATTGAGATTTCTGAAAAGCCTAAATCTCAAGAATCATTCCACATAAAAACTGAACATATATGCAAACTTAAGTAAAAATACCAAGAACAACATATCCAGGAAAATTGCTAACTCTAGATGGGAACCCTGGATTTTGCTTGGAAGAACAGAGTTCGGCCGCAAAATTGCTAAGGCTTGCAAATAGATTGTTTGCACTTAAAATCCATTTAGAAATCCCGAAAAAGACAAAAAAGAAACATCATTCCAAGATTCTCCAAGAAAATGGAAACCTTTTAGCCAGTAGGTTCTACATCAAAATGGACAGAAAGAGATAAAGACGTGATGACATACGATACGGTTATGGTTACTGTCTGAGATGAATAGCCGGTTATTAAGGGTGTCGATCGCCAACTTCCCGGGAAATTTCAATGGAGAAGCGACCAAGCGAGGATCGTTATCTTTCTCCAAACGTATAGGCAGTGGAGTGTTGTCTAACATCTTCTTGCCACCATAATACGTAAGAGCCGCTGCCACCAAGTTGTCGAGATCCTTCACAAAGAACACACCAATGAATCATAAATTCATAATGCGTGTTTTTTTTAATGTGAAACATATCGATTAGAGTATTCTTTTCTGGGAAGAAATTATGAAGTATCCAGTTTTTTGGTGTCGTCATTGGATTTTTGGAAAGAAATAGCAAAACTACACAATTCAGAAATTTGCTGCTAAATCAAAGACGGTTTTCGGACAAAGTCCACTAAATTAAATTCTTGTTCCTTTTTTTTTTCCCGCAAATTTTGTGTCTGAATCGATTCCTCCAGTCAGTTCAGATTCCATTTATGTTTTGCATGTTTGGGCCTTTGAGATTTAAATCTTTAATTGAGCATACTGTTTCGCTACTTTGATGATATCTCCATTCCTTGTCCCTTTTTTCCTTTTCAGAATGTTTCTGTAAGTTTCTTTCTATATAAATCGTCTCGAGTTACATATTTTGCGAGGAGAAAATACTTTACCTTGCGGTGACCTTCGCCAGAAATTTGTGCAATAAGTTTGCCATTTGGAGAAACGACGGCCAACGTTGGCCATGAGTTAATACCGAGCTCTCGCCATAAGTTCATTTCTCCATCATTAACAACCTTAAAAGTGTAACAGAAGTAGTATGAGATTAGCCCTGATTACCATCATTGAATAAGCTCTAAGACTAATTGAAAAGACAGAATAACCAAAAGTAGAAAAAAGGCTAATTCGAAGGCTAAACCATGCACTTCTACACAAAAAAAACTGAATATCAAAAGGACTAAACTGAGTTGCTTGAGTTATGCAGTTTCTAGGAAAGAAAAGTATTGCTCCATTTATTTATTTTTCTCTGATCTTTTAGTTCAGCGAGAAAAAAACTAAGTAATTGCCAAGCAACCAGTTCCGCGGCTAGTTGAGATGAATTTAAGGATGTTCCAACTTTTGAACAGGGAAATTACCGGGTGGCTGATCTCATAGCGTAGAACTGCATTCCGTATGGCTTCTAGATCCTTCTCGTTATCAAACTTAGCCGAATGTACACCCACAACAGTCAACTGTACATAGCATATTAATTCAAAAGAAAACCCTTTGATCATCCTTGTAAAATTCGAATATCTCAGAGATCCACAAGAACATAAGACAGTAGCACTAAGAAGGCACTGACCGGCATGTCCTTGTACTTTTTCTCAAGAAACTCCAAATCGGGTAATACATGCATGCAGTTTATGCAGCAGTAAGTCCAAAAATCAAGCAGAACCACTTTTCCTTTCAAATCCTGCTCATCAGAAGACAGGAGGTGTTAAGAAACCGATGTCTAGTTTGTTAAAGAAGTAACACAAGGCCAAGCAGAATCAGAAAGCAAGGATTTTCCATAAATAGTATGTTTAAGGATTGAAATAGACAATTGCTCTGTGCAAAACTTGTGAGAATTTACCCGACGCAATTGGAGAGGAGCACTGTTCAGCCAGTCAAGTTTAGATGGAAATTCTGGCACAGTTGTAGCTGTTCCCCTAGTAATACATTAAATAGCATCGCACAACACAGTTATCAGAGAAGATTATCCAAAGTCATGAACAGATTGGAAGCAAATTGTTCGAGATAATTATTCACACTGTTGGAAAACAATCCATTCCCTAAAAGCACTGTATAACCACAGAATTTCTCTGTAGAGTACAATATGCAAAAGTGTACCTAAATCTGAAGTCATAAAGCATCCTTCAGAATTATGTTGTTTGGCTTTCAAGATTCACACATTCACCAAATAATTTAGTTTACTCATTATCTCTTTTTAACTGAAAGGATATCAAGGAGAAGTTTGTTCCCACACAGATCTTAAGACCTAACCTATATCTATCTATATAGACAACTCTTCTGTTAGCTTCTTTGGAATGTCCGGTTAAGCCCGCCTATTAAACCATGAAATTACCTTTTAGATTATCTCCTCAACCTATAGAAACATTATGTTTGAGATAACACAAAACTGTTTCACAATTGATAATGGAGGTAACCTTATACGTCAGTCCATATTACATAATTATCCATACATTAACGATCTAGTACTCAATTTCTCACCTGCTCTCAAGATCAGCAATGTAATCCACAAATTGTTGGACCCTGTTGTATCTTGTCTCACCTAGAAGTTGAGAAAACCCGGTGGCTTCCGTTCAATACAGATCCAACATCGATGAAAGCAATTAAAGAATGTTCTTTAGATAACTTCTACTATATGAAAATCCCTTTAATCTTTCCTGTTGTTGTTAAACTTGTTAATGCAAGACATTGTTACTTTGAGTTTAGAACAAAGGCAATACATATTTTGGACCATTTAGATTTTGATGTGCAAGTTATGTATTAATTATACAGATCGTATTTGAAAGGCTTAGTTGATCAGTAGATACCAAAGAGCAAGGTTAGCTATATGAAAAATCGCATTAGTTTGGAACTACACAAGAATCCTTTCATCAATCTAAACTCGACTATTAGTTAAAACAACTACAGAACAGTTTCGTGTAGGTATGAACAGAGAATCATAATCATGTGTTCATAAACAATGATGTTACATAAAATCCCCAGTATAAAGCATGCTATGCAGTATTTATATCGGTTAAGGAACTAATGCAAATTTATTTTTCACAGTTCCTGTTCTATCGGTCGCCTACTGACACAAGATGTTTTACATTGGTTATAATCTAAGATAACCACTACGGAAAACTTATACAAAGCTATGGTAAAAAATTGAGACAAAAGTTTGGGCACAATGCAAACCTTGGTTCTGTGCAAAAGATGGACTTTTTGCACCAAAAATTGCATTCCATACAGCTTTTGGAGAAGCATATTGCATTGCCTACGCTAAAACAGCAAATCACCACAATTAAAAGCTCCGAGAATATTAATTTTCTCGAGAGAATCTTTTCACTTTTTACCTTCCAGTTTGTGACGGTAAAGTAAAGACAAGAAAGAGCAATGCCAAGGCTCCCATATCTCACTATATCTCTCCGAGAACCCTGAAACCTGTCCATAAGTCACATCTGCAGTCTCAAGCACATGAAACTTTCCATATACTCACCCTCAATCATTGTTTCTAAATTTCTATATTCTTCATTATTGTGACATCCAAAGCTTTGCAAAGACGCATCCACGCACACAAAATATCTCTTTCATATGAATGATGTAAGTACCAGAGCTTCAGTTCTCAAAAAAATTTGAATCCTATATCAATTGCTTCAGGACATCCCTAAACCTCTTGCACGAGGAAAACCATAAGCTTGAAAGCCAAATGACTCTTTAAGTTTTATGCTTTAAGGAACCTGCCTTACCCGTTACCTTTGGTTCTGTCACCACTGGTTTTTCCTTCAAGCATTTTCGTGGAATTTTCTGCATCAGTACTAAAGCATTCAGTTCCATGTAACATCTCATTGCAATTCTGATCTTCATAAGTGCTCAAGCAATGAAAGAGAAAATGCTGAAACGTGGAATCTACTCTGAACTTGATCAAGAACACTTAGCAGATTCAGATATGAACATTCAGTGTATTGTCATTACAAAGAATGCACTCTTGTTTCAAAGCTTCCGGAAGGGTTAAACCTGAGATAAGTACATTAGAAATGGACAATGTTTTGCAGCGAATTTCTTCAGACTACATACTCATAGAATCTGAGCCACCAGTGAGAATGTCATCAAGAGAAATATTTCCAATATTGTCTCGGATAATTGATGGACCAGCATCCTTAAGAGTTTCTTCTGACAAAGTAGTTTTTACGGCTATACATCTGCAAGGAAAGAGACAGAATGCTGATCAATTTTGAAATAGACAAACAATCCGAACCCAAAACTGGGAAGAATAAAACCCAAAAAGAGAGTCTCAAGTTCACAAATGTCGGAGAAGCCAAGAGCAAACTAACTCTACATTGTTTACCACTATGTCCCTTGCACTTTCAAACCTACAGATGATATTTTTCTAGATGCACCAGAATTCAAACATTTATAATACTCTGATAACCATAAACCACCACACGAAGGAAGATTCAAGTGATCATAATACAACAATCTAAACACTTTGTAAAGGCATCCAAATTTGAACTGTCATAGACTGAAAGCTCTCACAAGTACTCAAACTTTACTTAGTTAAGCATGAATATTATGATAAGCTTTTCCTGGTGTGTGACAGGCCAAGGAGAAGAAGGGCAGAAATGGAATAAGCTGACGAGGAGAGAGACGATCAAAAAGAGAGAAGCAGAATTAAAGGGAGGATCATGTGTGCTGTGAGGGTGAGATTCCTTAGGGTGGTTATCACATATACATACATATTAGCTGCTTGTATAGGTTGTTTAATCCAACTCAATGGTGTGTTAGTGGGTTGGTTATATATATAGTTAGCGTCTTCTTCTACAATGGGTATCGAAGAACTTGAGTCTCTTGTGTGAGGGTGAGAGGGTGTGCCTCTTGGTAAACAATTGTAATTCTCTGTTTTGAGGAATACAATTGGTATTTTATACATATATTCTATCTATATCCTATCATATTAAAGGTAACAAAATATCAAAAAGCATAACTACTAATACTATTTAATGAACGAGTCCGACATCTATATAGATATTGTAAAAGAAAAAACCCTAATGTTTTCTCCCAAAACAGAATTTAAGAAATACCAATAGTCACGATTAAGAAGAAAAAACATGAAGGATCTATGAGGACAAAGAATTCTAAGTTGAAATGATCTACGGAAAAGGGTAGTTTGGAGCTACAACTGTGAAATTTGCCTAAAAGTTCATCCCAGGTCAGAAGAACACTTTCACAGGTGTGTTGCACAAATCTTTTACTCAAAATCATTGAGACAATGCAAAGATTTGACATTTCAAAACATATAACTTTTAGTAGATTTTGTAATGTATCAACAAGTACCTCATTTTTGCAGCTTTGGCAGCCTGAACTCCAGCAAGCGCATCTTCAATAACAATACACTATAAAACGATACCAAAGAAGTTAACTTTGAAGCAGTTATCACAATGATTATACTAACAAAATGGAGATATAAGCTATTTTAAAGATTAAGCAAGTAAAAAAGTATATGATAAGATTTAGGCAATTATACATTGTGGTTATAAACTGTAATTCATGTATATGGAAGAGTTTTTAAGCTCTAAGGCACTTTATGTTCTTTTTTTCCCTATGAGATCCAACCATAAGAAACAAAATTAGTGAATACACATTGAATTGAAAAACTTGTCTGAATCATTCAAGAATCATGGGTCGAGCTTGTGTTTACTTTCTCAATGATTTGATATGAAAGATCTTGTGTGCTAAGTTCTGTGTATGTGATTCTATGTGGTATTCGTAAAGTTCCTATGATTTACCTCACTTGGTGGAACATCCAAGATCTTTGCAGCAGCCAAGAAAATATCAGGAGCAGGTTTCAGATTCTCAAAGGCATCAGCGGAAACAATGGCATCAAACCTGATTATGAGCACCATAGGCATATAGTGATAAGAAATTCCATAGTGTAGAAAAGATAATTCTTCTGTTTGTAAAATACATTAATGAAGAAAAATCCCTAAAAAGGTATTTAAAATAAGAGACAAGAAAATAGACAAAGATAATTAAAATGACACTGGATTAAAGTGAAACATCTTTCAAAACTCAAAAACCAACTCTTCAAAAAAAAATTCCCAAGCTGATAATTGAGCACAAAAAGGTGTAATAAGTATAGAAACTGGATCTAATAAAGAAATGTAACCAAGAGCAAGACGCAATTAGGAGACAGGTTCCAAACATAATTGAGAATGGTCCCAAATACAGACAAAACGTGTCTAAAGACAACCAAAGAACAAAAGATATTTGAAGCATACTCAACAGAACGAGACTTCAGGCTTACATGGACAATGGCAAACCAGCGGCAGTGAGGTTTGTGTCGACTTTGATACGGTCAGCACTCGAGGCAACAGCGACTTTTAGACCTTTGTTCTTACACTGTTTCAACAATTCCATAACATCAAGTTCTCACAAGAAATGAAACCACAAAATTCCAAAACTCGATTTGGGTACTTCTCACCTGAGTAACAAGCTCAAGAGCTCCTGGAAATCCAATTCCCGATTCTGGCTTTGCGTACTAAAATGGATAAAAGAACATGATTAAGTGATTACCTGGTCCAAGAACTTGAACAAAGAAATCACAGACTCTGATCAGTGGAATACATGGAAAAGGGTGCATAGCTTTTCAAAGTGGTGTCCCACTTGATGGCTGACCTAACAGGCTCGGTTATAAAACAAATGTGACAGAGCATGACATGATCTCAGACAAGACCATCATGCCTCAAATGCTAAGAAACTATAACAGCTTGAAGGGACCATGGACAGGACTATGTCAGGCATGAGGCACCACAGAAGTAACCAAGACCATTCAAGCACTATTAGGTCCGGGTCTTGGTCACGTTCTCTTCATAACAACATCAAGAACTTTGTACTCGAGTCTATCAGATAGTAGATAATGCACGACACATTTATTATCCTAACTATACTCCTGCCGGTAATTACTTGGATATGTGTGAGATTCGTTGTTTGCACATCTCTGACAACTGTGAAAGAATGGCAGCCCATCAATACCAAAATTTATTTCACATCAATCATTATGTTTTCTAATCAATTACCAAGAACACTTGCCTATGCTATTTGCAAATACACAATAATAGGAGAGCTTACCTTATCGAGATATATTTCAAAGAATCTCTTTTTGGCTGTCTCGGGATCAAAACCTTCTACCCCTTTAACCGAAGCAACACCTCCTAGGAATTTGGCTTCACCTGCAAATAACCAAACCGATATAAGGTTAAAAATTATTACTTGACATAGTCAGTTTACATCTCCAACCACTTAACCATCCTAAAAGAATTCAGCTTTGACGCCGACTGGTGATGTCTTGGAAGCTTATGGGAGATGATGAGAATAGCACAAAAGTACTTAAACTAGTCAATCTGTTCAAACTCGAATAAATTCAGAATCTTATAAAGAAATCTCATATAGTCTCTCAGAAAATTGCTACTGCTGCTTAAATGCTACTACATTGCAATCTAAACAAGAGTCACAATGAAAAGGAAAAAACGGCGATTTTTCCACCAAAAGAAAGAGATTATCAAAACATTGACATGGTTAAAGAAAAAAAACTGCAATTTTAAGGACCAATTTGGACAATGTCGAATAAAAATATGTATTCATCCGAAAATGCACACCAAAAATGGAAAGAAGAAACAGTATTGCGACAGTCTAAATGACGAAATTTGTTAGAAAAGGACAACAGATCAGCAGCAAAGTGCCAATTAAATCACTCAAACCAGATTCATCTACTTCATTTCAGTTCTGGATTACTAAAATTTCCACAATTTTACTTTTATACTCTGAATCAAAATCCTAAACCCAGTCTCCATGAATCTAATCGGAAGCAATCTTCTTTACTGATTCAAACGCCAAGCCCATATCCCAATCGATAAAAGCATGGATTTTGAAACCTAGAAACTCGAACTAAATCGTTAACACCATCAAACAAAAAAATCGATTAAAAATTAGGGTACCAATCTGACTAATACTATAAGAAGAAAGGGGCTAGCCAAAACCTTTCCCGTTTCGTCCCCTCGTAAGTTTACCTGTTCCCATGAAAGGCACAAAATCCTCGACTGTGACTTCAACTCCCATCTCGGTGAAAACATCCACGGCGGCTCGTCTGGAGAGCTCCTCGCTGTTGCAAAGCACACCGTCCATGTCAAAGAGCACCGCCGAAACCTTCCCCGCATCCTCCGCCGCAAGCGTCACCGGAGCACTCTTCTCCGCTACGCTCACCATAAACTCCGTTCTACCCAAAAGAACTCCACCTCTAGGGCCCAATTTCACCAAAGAGGATGCTCTCGAAATGGGATGCGACCCGCTTGGTCTGGTTGAAGAGCTGATAATGTAAGAAACTCTAGTCGATTGCGGGAAAATTGAAGGAGTAGAAGAGAGGCACCAGAGTCTCAGCGCCATCGAATTTCCTTCCTTTTTTTTTTCTCTTCTAATCGATTCGACTGTTTGTTTTTGTTTACAAGTGGCGGGTGTTTATTCATCCGTCGAGGGCGTTTTGGTCATTTGACACTTGAGTGACTTTTGTGGCTAAGAACAATTCTGAGAAACATATCCTCAAGAACAGAACCTACATTTGCATTCTGCGAGACAAAACAGAGAGAGACTGATCACAATCACATAACCATCAATGGGCATTCACCTGATCGGTTGCTTCCTCCGCAAGAAATAATTCATATGATTTCCATTTATTCGCACTGTAGCCATTTCCATTACATACAGACTTCCAGTCATGTTCTTCTAACCTCTTTACCAATCACAAATTTTTCTGTAAGCAGAAGCATTTTACTTACGCATATGGGATTCAACACTTCGTATATACACAAACACAAGAGAGCAAATGCCTCAGAGCTTCAAAGAGGCAGTGAGAGTGTCCGACCTTATCCTTTAATAGACTTGTAGCATTGCAGACTGCAGAGTGGGAGATTCGACTTCGAGTCTCTGTATTTGTACGGATTCTTACAACTTGGACCAACACACTTCTCCCTCGGCGGAGGATAGCTGTTTCATCACGCCCCGGAAAAGAAAAACACACCGTCAAAACCCGACTCTAATTGTTTTTTTTTTTCAAATGTGAATCGGGTATCATACCTGTGAGGCCGGGAATCGAATATAGAAGGCAATCCCACTTCGTCCGGGAAAGTTATGACGGTTCCCGAAGGACCCATCACCCATTTCACGGTTTCCGACTGTCGGGCTATCGCATTTGCAGCCTTCTCCTGCACCAAAATCGCGTCAGATATTGCAGTTTCCGCTTATATGATGTAGGGGCGAGCCTCAACACCCCATATCTGCGAGTTCGCTGGTACCCGTCTCACGGTCACGGGTACCCGGCATGCGGGAGCTCGGCGACAAATGAGGCCGAGCACGGATTCGGATGAGATGGGGAACCCAGACTGCGGGTCCAGTTTCACTGTTGAGTGACGGTTACCCACGGATATCCACCAAGGTGTGAAATCTAGGTCTATTTTTCATGTAAAATATCATTATATCCCTGATAGGCCAACTCAGATCAACAGAAATTTGCAGATGTTCACGAATTCGGTACCGACCGTCGGCCGAAGCCGAGACCGATCCGTCATACAACCCATGGGGCAAGACCGAGGTCGGATACCCCACAAACTCGGGTAACCGACCTGAGTCCACCCCTAATATGATGTAGTATCTTTGATAAAACTAGCTCGAGATAAAATACATGAATTCGGGTTTGTTTTTCACCTTAGCCTTCTCTTCTTGGCGTTTCTTGATCTTGTCTTCCCTCTTCTTTCTGCTAGAGTCTTGCCCCAATATCTTCCTGATTGCCTCAGCCTGTTGTTGATAGATATACATCAAGAATTGAATGCAAGTTTGATATGATCTTCACATAATTTTCAGAACCGAAACCGAAAACAAAAACAAAAACGGCGACGATAAACCTCGGATTCTCTAGCCGCCTTTTCCACTTGCAGTTTCCGTCTCTGAGCAGCCTCTGCTTTCTTCAGTTGCTGTTCAACTTCCAGTGGTGTCTCTTTTCGCCCTGGAAAACCCGACAAAACACGGCAAATTCAAGCCAACAATTGCATTTTTTCTTGTTTCTCACACTTGAATTCCATTTAAGAAGGAAAAAAATGTCGGGTTTGCATAAAACTCACTTCTAGGCGGAGCAGGAGGCAGCCCATCGGGAAACTCGATCAGATTTCTGCTAAATCCAGAACGTTGTCGGGTAGTCACAGTCGTCTTCTTATTCCCCGGTCCAACATCCGAAACCGCTTCTAATTCCTCGTCTCCCTCTTCCTTGTCCTCAACATAATCAATATCATCGGATAATCTTCCCGTCTTATTCCTCTTACCTGGCTTGCCCGGTAAACCTTCGGCATCTCGTTTCATCACATTAGAAAGCTTCTTATGTTTCTTGCTTCTTCCTTCTTCATCATCGTCATTATCATCATCGTCATCCAAAGAAAGAACCTTTGCCATTTTCACCCTTCTGAGGAACCGAATTTCTTCATCGTCGTAGTCCTCAGTTCCATCAAGTTCCTCCTCACCAAGAACACGTCGTTTAGAAATCCGATTGCTTTTACGGATTGGCTGATACACGTTGATTTCATTACCACCACTGGATGCTCTAACATTGGATGAATCCGTTTTCCTTACACTGTTCCATGAAATTCCTCTAAACTTAGTGGATCGATCTTCAAATGTGTCCTGTAAGTAAATACTTCGATGAGATAATATCCAATCACATCTAATGTGATTTGAAGTTCAACCAAAAAAACTAGAAGTATCAAAGTCAGAACCCGAACTCATAGATTCAAACACAAGGTCTGGACGAGATTCAAGAAATAAACTCGAAATTATTACCATTTGCTCAATGAAGAAGTTTCCAGGAAGAGAACGAAAAATCCTAAATAGAATCTGAACTTGTAAGATACCAATAGTATGAACTAGGAAAAAAACTTCGATAAAAGAAAATTATACGAGAAATTGTGAAATTTGAAACTTTAAACTTTCGGAAAGAAATTCGATATAACCTGACCCATCTGCCGTAGCTGCGAGGCATCAGAAGATACACGAGAAGATTCCGTTGAAACAACACCTGATGCAGAATTAGCGTCTAAAGTTTTGGTTAAACCGCCAACTTTGAGCTTAACCTTCTTGACCGTATTCTCCGCCCAACTGCCAGCTTGCTGCTCTGAACCGTTACTAGAGGCTTTGTGATTACCCGTCGGGACATTAAACCCTCCACCCGGTCCATCTTGGTTACTTCCTCGGAAAGAACCATTCGTTGAACCTTCATCTGATTCCACATTTTCCCTCTCTTCGATCTTATTCACATTCTGCACAGATAAAAACGAGGAAAAATGCCATATAACCACACCAATGAGTTAAAATGTCATAAAAAAAATACATGAATTTTGAAACTCTAAACAGAAACACATCAATTAGTCAAATTCTGTCGATTTGCTATCAACAGACAAGCCACGTCTTCGTCCAGATGACGGAAATCCTTACTGGATTAACGTCTGTATGTAGGAAATTGGCAATATTTGGTTAATTGATGTGTTTTCCTTGGTGTTTCAAAATTCAGGTATTTCATACACAACATCAAGCCAACGCTTTACAAAACTATACACTCGGGCAATCCACCACCGAACCAAAGCTTTCAACAGTTTCAGGATTATTGTTATCTTATTACGAAGACTGACGCAGAGTTCCGTCCTTATCTTACATTATCAGAGGTTGGTGTGGATGACAAGGATGAACCGTCATGTAACTGTGGCTCACTCCAAGGCCGACGCAGAGTGTTACTTCTCTTCTTCCTCGCTCCACTGCTCATGCTGCTAAACCCTAGACCTCCCAGACCTTCCATGGTGACTATTGCAGACCAAACCAGAGATTAGAAGGGCTTAACCGAACAATTCAGTCTTAAACCAACATTAACAACAAACACGCAACAAAAATTAAAGCAACGAATATACAAAAAGAGAGAGAAAGAAGAAGAAAGCTGGTTTCTAATAACCAAATCAAAGTCAGCTGTTCTAAAGCAGAATTAGGGTTCAAGGTCTTGAAGTTTGAATTTCAGCCACTCAAATTCAACATAGCAGAAACAAACCAAGACGTGGGTTCTATTCAATGGTTTCGAGTTTGATCGCGTCAATCACAGAAAATGATTTTCCAACAAGAAAAAAGAATTCTCGTACCCTTTTTACCCGGAGGGAAAAACAAATCAGGAAAGAACTAACCTTGCTGATACGTAAGCCGTTCCAAGGATCTGAGTTTCGAATGTGAATTCCAGCAGGAACATGGACAGGACTATGTCAGGCATGAGGCACCACAGAAGTAACCAAGACCATTCAAGCACTATTAGGTCCGGGTCTTGGTCACGTTCTCTTCATAACAACATCAAGAACTTTGTACTCGAGTCTATCAGATAGTAGATAATGCACGACACATTTATTATCCTAACTATACTCCTGCCGGTAATTACTTGGATATGTGTGAGATTCGTTGTTTGCACATCTCTGACAACTGTGAAAGAATGGCAGCCCATCAATACCAAAATTTATTTCACATCAATCATTATGTTTTCTAATCAATTACCAAGAACACTTGCCTATGCTATTTGCAAATACACAATAATAGGAGAGCTTACCTTATCGAGATATATTTCAAAGAATCTCTTTTTGGCTGTCTCGGGATCAAAACCTTCTACCCCTTTAACCGAAGGAATCCGGAGTTCGAAACGATTTACCAGTAAGTTTCCGCCAAATCGAGCGAGATGATGAACCCTTTGAGAATTAGGGTTTAGGTTTTGGAAAACTTGGAGAAGAACCCCCGAAAAGCTCGATGCTTTTCTCCTTGGGTCACCGCCTATTTCTCTGCACTTGTCTCTGTTCCTCAGAACTTAAGCGAAAGTAGGCGCAGGTTAATAATCTACGCACCTTTGGTTTACCGTTTACGTTAGTGTTAAACTGACCCGTTTACCGCCAGACCAAAGGTCTGTTACCTGTCCTTTCTGTGTTTTAAAACACGACAATGCATAGTTGAATACACATCAAACATAAAACAGATCAGCCAAAAAAATAGCTTGAAACATAATCCTTTTTTCAAATAATCAATGCATTGAATCTGAAGATGCATAATCCAAAATAAAATCCAGAATCAGATTCGAGTCATTGAAAAAGAAAAGGAAAAAGAAAGTTTCAGCAGTATCCGCCATTATCATCCACTACAAGATCATTTGCAGTTTCCACATATAATCATAAAGGAAGAAACTTTTTCTGAGTTTTCATGAGAATTCCCAGACAACAATGTCTGCGTTGGTTGGTTTGGTGGTTCTTCTCTCGGCCTTACCATGAGCCTTCAGCACCGACGGTCGGATTGTGGAACGACTTGAATTCCCAGAACGTCTTCAAAGAGTATGGCTGTGAGATCGTCACTCCTTCCTCTGTGATCTTCGCTATCTGAAGAGATTTATCCATTTAATCAGATCAATGTATGAAGCTTCAAACAGGACGAAAAGGACCAACTCTAACTAAAATGCAGGTGGAAATCAACTACGATGTTGACAAGATAGCTTACATAGTTAAGTTCCAAATGAAAATGTATGTTAATAGCTATGGAGGGTAAGCATAAATATCCGAGAAACCGGTGAAAACAAACCTGAAGCTTGTTGACAGCTGATCTGTCACGGTACAGAAGCACCCTCATACACTTTTCGAGCAGCTTGACACCGTCTTCAAAGCTGAGGTCCTCGTGCCATTCATCGCGAAGAATAGGCCTCGCAAGATGATTCCCGAACCCAGTGGCAACATGATTGTCCTCAAAACTAACACCAATCATCGATACCTAAAAGAGGAATTGTGGAATGGAAACCAATCCTTGCCATAAATGAAGATCAAATTCGAAGAGAAAATAATAATAGGGTTTACCATCCCCAAATACTTCTCCCCATTTTTTACTCCTCCAAGAACAAGTGTGTTCCACAAAGGGTTGAACTTGTTTCGCCGGTTATACATGACTCGGGTCAGATAGTTGTGAACCTCCTTTGGCCCCAGTGAGTTACCGTCATCCCACATGTTATCATACAAGCTGAAAACAACACCACCGGTGAAAATTATGAGCAAGACGAGCATGAGAAGAGTTCAAAAGGAAAAAAAAATGTACTTTGATAGATTGTTACATGAGTTCATCGAGGTAACGTAGGATCTCCTGAAAGTCACTGATTTCCCCACTGGCGCCGAGAAGAGAGTGCTTCCCGATGGGTTTCATACGCTCGATGCTCTTGTAACGTAACGTGGAGCCATAGGAACCTGTAGTTACAGGAAAAGTTTGAATAAGCAACTAAAGAACTGGGGAAAAACTATTGGTAAGAACGTGATCTGTATCAAACTATCGGTAAAGGAACCAACTTTTCTGATTGTAATTCACTGGGAAAAACAACTGGTAAGATCGTGATCAAATCTGAATCAAACTATCGGTAGGAAGCAACTTTTTATGATTGTAATTTACTGGGAAAAGACTACCCGTAAGATTGTGATCAAATCTGTATCAAACTAAAGAACTGTTTGTAATTTATATTTCCAGTGACCAAAAGAAATCAAGCTCGTACAGCCACAAAATCTCAAACATTCAGATATAAGGCCAGAAATACAAATTTCTCAGCATTTCAAGAAAAGAAACCTAACTTAACTTAAAATTACCATGTTGACCGAAAAACCTCATTTTAGTTTTTCACACAGCCAAGAATTTCAATAAAAGATAATATAATATACTTAGAAACACATTCGCATTGAACAAAAACTAAAAAGGAAGCAAACAATAGTGAGCATCGAACAACTAATACTGCAATCAAATTCATTTCACAGAAAATCCTAATCCTCCCATCAGCAGTTCTTCAGTTCCTATGCAGAAATATATACTGAAAGCCAGTGTTATCAATAGCGTATGGCGGTCCATGGCGTCAAGCAAAATATAGGCAATGATTTTATGGCGGACGCCATGGCATTACAAGGATAAGTGCAAAGAAACCCTAACTTTGAAATTTGGATTGCTTAAGCAAATAAGCCAGTAATTACAAGCGCCAGTAACCCATAACATCACAGAGTGCTGAAACTAAGACGGGATCATACCTCCCATATCAGCAGCCATCAAAATCCCATCTTTGTACTTGATGGCGATCACTGAGGTCCCAGTAACATATGGGTACCTGACGAAAGTATTCAACATAAACCCTAAAAATCAAACCAAGCCCCTGATTCCGCAGAATCGAGAACTCTACTTAGGACAAGAGAGACAGAGAATTTACAGGGTTCTTTGCGTATCAGCATCAGGGTTTGCTGCGGCATTCCCATTTTGCGTCGGAATCGTGAACTTCCCACAGGCAAGTTTGCAGAAATGAAGGTAAAAAAAAAAATCAGAACCCAGAAAAATCAACAAAGAAAATACTGGAAATTTGTTGGTTGATTCGACTTACAGTCATCGTGTCGACGGAAATGATCTGCTGTGGTGAGACAGAGAGAGAGAGAGAGATTGGAACTGGAAGAAACCAAGAAAAGCTTTTTTCGCGATCTGATGTTTTTGTTGTTCGTCTCTTACACTAAGAAGCTTCTGCGTTTTCCCTTTGCTCAAGACACAAAATTGAGTCGGGTCGGGTCCGTTTACCGGGCAACCCGATCCAAACCAAATATCATTAGCCCAAGCCCTACATGGTGGCGGTGCTTAGCCTTACATTATGACGTTCAAATAACAACAATTTTTTTTCTGTGTTTTTTTCATTACTCCCCCCTCCCCCTTCCCCTTCTTTAAAATGGGTTTTTTACGGCCGCAGCTATTTTAGTGTACACCACCGACCCAAAAAAACAAAAATTTTTTTTTCAATTTTAATCCACTTTTCGGTTGAAAAAGTTCGAAATATTTTTTTTTTTATTTTTTACGATCTTTTTACGACTAACATATAACTGATATACAATTAAAATAAGACAGATAATTTTTTTGCCATTTTTTTAGGATTAATTGTAATTTTTTTGCCACCTTTTTTAGAATTAATTACGAATTCGTAATAATAAAATTGTTTTCGAACGGATAAATATCGTATATTCATTAAGAGTAATTTCGTCTTTTAAAAAAAAATTAATGTGTTAAGTTTTTCGGTGGTATAAACTAAAATAGCTGAGCCATGTGCCATTTGAGTAAAAAAACCCCCTTTTTAGAATCGCGTCGCTGACTCGCCTGGAAATTTCGAAACGATGCCGAGCAAAGGACGGACGCGATCAAGCACTGGTAGTTAATTTTTTTCATTTTCCTTTTGGTTTTTACAGTTTTATTGTCTGTTTGGATACTGGCAAAACTGCAGAGGAAAAGCTCCTTCAAATGATTTCAATTCCTCCCTTGCGAGATTTTCATGCCTTCATCATGTTTTGAGGATAAAAATCGCGACTTTTCGTGGTTTTCTCATCTGGGTATCTGCGTTTCATGTCGTTTAGTTCAAAGAACTATAGTATGCATCGGTTCTTTTTAGCATATTTTGCTATTTGTTTGATTATCGCCACCCGACGTTGAACGAATGATCGGGTTTTTCAACCTGGGGTTTAGATCTTTCCAGGATTTCGAGGGATTTTTGAATGAGTTGCAGGACTAGGAACTTCCAAATGAAGGACAAAAGACAAGAAATTCAAACAACAAACTGCTAGTACTTGGATCTCTGTTTGTGTTCGATTTCTGGTTTTTGTATCTTTATGATGTTATATCATCTCCTCCTGAGACAAATGAAAAGTTCAAATCAAGTGGTTCAGGTACTACGGCTTTCAGTTCTTGTCTGTTACTCAGATAGATATACCTAAATATCTGTGATGTTATTTTGTTACTGGTCGGTTATGGGATGGATACTTCAAGCAGAAGAAGTTCAAGTAAGATATTGATTGTTACTCTCAGAGCATTATTGCTTTATCACCAACAGCTGTTGCTTATACTTTGAATCGGGCAATGGCCTATCCTAAAAATCAGAAAGGCGAGTCCTTTGTCTGGCCATTTTGTTCGTCCCTGAATGAAGCTTCACTGGTTCTTTATAAAGACCAAATCCAATAATCTATATCTTTCTTGTGAATTCTGTTTACTTTTCTTTCTGTTAGATACCAGGAGGCTGAGGAAGACTTGGAAGAATATTCACACCGAGCAACCTCAAGAAAAAGAACTCAACAAACTTAAAGAAGCCATTGATGGGGTCTGGCTTTTCTCTAGAAAAGCCACGTTCGGATGTATTGAACAATGCGTACGCTTTGTATCTGCCTAATCAAATGAGTAGTTGTTTTATTCAGGTTCCACCAAAAACAGATGGATGAATCTCGACTTTCCTCATTGGATTGGATTCTTCGTCCGATGCAGAGAAGCTTCGGATTTCGGCTGTGAAATACTTGGAGAGACTAACAAAGGTCTCAAGATTCAACTTGCTTCTCGTGTGTGTCTCGTCTCAACCGATAAAAACGGCACCTCTAATTCGTTAAAGATCCTTCCTTTATCGAATTTCACGTCGCATAAACGATCTTAAATCTGCACATGGTGTGAAATCGACTCAATGCTCTTTTCTTTGTATGAAACTTGCTTGATCAAAACCCATGTTTTGCATATCACTGATATCCACTCAGAAAACCACAAGTCACATCCATCAAAGGTGCTTCCTTAGTTAGATCCATGTTCCATAAACGGCTTTAAAGGCTGAATAGACGCCAGTTTGCTCTGGTTTTTGTTCATATGTTTTCTAATAGACCGAAAACATCACACCAGAGTATTTTCCTCCTTTTTTTTGGTTTAACAGGAAACTGGACTAACAAGATCCCATATGAAGTAATTGTTATATTCTTGTGCCATTCTTGATAAAGTTTTTAGCCGCTGAGACTGAGTTGTTGATGTACATGTACACGCACATGTGTTCTGAAAGTTGGAAGCTTTCTTCTGCGGGTGTATGTAGTAAGATTTTAACTCCTGTGCTGTTGCTTCTGCAATTAGATCGTATCTATTTCCATCTCAATCAATGATACATGGGTCATAATTTTAACCTTTTTTGTCATGTAGATGATTCTCTACCTTGAGAAGAACCACAAACAAAATCGATTGGACATAAGAGGAGGATCAAAAGCAAATGAGGACAGATATCAGAATCGAACAAAAGACTGGTCCTGTTCATGTCAGATCAAGAGAGAGATAGAGAAGAAGAAGAAGAAAATGAAAACAGAACATATGACCCCATCAAAACCAACTGGGTTTTGGCTGAAGGCTGAAATGTTGAACTGTGCTTTGCCTGTTTCGAATTTTCAGTCCAACAGTTGTCTGAAGATCCTCACAAAACCGGAGAAATCGATTTCTGGGTTTTTCGATTACATAGAGAAAAACAACACACGGCACTTCCAAAGAGAAAGATTGAAAAATCGCAAAGTTGATGACTTTTTACTTCAAAATGTGGAGTATTGACCAAACATAGACCAGAGAACCCACAGATCATGAAACTGCCATAACTGTAAGAAAAACTGGAGCAAAAACACAACAGGGAGAAAACACAAGTCTGAGCAAGAGAAACTCAGAAAACAAAGATGGGGGGTTAGACAGGCGTGTATACAACACATACGTACATTTATAGTACGTACATGCATATATACGCCTAAAATCAACCAGGGAGAAACCCTATTTTTTCTAAGAGAACTGTTCTTCGATGGGGCTGAACTCCTCGATCATGTTCTTCTTCTTGTTCATAAATGCGTGGATCTTGGAACAGTTGCAGGGCATGAGCACGCACGAGAGACCAGCTGGTTCGATCTGATGAACATCGCCATTGTTGTTAGTATCATTCCCTGAAACATCAGCGCCGAGTTTCCTGGAGATGACAACCGAGTTAATGACTTCATCTGTCGGATGATAAATCGACAAAACCTCGAAGCCTTTCAGATCACAGGGCTCGACGATTGGATACAGAAACGCCCGAGCTCCATGGGCACTCCTCAACATGAGCACAGCTCCAGGAGCCATGTGTTTCTGCAAATGCTCGATCACTTTCACCTTCTCCGACTTATCCATCCCAACTAAAGCAGCCAAGAACACGACATCGAAGTCCTTCAAGCTCTCTGTAACATCCATGACGTCTGTCGTGTGGAAGAACATGCGCTGAGAGAGGTCGGGATCTGACGAGACCAGACGGGAGGCGAGAGAATTCGCACAAGGGTCAACATCAAAGTTGTGAAAGACCGTGTCTTTGAGATGAAACTTGGCCAAAACAATGGAAGTGAGGGGAAGTGGGCCGGAACCAACGAAAGCCACAGTCTTTGGAGCAGAACAGTCGGAATGTTGTGTCAGGAGATCGAACTCGAGCTTGCTGAGTTTCAGATAGTTTGTGTAATAAGGGAAAACATCCAAATGGTGAAGTGGGTTGTCGTCAAAAGAGGTCAAGATGGAACAGAAGTGGTTTTCTAAATACCCTTCGGCTTCGCCACAGATCTTTATGAGATTTGATCTGATTTCTTGGACTTTGTCACACATCTTGGTGACGTCGATGTTAGGGTTTGGGGGTATGCATGTGGAGACGAGCTCTTTGAACAAGGTGTCGACATTTTCTGAGGGTTTTAGGCTATCGAGCTTCGAGATTTGGTCGTAGAGATTGCAGATTTTGGTCACCAAGTGATCATCTTGGCAACCCATGTCGACACTCTCTGGTTATTTTGGTGTTTGAAAGAGAGAGATCTCAGAAGATTTCTGGTTTATGGGTTTGAACTCTTTCTCTTTGGTCGTGTCGTTATTTATGGGCGTTGATGGGGTCCACATCATTGGTGAAAAAATATTTTTAAAATTTTTGTAATATTTATAGATGTAAAGAATATTGTGGAAAACTATTAGATTTGATTTATATTAATATTTGAGATATTTATATTAATAAAATAAAATAATATGTGTTTATTACCTATAGATATTACACTATTTTGTCGTTGAATAATGAAAATTTTAAAGATTCTACACATATTTCTCTATTATTATTATTATTATCATCGATCATTTTATTAAATAGTACGTAACAAAAATACGAAATAAATCAGTTATAAAACAATAAAAAAACAAAGTAAAAATAAGAACGAAAACATCCATGCTTATATGAGCATTGACGAGGCCCACATCGTCCCAACGAATTTCATATTTAAATTTATAGTTATATATATATATATATATATATATATATATATATATATATACAATAGTGAGCATATATATATATATATATATATATATATATATATATTGAGCTTGGTAATCGAAATAAAATCGTGTAGTCCGAAGTGAAACGAAATTTTGATTCCTTGATATCCTAACTTCTCTTTGTACTTCTTAAAATAAAATCGTTTGTACTAACATGAAAACAGTCCAATATTCCGTGGTCCACGAGAATTTGTATCCAGAGAAAACACTTTCATTATAGAGATTAAAAAAAACGTGACGTAACTATCTGCATATAATATATATATATATATATTAATAGAGCATTTGTTCTAACTTTGTTCCGACTCTTTTCCTAATGTTTCAAAATTCAGAGAGCATGAGCAAGTAAGCCCTACAACATTTAACCCATCAATACATACACGCACACACACATATATATAATGATACATATAGATTTTGTATACACACACGCATGCATGTACATATTGATGGACATGAACTTCTGCGAAACGAGCAATCTCTCTCTATACTATATATATGGAAATTTGACAATGGAAAACAAAAACCGACAAAAGGTATAACTAGAAGAGGTAACAATATTCACCATAAGCAAAAAAAAAAAAAAAAAAAAAAAAAAAAGAAGAGGCATCGATTAAAAAAATTATCACACTCAAGATTAAGTGGGTAACCGGTAAGGAGGAGAGCAAACCTTTTTTAGAATTTAAATTTGAATATTGATTTAGAAAATAACATTCGTATAAACAATGACATACTATATGTGATGGTTTACTGCCGTAGGGCAACTCACCCGACTATATGCATACATGTATATATATGTATTTATGTATGTTATATATGTATATATACATGTATTAAGTTTTTTTTTCACATATTGGGAATTGTAAAAGATCATTGTCCCAATGCGTTTATACATTATAATATTTTTATTATATGCTTTTGGTTGGCTCTCATGATGAGGAATGTTCCAACTTGAGACTATACACGACAGGATGTTGCCATCCTTACAGTTCATGCACACTCGATGGATGAAGTTTAAAGGGGATCCCAAGTTTGAAAAATCAATTTAATTTTACGATCATACATATACGTTTTGAATTTATAATTTCAAAAAATCGACCGAAATAATTTATATTAATGTAAACAATCATATATATCGCAAATATAAAAAGAAAACACAAAAACATTGTAGTAGATTTGTAGTATTATAAACATTGTATTGTGTTTCATCAAAAAAAAAAACATTGTAGTGTGTGTGTATAAAACTACTTTATAAACACAGATTATAACATTTATTAATTTAAATGAAATTTTAGCTTATACTATCATATACAAAGCACAATTTTTTGATATATTGCCAAATTTCTCTAGATTGTATATATATATATATATATATATATACACATGATGAGTATATGTGTTTATGTATGTCTATATATGTATGTGTATAAACGAGTATATTAATATATGTTTATGTATATGTGTGTGTTCGTTTAAATGATATCGTGTGTTAGTGATGATGTTTATTGAGATGAGACTGATATAGATTTATATCTGTAACGCCTTGCAACTATTACAAAATGTCGAAAATGTTCTCACATATCAATACGAAACTTTCGAGCATGTTTTGTATTTATTCACACGCATACCGAAAATTCTTCCGAATTGATCATCCATCATTAGATTGCTTAAGAGTCAGTAAAGTGTTCTCGAGATAGTCAACCGAAAATATAGGTGAACTTTGTTACTATGATTAGCATAACTAATTCTTTTAAATTATCTTAAATCATATAATCTCATATCTATATATACAATCTTCAAATATTTCTTATTTCGGTGCGTTCGATTCATTCATGTATCCCTCTATTATAGTGGTACTCAGAAAACTGCTTTTTATCTGTACCATTTGCACCGGCGAACACTCTCAATTCTCATAATAACTCGGAATATCACAACACCATTCATACATATATTTATATAAGAGAAACAAAAAGTCCTATATTTATATAGGGTTTTTCCTAATTTTGTTGTATGACAAATATACTAATATTCGATAGAGAATGTGTTCCTCCGACGATTTGGTCCACACCCACATATGTTTATTGATTATTGCACAATCTAATAAGGTTTTCAAGTAATGTGTGAAGCTATCTATGGCAAAGCGGCCAACGTGTGGCATGATATAGACCATTACTTTTTTTTTTATAATCCGGAAGTTCACCGAGTCTTTGACCCAACTATATCTCCCAGAGGACCGGGGCAGTCAATGTGAAAACCCCCCCAACCAGGAATCGAACCGCCAACCTCTGAATGTTTTGTACCCAGTTGCTGACCACTCGCCCACAAAACTGTTGGGTGATACAGACCATTACTTGTTTACGTGGCCAATGAAATTGATCCTAAAATTAAATTTGATGCCATGGAACTTTATTATATATTGTTGATAACATTTTATTAAATAAGTTAATTATATTCCATTTACTAACTATCATGTTTTTCCTTCGTTCTTTGTTGTGTTTGCGTCTGATACGGGGTGTTTTAGGGTTAGATTCTAAAGGCATAGATAACAGCTCAACTTATCTCGATTATCCAATTTAATGTTATCACGATCAAATTATTTAAATATTACATATATGTGCGACTCTATTTTGATCCACCAATACATAACAGCCAAACTGTGATTTTCTAAAATAATAAAATTTGGTTAAGACGTAAGATATATATTATGGTGTAATAGCAAACAAAAATACTATTTCTATTTATATATATATATATATATATATATTTCTATATGTGTGTGTATATATACTGTCTCTTGCGTAACTGGATGGCCAAATTAATAATATGCCAAAAAAAGTTTTTGTTCTTTCCAACCTTCAAATCTCACTCACTGTTACTTAGTAAAATCCATGTATTGCACTTGCAAAAAGAATATATTTCAAAAATATCGGAATATTATTAAACAAATGAATTGTAAACATAGATATATAAAAAGGTAACATTTTGGGGTCGTGCCTATGAAATTATCAAAATGCAGTAAGTATTCATTCATTCATGTAATTGTTATATGTTAACTGCTAATTAAAATAAATACTGTTCATTTCGTATGATTTATTATTCGTTAATTGCTAATTAAATAAATATTTATTTATTTATTTTAAAATACTATCCACTTCTTTTATTCCAAAGGGATTGCTTCTCTTTTGCATTCAACGGGAAGCGTCGGAGATTCTTGTTTTGACTTTAAAAATTAAAATTCCTTTTCTGCTTCATTTTCATTGTTTTGTACTTAGGGTTTAGGGTTAGGGATAGGATTGGCTACTGATACATATTAATCCTACATATTATTTAAATTTATTTTATTTGAAATTCAGTTGAATTAACCAGATTATGAAGACAAAATTGTTTATTCTAGATTATCTGTGAGAAAAATAGGAATTTCATGAAGCATCTTAATTTTAAATTTTATATATATATATATATAATATAATAAATTTTATGTTCAATCCCCGTTTTTGGGATTATATATATCATATAAAATGGATGGTATACTTCCGGAGTTAATATATTTCGTGATTTACAATTATCTTATAAACATCACAACTAAAATAGTAAATAGTGTCTCACCATTGAAATTTGACACATAAATGGTTCGAAACTGTTGATACTCATTTCGTTTGTTTTTTGTTTGTAGTTGTTATCTCTAATAACATTTTTTTAATGTCATCGTTAATATCTTTTTTTTATATCTCATAATATATATTTTTTTTATCACCAACAATAAGAGATTTTCTAGATTTAGAAATTACTTTGAATATAAGATCTAAATAATTTATATTGAGAAAATGTGTTCAATAAATCATATACATGTGGGGTTTAATTAATTGTGGCAAAAACTCAAATTAATACACCTAAATTAAATTCATATATAAAATATAAAATTTGATTTGAAAAATATGAACTTTGTTTTTATAATTTTAAGGATATAATTTAAGTGAAATGACATTTTTTTATATTTGTCATATACTAACACAACTAAAATTTAAGAATATGGAGAGACACACGTACATAGGCATATATACGTATATATATATATATATATAGGTTATTTATCTATCATGGCATAGTTGTCCATTATTGCATACATAAAAAAATACTGGCTTAAAGTAATTCCCTGTAAAGGTTTTAAAAGCTTTATATTGGAATGTGAATGGGAATGGCTTCATTCTCGTGGAGATGTAGACATTATTGTGACATTTCCACTCTTCCATATATATATATATATATATATATTACGTTTAATTTGGTTGAATTTATAATTCAGTAAGTACCACTCAAATGAAAAGTGATGATAGATAATCTATAAACTTTTTTACCACATTTCTGTCATATTAAAAATTAGGTTTAACATTTTTGTTTCTACTTATAAAACGAATAAAATGGAATTTGAGTAATATATGACCAAATTAGATAAGAATTTTATTTCAAATAACTTAATCACATTCAAATCAATATAAAAATAACATAATTAAAATCAAATTTGTTTAAAAATGATATTTTTAATTAAAACCCGAATTAAAAACTATAATTTGGAATGAAAATTAAATAAATAAATATATTTTAAAATAAAAATGGAATCAAATTCAGAATATCGATCAGCATTTGAAATTACCATACATTTTACTTATTGTTTGTCTGTAGTGGCATTATTTTATTATTCTTGATATACCATTCATGATAAAAATGAATTTATTGGAGGAGCATGAATGAAAAACATGTTGTCATGTCATCTATTATAATATATATATATATATGTATGTATATATATAATAGTAAAGTTTCTTTTTTTTTAAAAAAAGGAGAAGAAAGTGATGAAAGCAAAAGGTTCCAAGGGGTGAGAAATTGGCCAACTTTCAGCACCAACCAGCTGAGTTCTCACGCGACTACTCGACCTTGAAATTCTATTCTTTTTCCACTTTCGTTGGCCCTTTCTCTTTCCAATAGTATTTCCAAAATAGCTATATGTTTTTTTTATTTAAATATATTTAGGTTTAATTAGTTTTTTTTTATAATCAGGATGGTTCGGTTCTCCGGGCCTTCGGTCCGACTGCATCCACCCTAGGCCTGAGACCAACCTTTATATATGGACAATTTTAGTCAAGAAATTACATCTCTCCCCACCGGTGGAATCGAACCAGGATCTTGAGGATGACTTTGTCACCTCTCACTCAATGGGTCACCAACTGTTGGGTAGGTTTAATTAGGTTAATCTATAACCAAATTCAATATCATTTTTTTCTATGGGACAGCCTTTCTAGAAATACAATAAGAATGGTTATAACATTTCCATCAGAATGAAACAGTAAATTAAGAAATGTATTTTTCTTTGTCAAAATATCTAAAATTTTTGGAAAAAAAAAAATCACAAAAGAATCGAGATAGGAAAAAAAATATTTCTATCCACTAATGGAAAAAAAAAGGAGCGAATTGCGTGAAGAAATTGAGAAACAGTGGCGTAGAATGCATACGACTACTAAACAAGAAATTCAAGGTCCTGTTGAAATAGACATAATATTCTATGTGTTTTCCACACAATTTTATCAAAAATTTAAAATACGAGGTTTTTTTGTGGCTACGTCTCAGTTTGGTTTTGTAAGAATGAATTACGTCAAACAATATCTAAAATCGATAGACATGATTTTTTTAAATTATTTGATTAGATAAAATATTTAAAGGAATTAAATTGATCTTTTTTCTAAAATATAAGTATTTATTGTGAAAAAATAATTAGTCTTATAGCTATTTATAAAATTCTCAATTTTAACTCCATTTTAGTTTTTCACTCATTTGCATGTCCAATTTAATGATTTAACTGTCTTTTTTTTTATATATAAATGGAAGAAATTCCGTTTCTAATTTCGTAATTGAATTTAATTTAGATTCAGACATTTAAAATGCACTATATATATATTTTTTATGTCCTTTTAAAATTAGGTACATTGCTTTAATCGAAATTATCCTGAAACATATAAAACAAAGTTACCGCAACGATTAAGAAAAACCCGTATTGGCCCACTCCGTTATTTAAAAGCCCAATCTTGAAGATGGACTGAACTTGAAATAGCTCGTATGGTTTAGTGATAACCGAGAATCGGTTCGGTACACAAGTTTCGGTTTTGCCTTGTAAATTCAGACCGGTTTATGTTTTGGAAACAACAAAGAACAGTAATTCTCCTTCTCGAATGTCTAAAAACGTCAAAATTGTAGCGGATAGAATCAAAAGTACCAAATTCTAGATTGTAAATTTTTGTTTTTAAGCCGGTTAACCAAATTCCCGATCAAAACGAGATAGATTTCCATTTTTTGATCCGATTGAGCTTGACCCAGTCACCCAGATGAGGTTTTGAATGTCAAAATTTGTCCAATTAGGGTTTATGAAACGGTGTCGTATAGAAATACGGTGTACGTTTCCAAAACGACCGTATTTTTGGATGAACACACATCAAAGACGGATCGATGTCCGCTTGTCTTCTCCTCCGCGGCCCCCTCTGCTTCTCCTTCGCTGCAAATAGAAAACCCTATTTCGCTATCTCCACCAAAACCCTAAACTGTTTCGCCATGGAAGCTCGACAAGAGCTCGACACAACAGAATCGCACATCTCCCAGAGTAGCCCTGATTACCCAAAACCCTTGTCCCCTCCGCCTCCTCCGATCTCGAAAGACCTCGAACTCAGAAGAGCCATGGAAGCTTCTTCGAGATCGAGCCTTTGGAATCTCACGAGAGACGATGTCTTGTACGAAGACGAATGGCTCATTGCCGTGAACAAACCAAAGGGTATCTACTGCGAAGCTGTTCTGTCCTCTGTTCCTCGTGTTGTCGGTGAGTTGCCACTTTATTTTCCAGTATTCGATTATAAGGATCCATCCGGATTCGTAACCACGACTGCTGAAACGTTTTGCACAGAAAAGTTCAAAACTTTGATCATCTGATCGATGGTATACGTCTGGTTTCAGATCCACCGAGTGGCACGGACGAGTTTCATCTTGCGAACAGATTGGACCGCGACACGAGCGGAGTGATGCTGATCACGAAATCTCACAAGGTCGCTGCCAAACTTGTCAAGGCATTCACCGAACACAAGATTAGCAAATCGTACATCGCCCTCTGCATTGCTCCATCTCCGAAATGGGAAAGAATCACGATCCGTTCTGGTCATGGACGATCCAAGCATGGCGCTTGGCGAGTTTACGCTGCATCTGACGTCGGTAGAGTATTGCCTGGTGGGTCAGTGGTACGGGACATGGAGACAACGTTCGAGGTTGTGTCTATAAACAAAACCCTTATCGGTAATGAGTCATCGGAACTCAAGAACGAGGAGGAAGAGAGAGCGGTTGTTGCCGAGAGAGAAGTTGAACTGAACTGTGATGGAGACAGGAACATGGACGAGGTATTGGTCAGGGCGTTCCCACGAAGTGGGAAAACCCATCAGATCAGATTGCATTGTCAGTATTTGGGGATTCCCATTGGAGGAGATGTGAAATACCATGGAGTGTACGAATGTAGAGGAATACCGATTGATGGTCACGAGCTTCATGCCGAAAGCTTATCGTTAGATCATCCGGTTAAAGATCATCGTGTTGTAGTTCGAGCTCCTCTTCCATATTGGGCGAATCCACAGGCCAAATGATGGCTTTTTTTTAGCATTAGAATTGAAGGTCGGATTTTGTTAGATTATTCGGTTTATTCCGGTTTAGCTTGGTTAAACCGGAAATTCCAATATATTCGATTGATGATCAATATTGAATTTGGGTGAGAACTTCTAGCTTGGCTGTTTCATATATGGCCAAGTATGGATCTTTTTGGTTATTTTGTAAATTAGTTATCATAATGCTAAATAAAAAAAGATGTGGGGGTGAAAAGAAAATATAAATTCCGGGTTTAGAATGACAATTGTAAAATAAAGCACGGCAAAGTACGTAAATGCACAAAGTTTTAACTTGTTTCAGTTATTTGAAAGAAACTACGGCATCAAAAATAAATAAAAAATTCCGAATTTAATTTTCTTGAGAATTTCTGAATCATTTTACTTTAATGTTTTCTTGATCAGCAGACCAAGATGTACAAGAATATATTACAATTAGATTAGAGAAAATCTTAAATTAAGAATTTAGGAAAAACTTTTAAGAAAAATATAAAATTTAAATTTTCAGATCAAGATATTTAAATTTTCTACATTCCAACGTTAAAATTTCTCTTATTCCGAAATAAAACATGCTCAAATTTAGTAGAAAATCTCAAAAAAATATAAAATTTTAATTTACAAATAAAAACTTCATAATTTGATTCTATGTTTTAATTTGAAAATTTAAAAAAATATGTATAGAATATGGTTTTTTTTACTAAGTTTATGATTTTTTTATATATACATTTTTTTTTTCGTTAGAGTTACTGCAGAGATGGAAATGATTGATTGTTAGATCAAATTATATTAAACGTATTCGAATCCAAATTCCATTAGAATATGAACATAAGACAAATCTTTATCCGATATCGGATATCCTAAACTCAAACTTATTGGTATATCCCAATACAATCTCGTTTTTATATTAAATTCATTGATGGCGATCCCCACGATATTGGATTCGATTTCACGGGTGGATGAAAATGTAATTTCTGAATCAAAATGATCTATATACAATCCCAGATCTACGGTGGATATAGTTAGTCGGATCAAAAACTCGGAAAACCATCATGGTTATAAAAAAAAAATCATTTATAGCCTAAATAAAAAAACTTATATAAAATATGGATAAATATGAAAAAGGAAAGATATTTTCTTAGTTAAGTTATGGAAATATTTGAAAATCCGAATTCGGAAACAAAAAATGTAACACGTATTTACCATATAACTTTTGGATTAAGTTTGAAAGTTTCAATTGAAACGAATAGGTCCAGACTTTCGGTTAATTTTGATTAACATATCTAATAATTATATTATGCAACATATATTTACAATGAATGATATTATTATTGGGAGAGGATAAACTATATATTGACTGAGATGCCCTCGAAATCTCCCGGTATTTACTGACTGTACCTGACACCCACGAGAGGCACATCGCTGCCCTTATTGATAACGACTCATATTCTGCCACGTGTACTCTCAACCCTTCTTTGCGCCAGCTCTATTCATGAATGAGGCCAATCACGTAATGACGCGTCATTTTCATGACTAGAATTGATGATGTGGCTATGATTGATTAGTCCACGTGGACAACTTGCAACGTAGCGAGCCACGAGAGCGTGGAGTTCACTTGCAGCTCCTCCGGTATATAATATATCTCTCGGCTTTTCTACAGAAGCAGTGTCGCTCTCGGGGGAAAAGCTCCGATCTGAGTTTTAGCAATGGCGAAACTAAACACTAGTTTCCTATCTCTCATGCTCCTCGGCCTTGTAGCGATCGCCGCCGCTGAAGTTTTCTTTGAGGAGCGATTCGATGGTACATTCTCTCTCTTTCTCCCTTTCTCTCTCTGTACGTATATTTGTTAATTGGAGTGCGATTGCGATATCGATTCGTGTTTTGACAAGACGATACTACGAGATAAGGATCCGTTGTTCGGTCATTCACCGATCTCCTTGTTTTTGATCGGTGGAAGTGTCCGAAATGTTTGATTGGGTGAAATGAGGACGAATGTGTAGTAGATCTATGAGTTCGTGGTTTCTGGTTTTTTTGTTAAGGTTCTCTAATGTGAAAATTCCGGTGAATGTTACGGAATTAGCTGCCAACTTATGGTAACTACCTTGTATTTGGGAGGTTATGGAATGATACATTTGATGATCATTGTTACTGACATGGTCATCTGCTGAAATGTATGGAGTTTTTTTTTTGTTAACTCGTATGGAGTTTTCTTTATACTAATGATCTTATTTCTTTAGTCACCAAATGTGTTAACGTTGAAAGTTTCTGCTTTGATCTTATGATCTGGAGCTTGCATTGTTCCGTTTTCAGCCGTATGTGTGAGAGCCTTTGGTGTATGAAGTAGGCTGATTTGTTCATTCGAACGTTTTGTATCTAGTGAATGACTCTGAGGCTTGGGTTCTTACATGATATGCAATCCGCCATTACTCATGGTCTAATGTGTGTTTCGCTTTGTTACCTTTCTTTTCTCTATTTCTGAAGATGGTTGGGAGAACAAGTGGGTTAAATCCGACTGGAAGAAAGATGAGAACACTGCTGGGGAGTGGAACCACACATCGGGCAAATGGTTCGGTGATGTTAATGACAAAGGTGCCTTTCTGGAGTAAAAATATCTCATTGGCTTTGTGCTGTATTTATATCGCCATGTCAATGATGTGTTACAAATGACACTGTGTTGCAGGTATCCAGACTAGCGAGGACTACAGGTTCTATGCAATTTCAGCTGAATTCCCTGAATTCAGCAACAAGGATAAGACCCTAGTGTTCCAATTCTCTGTCAAGCATGAGCAGAAGCTTGACTGTGGTGGTGGATACATGAAGCTGCTCAGTGGTGATATTGACCAGAAGAAATTCGGTGGAGACACCCCGTACAGGTGTGTTTCGTATCTCTGATTTCTCTTTTATAATCATCTGTATGTCCGCATCCACCTTAACTTGTTCTTCATCTTTGTTTATCTGCAGCATCATGTTTGGTCCCGACATCTGTGGCTACAGCACAAAGAAAGTGCATGCCATCCTGACCTACAACGAAACAAACCACCTTATCAAGAAGGAGGTCCCATGTGAGACGGACCAGCTCACTCATGTGTACACGTTCATCCTCCGCCCAGATGCTACTTACAGTATTCTCATTGACAATGTGGAGAAGCAAACTGGCAGCCTGTACTCTGACTGGGATCTCCTCCCGCCAAAGAAAATCAAAGACCCCGAAGCCAAAAAGGTGGTTTACTAATATATTTGCTGTATAAGTTGCATTTTCTATCTGCTCTGTGGTTAAATTATTCGTGATCAGTGAAACGGCGAATATCTATCATGGGCCAAATTGCAGAATAACCCCTCTAGATCATAAAGCTGCATTTTATTGAGTTACAAAATATATGCTGATATCTACTATACTATTGACTATCCTCTTGACAGCCCGAGGATTGGGATGAGAAAGAGTACATTCCTGATCCGGAAGACAAGAAACCAGAGGGATACGATGATATCCCTAAGGAAATCCCGGATGCTGATGCGAAGAAGGTTAGATCTCTGTTTTAGATGATGTGAGAACGATACGGATATTTTGCTGATCTATCTTCACTGATTTTGCTTTGTGTACTCTCTGGTAGCCTGATGACTGGGATGATGAGGAAGATGGTGAATGGACTGCCCCAACTGTCCCCAACCCCGAGTACAAGGGTGAATGGAAGCCCAAGGTTTGTAGAATTTGCTTTCAGAAAGTATATCAATCATAATCGACTTTGTGCTACTCATTATGTGTGTCATATTACACCGCAGAAAATCAAGAACCCCAACTACAAGGGCAAGTGGAAGGCTCCCATGATTGACAACCCTGGTATTTTTCTCTCCTTACCTTCTTAAGTGCCCCAAATTTTATCTGTATAACAAGAAATTTCTCTATACGTTATTTCTGTACGCAGACTTCAAGGATGACCCAGACCTCTATGTCTACCCGAAATTGAAGTATGTTGGAGTTGAATTATGGCAGGTAATCATATTTTCTTTTCCGCCACTTGTCATCTCTCACCGTTATCATCTCTTAAACACGACCTATTGCATTTTTTCGTGTCAGGTGAAATCTGGATCTTTGTTTGACAACATCTTGGTCTGCGATGACCCAGAGTACGCCAAGAAGTTTGCCGAGGAAACATGGGGCAAGCACAAAGATGTATGTTGGCTACATTGCGTATCCTGACTCGCTATTTCTCAAATACCCATCTCCATTTTTTCTTATGATTACTTATCGGAGCAAATTCCATAAACTGGTTTTACAGGCTGAGAAGGCAGCTTTCGAGGAGGCTGAGAAGAAGAGAGAGGAAGAGGTAACTTCGGCCCGACTAAACATCCTCTCCAATCCACGTTTTTTCTTTAGAATATACTTAGTGTTAGGAATCCTAACTGAGATATCGGATGTTGAGAGACCTTGTCCAAGTGGACAAGGAAGGAGATGACTCAATTCCGTTTGAGAAACCATCGAATTTACATAAATCAAAACTCAATTCTGTTTTTCTGGTGATATTTCGTAAACCACAGGAATCCAAGGATAGTCCAGCCGAGTCGGACGTAAGTCTTCTTGCAGCACTCTTCTGTCTGCCACTATATCTCTGGATATGTGTTGTTCTCTCCGTTTCCATAAAGTGTATGAAGTTGTGGGTGTTTGTTTGCATTGTTTGACGCATCAGGCTGACGATGATGGAGAGGATGATGATAAGGAAGGAGATGACTCCGACAACGAATCTAAAGCTGAGGAGACCAAACTGGAAGAAGCAGAGGAGGACGCCTCCGACAAGAAGGAAGAAGATGCTGCCCATGTATGTTCTCCTCCTTTTTTTCTTACAAAAATAAGACTGGTTTCCCTGTTTTGAAAAAGAGAGCCTTTGTGACGTGGGTGATATTTACTGTGCAGGACGAGCTCTGAGCAAAACCATTGTGACCCAAAGTTTTCAAGTCACCTTCTTGTTCTGTTTTAGTTATCTTCAGAAATATGTTAGCTCTAGTTTCCCTGTTTTGTCAGATGATGAGAAACAACAGCATGGCGATTCTTCTATATCAACTAAACCATTATGAGATTTGCGTGACTGATTGATGAATCTTGAGATTTTGTTATGTTTCTCAGAATCAGAATCGTATCATCAGATTTTGAGAGATCTGTTAAAATTTTCAATGCTTGAAAGTGTGTGCGTGTGCGCCTGCGTGTGTTTAACTTCATGACTATGATCAATTCGAAACGAGTTGATTTACAAAGATTGTGAAGTCTGATTGGATTTGAAATATCCGAATTTTTTTGTATCCATAAAATTGATCAAAAACGGATGATTCTTCCGTCCGAACAAAATATGGAAAATCGAGTTGCCCAAAGCAAAAATTATCCGTACATCTTCGATTATTATTATTATTATTGTTTTGTACATCGAATGATATCCAAACATTATCTCCAGAAAATCCATAAAACTGGCACTAAGTTTGGTTAAAATCAACACAAAAAAAAAAAAGCTGATTAAAAGATGCGTTTTTATTTTTTCGGGCTCTTCACTATCAGGACAGGACAGTTCACGTTCTGTGCACAGTGGTTGCTCACGCTTCCCAGAAATGCCCTTTCAAAACACCGAAAAGAAATACAACACATTGTCACATGGCAAATCCGTAATTAAGCTTAAATCGGTTATAATCTCTTTGAAAAAAGCAAAGAACATATTTTATCATGGGCCTTACCTCTTGATGGGCCCATATCCATGAGAGCCCATTACAAGAACATCGGGCTTCAGCTTCTCCGCCACACCACATATGACGTCCCTCGGATCACCATCCTCCACTCTCGTCTCCACCCGAACCTAAAGGCCAAAACCGTCATTTAACGAAACCCTTTCAGTTAAATACCGAATATACCCCTATCAGAACGGGGTTTATCACGGTCGGCGGCACTTACGTTAGGAGCCACCTGTTCGCAGAGTCTCTTCGCTTTGACCAACACAGAGCTTGCCACGTCATTGTTGTATTTCTGCATTGACGCCATCACTTCCGGCGAAAACAAATACCCTGAAACATTACCCAAATTTACAAGAAATGCCATGGAACCTTGTTCTTAATCAGATTGCCATATTGATTTCAAAACCGGTTATTAATTTGGCACGGTATAGGAGAAGAATCGGTCAAACCGTCTCTAGACCGGAATAATATAGAGTACCGGAAATGCCCCCGGAGAAGGAACGAGAATTACCGGTGCCGTCCATGGAGCCGTAAAGGTATCTGGGAGGTTTGGAGTAGAGAAGGAGAAGGGTGTCATTGGAATCTGCAGAAATAATGTTATTCAGACACCATGAGAGGGCGTTCATGCTCTCGTCTCCTTCGTCGACGGCCACGAGAATCGTCCTCTCCTTCGCTGCCACGTCGTCGCTCATATCTTCCGGTTTGATCGGACGGTCCAGAATATTCCGGTGAATGTCTTTCTTTCTTTTTCTGTGTGTATTCGGGGTTTATACGAGAAGCGTTTTTATAGTTAGACGGGTTTGATCCATTCAAGAATCCTGTTGGCGGTTTCCTGTATTTTTTTTTATTAATGGTTTTCAAGACAATGGGCCTTTTTCTTCGTCTTTTTTTTTTTTGCAAAAGATATTTTATAATTTTGTCGGGTTTTCGCCTTTTTTTAATCATTTAGGATACTGTCTACTGCAATCATTTATTGTTGGAAGGATAGGAATTAGGATGCTTACTTGAAATCAACTATCAATATTTATTCTATTATTTTTATATTTTAATTTATAATTTATTTTTTTATTAAAAAATATTTTATTTGAATTTTACTAATTAATATTCAAGTAATTTGATTTTAAAAATTATATTGAATTATTTCTTATATTAATTCTAATTTAAATTCAAACCATATATTTCGGAGCAGTTAAAATTTTTATGATTTTATTACAAATCAACCATGTATCCCTTCTGTAATTATTCTCGTATTTATCCTTGCAATATCTCATCTTATTGGAACTTGGTTCTAAACTTTTATTGGGCTTTGCTCTTTAAGTGTTTATATTTATTGTATTGGACTTCACATTAAATTTGGACCCACATCTTAACTTTATTAGGCGCTAAAATACAAGTTTTTCTATTTATCCAAATATAGTTTTAGAATGGTGAATATTTTCCATAGTATTTTTTTCTTCGAATTTTACTCATGAACTAGGCGAGTTGTTATATATATATATATAAAGATCCTGAATGATCTAGACTCAAAATCAAATCAATGGTCGTTTTATATTATTATGCGTAATCGAATACCGTATAACATTTTTTTTATAATCAAATATCGTGAATCAAGATCTAGACTAATTTTAGGGTCGAATGCTAGTTATATGATTTAGAATGTAGACCCTTTCCTAAATTTGAGATTCGAATTCATAACGAGATTGACGCTTTGCGTTCTAATTCACCGATTAAATTATCCAAATTTAGGTAATATCGTATAACGTTATTAGCCGCATTTGATATATATTTTGGATATTGGTTAGAGTTATTTCATACTTGATGGCAATATCTTCATTCAAATCTTAGTCGATTAGTTAGTGGGTTACCCCAATACATGTGGAGATTGACACACATTTTTTTTTGTTAGAACATATTTCACAGCATAAAAACATATTAACCCATCTGATGGAGTCTTCAGCAAACTTGACGGAGGTTCAGAGTCTCAGACATGTGTTGATGATGTGGATGAAAGAGAAGTTTCCAAAGCTTCTAGGTCATTCCAAGGGTTCAAGGCAGAGGACTAACAGAGAGATGAAACGGTGTCGTTAGTGTTAATGGCAATATAGTAATTTTGTAAGCCCATAATATGAGGGTATTAGGGTGGTATTTTCATTCGTGTATTCTTTTTTTTTTTATACCATTGAAGAACTGCTATCATACAATCTTTCAGATCGGACTTTCGTCGCGAATCTGAGAAAACCCTTCGTGTGGTATTTTTATCCGTGTATTCTTCTTCATGTTCTTTTCTCCTGAGATGGCTATGAGAGATTTCTCTCTTGCGTCGGTCTTTTTCGGCGACTTTCACCGGAAGGTTCTTCTCTCCGAACAGTATTAATATAAATCCGGCCCTCCTCTTCCCGAGACGTAGGCCCAAACAAAGCTCGGTAACCGAACTCGTTATATCCTGTGTCTTTTACATTTTTTGCTCGTTCTTCGTTTTTCCGGTGAGATTCGAGTGTTTAATCGAAAGATCTTCGGCTCAAACCACTGCACCATCTAATGGAAGGAGATCCTACTGATATCTTCTTGTTGCTATCTTTAGCATTATTCTCCCATATCATCTCCCGATTCTTAGCTATTTAGTTGTTATAAGTTGCTGTCATATATTTGTATATATACGTTGTATACTTAATGATAATATACAAGGAAACCATTTCCCTATCTCTGTCGCATATGGTATCAGAAGCCCCTGGTTTCATAGACATTTTTTTTTTCTTCTTAATCCCAGCTTTCAATGGCCACCGCCGGCACCACATCCACCAACTCTCCAACCGTAAATGACACGGTTCATGCCTACAACCCTGATGACTCTTCGGCTCCGCTGATCAACATCAACGTGACTAATGTCACCAAATTGTCTGCCACAAACTATCTAACGTGGAGCCTCCAGCTACGCTCCCTCCTCCAAGGCTATAATCTAGCCGATTTCCTGGATGCCGACAAAGCTGTCTCGGCCACTGTCACCGCCAATGGCACTACCAAAGACAATCCCGCGTTTGCTGCTTGGTTCCGTCAAGATAGGCTCATCTTCTCAGCCATCCTCGGATCCATCACCACCTCCTGTCAAGCCCTCATTGCTCGTTGCAACTCCACAAGTGAAGCATGGTCCGTTCTTGCAGCAACTTATGGGAGATCTAGTCGCGGACATATAAAACAGATCAAAGACAATATGAGAAGGTTCACCAAAGGCAACAAATCGATCGATGACTACATGCACTTCTTCAAGATCAAGGCCGACGAATTGGCCCTTCTCGGCAAGCCTATCGACCACGAAGATCTAGTTGATCTCATTCTTTCCGGCATCGGCGAAGAATTTCGATCTGTTAAAGATGCCATCAATGCCCGTGACCTGCCGATTCCTTTTGTGGAACTTCATGAGAGGCTACTCAATCATGAGTCAGCCATTCTTAGCTCCGACACTGCTGCCTCCATTCTTCCCGTCACTGCTCATAACACGCAGACCCGCAATCCTCCATCTCAGAGATCTCACTGGAATTCTTCCCTTTGCATTTTCAGGTGAAAGATCTCGCAACGGGGGCACCTCTCACAACGGGACTTCTTAGAGACGGCGTGTATGAGTGGCCGACTATCCCACCTCCTGTCTCACAACCCTCTTCCAATGCACTTTCCAAAATAAAAACCACGTTGCTTGAGTGGCACTCTAGATTAGGCCACCCATCAACCGAGGTCTTGCGTCGAGTTATTCATAAGTTTTCTCTCCCATTGTCTTCCCCGTCTCAAAAAGATTTGCTTTGTCACCCATGTTCTATTAATAAGAGTCACAAGTTACCTTTTGCAACATCAACCCTTCAATCATTTCGCCCCTTAGAGTTTATTTTTTCGGATGTATGGAGTTCACCTATCGAATCGTTAGATGGCCTCAAATACTATGTGATCTTTGTCGACCACTACACCCGGTATACATGGTTCTTCCCTCTCAAACGAAAGTCCCAAGTCATTGATATTTTTCCCAAATTCAAAGCCTTAGTTGAAAACCGATTTAACCACAAAATCCAAACACTTTACTCGGATAATGGCGGGGAATACATCGCCCTCCGTTCCCTCTTATCCTCTCAAGGCATATCTCACCTCACAACGCCTCCCCATACACCCGAACATAATGGTGTTTCCGAACGGAAACATCGTCACATTATGGAAACGGGACTCACTCTTCTCACCCACGCCAAAATGCCTCTCTCTCTTTGGACCTTTGCCTTTCCGACAGCCGTTTACCTCATTAATCGCCTACCGACCAAAGTCCTTGACCATGACTCTCCATTTGAACGGCTATTCGGTTCCACACCGAGCTATTCAAAGCTCCGAACGTTTGGTTGTTTATGCTTTCCTTGGCTACGACCATACGCTCCCAATAAACTCGACCCTCGTTCTTCACCATGCGTTTTTGTTGGTTATTCACCGACTCAAAGTGCTTTTCTCTGCCTCAATCCTTCGTCGTCTAGAGTGTATGCATCTCGTCATGTGACATTCTATGAGTCGTCATTCCCTTATCACTCTCTCTGTTCTGAACCAAACATGGCCGACACAGACAAGTCTAACCTCTCTTACTCACCATCTCATTCTCTTGTTCCAGGCTGCTCATACATGCCGCTGTCTCCACCGTTATCGCCCCCAAGCGCTGATCATTCGCCAGATTTTGCACCACCGTCGCCTCAGGCCCAGCCAACCTCTTCGCCTCCACAACACTCCACCACAAACCTGCCTGACACTCTCTCGGCCAACACTGATCGTACCCCTCCTAATACCGAGACTGAATCACCTGTCATTGACCCACAAATTCAACCTACAGAAATACCTTGTGCCCCAAGAAACAACCACCCAATGAAAACACGCTCGAAAAGCAACATCATCAAACCCAACAACAAATATGCCAACCTAGTCACTAAACCACCACCTGCCGACCTCTCTCAAGCTCTCAAGTCACCGTCTTGGAGACAAGCAATGACGGAGGAATTCGACGCTCTTGTAAAAAATGGAACATGGGAATTAGTACCTCCCGATGTTTCACACAATCTAGTCGGATGTAAATGGGTATTTCGAACTAAACGTCGTGCGGATGGTTCTTTTGACAGGTGCAAGGCTAGACTCGTTGCCAAAGGATTTCACCAACGACCCGGAATAGACTATCACGATACATTTAGTCCCGTCATCAAACCAGCAACAATACGCCTTGTTCTGAGTCTCGCCACTACTCGGGGATGGTCATTACGGCAGCTCGACGTAAATAATGCGTTCCTACAAGGTAGACTTCATGATGATGTGTACATGGTTCAACCTCCGGGCTTTATCGACCAAGACCGTCCCTCACATGTTTGCAAATTGCATAAGGCTCTCTACGGACTTAAACAAGCACCGAGAGCATGGTACAATGAGCTTCGACAGTTTCTCCTTGAGTTGGGTTTCGTTAACTCCATGGCAGACACGTCGCTTTTCATTTTCCGAAAGGCCAGCATCATCCTCTATCTGCTTGTCTATGTCGACGACATCGTCGTCACCGGAAACGACCAGATTCATTGTCAACGTTTCATCTCCAAGCTTTCGGACAGATTTTCCATTAAGGACCTTGGGCCTTTATCATTCTTCTTAGGCGTTGAAGTCTCCACAACTCCAGCTGGCTTATATCTCACTCAAAAACGCTATATCCATGATCTTCTACAGAAGACGAACATGCTGAAAGCAAATCCGGTCTCCACTCCTATGCCATCAACAACATCTCTCACTCTATCCGCCGGCACACCTTTGGACGATCCAACGGAATATCGCAATGTGGTGGGCAGTCTTCAATATCTTCAATTCACTCGGCCGGACATTGCGTTTGCGGTGAATAAACTATCACAATTTATGCATCGTCCTTCTACCGAGCATTGGCAATCGGTGAAACGGGTCTTACGCTACCTTGCTGGTTCCAATCTCTTGGTATCTTCATGTCGAACATCAACAAGCCCCTTCTCCATGCATTTTCCGACGCCGATTGGGGAGGAAACAAAGATGACTTTACGTCAACAAGTGCTCATATCATCTACCTTGGGAGTCACCCTATCTCATGGTCATCAAAGAAGCAAAGGATTGCAGCTCGGTCTTCGACCGAATCTGAATATCGGTCTGTCGCCACCACTGCCTCGGAGGTCCGATGGTTGTCCTCTCTCCTCTCTGAGCTTGGATATGCCGCCTCAGTTCCACCGGTGATTTATTGCGATAACGTGGGCGCTACGTATCTTTGTTCGAACCCGGTTTTTCATTCCCGAATGAAACACGTTGCAATTGATTACCACTTCATTCGTGGTCTGGTTCGTGATGGACATCTCCGAGTTACACACGTCAACTCGCAAGACCAGTTAGCTGATGCTTTAACCAAACCCTTACCCCGTGCTCGGTTCGATCTATTACGTGTCAAGATTGGTCTCGCAACCGATCCTCATCTTGCGGGGGCATAATGGAAGGAGATCCTACTGATATCTTCTTGTTGCTATCTTTAGCATTATTCTCTCATATCATCTCCCGATTCTTAGCTATTTAGTTGTTATAAGTTACTGTCATATATTTGTATATATACGTTGTATACTTAATGATAATATACAAGGAAACCATTTCCCTATCTCTGTCGCATACCATCATTGTAATAGTTAAACTATATTTTGTCCAGGTGACATCAACTTTATAACTTCCAACAACACTCTCCCCAAACCCTAAGAAAATTCTCCGTTTTTTTTTTAATTGTAGAAATTCTAGGCATTGGAAACGGCACGACGTGCAATCAGTCAGTCTCGCAACGGCTTGCATTGCTCATCAGCAGCTGTTGTTTGTGGCGTCTAAAACACCGTGTCGTCCACATGAAAAATCTTTTGGCCATTAAATTCAAGACACGTGGAGTTCACGGACTTTTTGCTCTGCCACCTACTCATAAACCTTGGGAATATATCATAGCCGTTGATTTTTGGATCTACGGTTTACATTGGCTGAAATGATGTCAACGACAAACTATGACTTCCAGTTATAACCCGACACGTCATCACACATCTCGTTCATCTTCCACGTGTTTAATGTTTATTTCTTCCTCCCTAGACAACTAAATATTGGATCTTCCTCTCTCTCTCTATATTGATTTCTCTGTGCAGATCTTCTTCTTCCTTTTTTTTTTTGGAAAAAAAAAATCGAGTGATTTTTGGGTGTTGGTTTGAGCTTCGATCCTCGTAACGAAGATAGTAAATTTTGGTGTTTTTGCCTTTTTTTAATTTGAGATTGATCGGTGTGAAAAAGACGAGATCATGTTTTTGTTCGATTGGTTCTATGGGATCCTTGCCTCGTTAGGGTTGTGGCAGAAAGAGGCGAAGATCCTGTTTCTGGGGCTCGATAATGCCGGAAAAACTACGTTGCTTCATATGCTCAAAGACGAGGTATATATTTGTCTTCTATTGCCGTGTTTGGGTTTTTGTGGTTGGTTCAGAATGCGTTTTCTGTTTTCTCGTTTGGTGGCCCATTTGATTGCGGGAAATTCTCGAGAAATTTGTTAGTTCAAAATCTAGGGTTCTTACATCTGCTCTTGTTCTGGAGTTTGGCTATTTTCGATTATCGATGAGAAGGAAGTAATTCACGGATTGTCGTTTTTACCCGATTGTGCATCGAGGCACATACCAAATAGGGAGATTCACGGACAAGCGAACACTCTTAGTCTTAATATGTCGTGTTTTGTGACAGAGACTAGTTCAACATCAGCCGACTCAGCATCCCACGTCTGAGGAACTGAGCATTGGAAAAATTAAGTTCAAGGCTTTTGATTTGGGAGGTCACCAGATTGCCCGAAGGGTTTGGAAAGATTATTATGCTAAGGTTAATCTCTCTACACACTCCCTCACTGATCGTGTTAGAACCTAGAACATGTCATGAATGATTGTTGTTCATGTTTGATCGAGCTATATGGATTGTGCCTTCATAATTCCTGATGATGTTTCCTTGTTGCCTTCATAAAGAACCAGTGTGAATTCGCTGACCGAACCCTTCTGTTAACCGAGAAGGGTTCGTGTAGTAGCTTGGCTTACATATTGTTCCATGTTTTAGTTGAAATCTCGGTTGACACATGACTCTCTGTGATCGAATACCATGAAAGACCTAATCTTTTGATGCGTCTTCCCAAGTTCGGTTGAAGACGTAAGATCTATTGTAAAACGTTGAAATCGTAGACTTTCGGGGTTTGTCTACTTGCCAGTTGCCAAAAAAATGAAATATTTGGTGGTAGATTCTTTTCGACATCTTAATTTAAGGTGCTAGATGTCCATTTTCGTCGTTAATTTGTTGTTTCCCCGTGTTATGTTGGTAGTAGGAGGGCTGAAAATGTTTATAGATCTTTAGGACCATTCACTATTCATCTTTACATTGACTGCAGAAAACTCTGTAAATACAAGAAAATGTTTGTGTGTGTGTGCTGATAAGTTGCTGTTTCTGTCTTAAAAAGGTAGATGCTGTTGTCTACCTCGTAGATGCTTACGACAAGGAGAGATTCGCGGAATCGAAACGGGAGCTAGACGCTCCCGAAGTCCCGTTCTTGATTCTCGGAAACAAGATCGATATCCCTTACGCCGCCTCAGAAGACGAGCTGAGGTACCACTTGGGCCTGACCAATTTCACGACGGGTAAGGGAAAGGTGAGTCTCGGGGGGGACTCGGGTTTTCGCCCGCTCGAGGTTTTCATGTGCAGCATCGTCCGCAAAATGGGATACGGAGAAGGCTTCAAATGGGTGTCTCAGTACATCAAGTAGATGAAATCGATCAGTGTGTGTTTCACTGTCTTTGTTCCTTGGATGATCAATGTCTAACTAAATTCCCAAACCCTAGAAAAATTGTCCGTACATTTTGAAATCTTTTAAGATTTTTATCAATGACATTTACAAGACATGAACTCTCTCATCTCTGTCTCTGTAGGTTTATATATATATATATATATATATATATATATATATATATTCCAAAAATTATATATATATATATATTCCAAAAACTCTGACTACAAACTTATTATCTGTTCAATAAGTTACATCATATATTGTCAAATCGGTTTTCGATATTTTTATGTGTAAATATGTTTTGCAAACTAATCCTCGTATTTTACAAAATAATAATATATTCTTATTTAGAACTTGTAACAATGAATACCGAGTTAATTAATGGAGATTAAAAGAAAAAAGTAAACAAATGATTTATCACATTCATAGGATCCTTGTCAAGCCCATGGACCGGTCCGCACCGGTTTAGAGGTTTTTTGCAGGCCTTGTATATCGAAATTATTCCATCCAAATCCGTGTTGAAGGCCCAATACCTTTTTAAAAATAGCAAACACTTAATTTGTATATTTTCTAGTGTTTTAGAAATTCTAAATAATATATTTGAATAGTGAAAATACTGTCACATTGGAAAACCTTATAAAAAATAAAAATATATATTTAAAAAAATTGGGTGGATATTTCTAAAGCTGAATAATGTCAACAATAAAAAAATATAAAACTTATGTGAATATATAAAATAATCTTACAAAGCAAAATTTCGTCAACGAATAAACAACTATGATGAAATTAATGAAACAATGAATATGCTAATATTTCTACCATGCATACTTTTGACATAATATAAATTTGTTGATTATATTAAGGATAAACTCAAAACGAATGATCAAATATAAAAAAAAAATTATAATTTAAATTTTGGTACTTTACAAAAAATAATAACAATATATTCTTGTTTATCGATCAGTCTTCAAATTGTTGTGACAAATGAATAACGAGTTAATTAATGAAAATAATACTATTATTCATAGGATAATTAGTTCCAAAAACTATGACTGCAAACTTATTATCGGTTCCATAAGTTACATCATATATTACCAAATCGGTTTTCGATGTTTTTATATATAACTGCACACTATTAAATTAATGAAAACGTGTATAAAATATTATATATATTTTTTTTCTGGATTGCGAGGCTGTAGTAAATTATTGCATTTATCTAATTTGTGTGTTTTGTTTAATCATAAATGGTTAAAATTGTTACCTATTCTCATGTGAATGCATTATATATATATGTATGTACCTATATTTTCTTACGTGATATTTTTTAGGATATAAAAAAGCTAGTATATTTTTATAAAAGTTGTCTGTGTGTTTTCAGAAGCAGTATTTGTTATCATAATTGAGCCGAATATTGATTAAGAATAATTAATAAAAACAATTATCTCCTAAAATCGGCATTTCTCTAAACGTGTCGTTAAATAAGGAAAATGACACTATGATTTTGTTTTTTTTTGGGTCATAAAATAGATACGTAGGTACGGCTACGCAATGGAATGGAATCTTTATATATAGTCTCTAATATATACACACATATATAGATATATATCACTTCCATGGGATCATATGGATGAACGAATTTGATTTTTTTTTGCAACGTGTCCATCTCTTTTTTTGCTGCTGCTGACGTGTCGGTTCTTGAGGGCTCATTAATTAGCCCATTGAAATCAGAAGGTCGTACTCATAGTTAGCGGTTAATTAACTAACCACTAGAGAAGCTAATTACTTCTATACTTTCTGCTAATGATCTTAACTCAAATAAATACTTGTCACGACTTTATTATTCTTTTTATGGAAATCGAAAATGACAAAGGAAATTTCATAAGCATCATGAATAACGAGTGAAAAAAAGAATTAGTAAATACAAGTTAGCTTATCATTTTCATTGAGGCACTTTGACTAAAGATTCCATGCATTTTCCACCGTGTCCATTTACCCATTCGTGGAGTTTTCTTGTTGTTGGAGTATTGTGACCGTAGGTTGTTCCGGCCTTCGATCTTTCACCTCTCCCTCACCGACACTCGTCTAATCAAGAATAAGAAATGAAAGAGAAGATAGAGATTTACGAGTTCAGCAACCGAGATAAATCTCGGTGTCTACGTTTCGGGAAGAGGAAGCCACGTTTAGTAGCTAGGGTTACAACACGAAACAACCACCGGACACCGTCGAACGGCGCCGGAAAACCGCGAGCAAAACTCACCGGAGAGAGAGTTTCTCTCTGCCGAAAAAACGCACTCAAACCCTAAACCGTTCGAATGAGCCAACAAAAGAAGAAATCCTTAGGGTTTTATTAAACACTGGAAATAACGGAATTGCCCCTCCATACTTTCCAAAGCCTCTGTCTCGAACCAAGGCTTCGACACATTCTAGGCACATTCTAGGCGTATCAAACGTGTCGTTCTAATAGAGTTCTTACCGAGCGTACCATAAGTACGTCTCAGCGTTAATAAACAATATAAACACGCAAATTCTAGTCTACCCAAAAACGAGTGTCCGAGTATCCCTCGACACCTCCCATTTCCGAAGACTAACGATAACCTCGAATAGTTATGACTCCCTAGACTGTCTACATAACTATCTCTGATGAAGTCTAAAACTTCACCTGTGCACCCTCGAGAGTTAATCTCGACATCTACCTATCTCCCGAGTCTAACCTGACTTCCCCCGAAACTAACCTGAGTCATACTACTGAACCTGCTAGACAACCTAACCCTGGATCCCCGTAGAGTTTACACCACCTATGAGTTAGTGTAACGACCCGAGACCGCTACGGAATGATAGAGCTGTCCCCACACACCAACACGAGACCTTTTAGCATATTTTTGTCCTCACTCGCACACATCCCGGAAAATACTTCCAAGGAGGTCATCCATCCTAAGACTACTCCAAGGCCAGCACGCTTAACTTTGGAGTTCTCTCGAGATGGGCAACCGAAAAGGTAGATGCATCTTGTTGCTATGAGTAGCTCAATTAATTCCTTTTAAGTTATCTTAGACTGCGTAGTCCCATACCTACACAGCCCTCAGATCCCTCTCATTCCGGTGCGTCCGCTTCATCCCTGTACCCCTACCCAGAAGCTCGTCAGGAGCCGCCCATTTTACCCTCGAATCCTAACCTGTAAACTAAGATTGTCCCACGGTTTTGTCCCATGAAGACGCTCCTAGTCATCTATGAATGCTCCACCGAGAATGAGACACGTGAGTGCACGTGCTCCACCTCGAGAGGGAGTGTCTTAGCGCCATCCTACACCGACTCTACCCGGTGGAAACCGACACCTCCCAGCTCACACCACCTCCTGAGCATCCTACCCGAGGAAGCTCCACCTAAATGTGGAAACCTCACATCCTGACCTGCCACGAGAACCGAAGCAACTTCGGTTTACTCCTCCGAGGTCAATCTGTCCTTCTACTTCGGACTCTCCCTTCCTCATCATCCGGGACCTACAACACCTTCTTGTAGTGTCCCTACCTACCCGTAAAATTAATCACTCTACCTCGGTCCTTGGCCTTCTCCTGCACCCGATTTCTCGGGTTTGCCCGAGACCCCTAGTCCTTCCACCTAGGGGTGGGCACGGGTCGGGTACCCGGGATTTTTAGGGTACCCGAACCCGAACCCGAACCCGAAAAATAATACGTTTTGAAACCCGAACTCGAACCCGAGTTTTCGAATACCCGAAGTGTATTACTCGCGAGATAATTTTCGGGTACCCGCGGATACCCGAACCCGAAAATTTTTAATTATTTTTTTTAAAAAAAATTATAAATTTATAAATTTTATACAAATAATTCATAAAATTAATGAAAAGAATTTCAAATATTTATATTTAAAATAATTAGATAATAAAATAATAGTTTTTATATATATAAAAATATAAAAATTCAAGATAATTCATAAATATTTTTATTAATATTAAAATTTTAAAATAAATAATATTTATTTTTTATTACTCGGGTACCCGCGGGTAATTACCCGACCCGAAAGTGTAAACCCGAACCCGAATCCGAATTTCGGATTTTACATATTTTAAAACCCGATCTCTATCTCGTAACATAACGGGTACCCGATTTTCGGGTATCCGACCCTCGGATCGGGACGGGTACCCGATTTTCGGGTAATTTTGCCCACCCCTACTTCCACCATACCCTTTTCAGGGTATCCCGAGTTAGAAAATCTAACTCCATCATCCTAACCGCTACCCTTTTCTTCCTCTACCGACACCTAGGGTTCGGATTTACACTCGAAACCCCAACACAAGGCACATCCTACTAGAGAGGATTACAAAACATGAGGTTCCTAGCACTTGACTCATTGTTTGTCTCTATTTGAGACTCGGAGCACCCGATACGTTAACCTTTGGTCCTATTGACCAAGAGAGAAGAATCATATGGCCTCCCCTAACCTCGATTTCCCGAGCTGGAGTATCTTGGCTCACATCACCTGCCTTCTCCTAAGGGATGATTTATCCCTTACTGTGTCTACTAACCGAACACTAACCGGTAACACTAGAAGTATCCTAGGATGATATACCTGAGTCTAAATTGACACTACACGGAAGTGACTTAACCGACCCTAGGAGTGACTAAACCATGACCTAAGGGAAGAGATCGAATCCTATAGGACTTAACCCTAGGTATACTTCTACCTAGACAGACCTAATGATCTCTAAAAAAACAGCTTATAAGACTTACCCTAGGTATATTTCTACCTAGCCGTGCTTGACACACTCTAACCCTAGTCTATCGGTCCTAAATCTAGGTATGTCTCTACCTAGTCAGACCTAGTAGACTAAGAGACCACGAGCTGACTGGACTTATCCTAGGTACTCAACCTACACCGATCTAACAGACTTTAAACCAAGCCTAACCGGATATCATCCTAGGTACATCTTACCTAAACGGATCTAGTAGACTTTAGACCAGACCTGATTGGACTTAATACAAGATATATTTCTACCTAACCGACATCTTAGACTCTCGTACAAACCTGATTGGACTTACCCTAGGCATAATTTTACCTAACCGACCTATTAGACTCGAAACACAGTCTACCTTAAGATCTGATTACTTC